TCAGTCTGCACCTCCTCCTCCTGCACCCCGACCCATGCCACGCAAGATCTCCCAGCCCATCATCGCCGCCACCAAGGAGGAGCAGGCGAAGGTGGCGTGGGAGCACGGCATCAGCGAGGAGTGAGACATCTGCTGGGAGTGTGAGAAACTTGTAGAAGTGGAATGAACAAATGAAAAACTTTTATTGAAGAGAAAAAGGAAGAGAAAGAGGAGGAGGCCTGAGCAGAAGGAAAAAAAATAAACTGACAAGAGTTATCAGGTCCAGTGAGCGAATTGATCAACGAGAGGAGAAACTGGAAAAATGAAGGTTCACATCATCTTTTTCTCTCACAGCTCGTCTTCAGCAGATCAGCTCATCACCTCATATCACCATCTCCTTCCCCATGTCACTGCAGACAGAAACAACCACGACAAGCTCTGTTTATTTCATCAGACCTTCACTAGATAGCGTCCACGTACATGCTTCTAATTCTGACACAGCCGACCTGAAACTGCACCGATACAAACCCACTTATTTTACTTTGATTCTCGACAAACGCTCAGAGGGTTTTTTTAGGAAAAGGTAAAGCCATTATCTCTGCTGAAGATTTAAACAAACTGCACTTTAACAAAGCAACACAAACACTTAAAAACATCAGAATTAACATAAAAATATTCCATTTTTTCCTGTAAATGCTTCATTGTTGATGGAGTTACAGATTTGAGGGATTACAAAACGGCACAAAGGGTTAGTGATCACTGTTTTAAAGAAATTTTTGAATTTCTAAGTCTGAACAACCATTTCAGAGAAACGCTGAGTCACAGGTCTGAATGGAAAGCACTAATATTTTCCAATAATAGAGTTGTAGTTTGTATGTAAATGTAATACATAAATAATATATAGATATAATTTATATTTTATCCTTATTCTTTTGGTCGAAGGTGAAACAGATGTAGAAACATGAAGGAGTTTCGTAGCTGCTGTATGATTTGTGACATGCACATGGTGAAACATGACCACACTCGCAGACTTTCAAAGCTGCAGCTCCTAAAACTATTCACTTTCATTTTCAGGGTTTGATCAAGGATTTAACTCAAGGTGAAGATGTTTAAAATGCATCGGTTATCTGTGAGGGAGGTTTTTGTAGATGAGGAGGGGAAACGTGTGCGCAGAATCAGATGGATGACATTTATAGAGAATAATAATTATAATAAATATATCACTAGTTACACACTTTTTGCCATTTTTTATGAGAATAACAAACTGTACATTTTGTAGTGAGGAAACAGTTTTGTATGCATGTTTTATTATAAAAGTCGGAGCTTAAGCAGAGACTGTGAGGCTCGAACTACGTAAAGCACTGGAGGAGTCGCGTGCACTGATGTCTTTAGAGTCCAGAATCAGAGAGGGGATCTCTGTCGTCCTGGTGTGACAGTACTGTGAAGGGTTTGTGTTTTGTATGTTTTTGTCTGTATAATGTCAAACTGTTTATTTTAACCAGCAGCTCGGATTATCTCCTGTCATCCTCACTCCTCTTTTCTTTGATTGAAATGAAAATCTGAACTGTGCACAGCGGTCAGCTCACCTCTGCTGACCCCTTGACTTCCACACTGTTTCATTCAGAGCTGTTTAAAAGTTAAGTGTTTCTGGCCTGGTGTGGGATTATATTCTCACTTTAACCAGACAGATGTGTGGATGAAGGATTCAGGGTCTGAGGAGCCTCTGGACAGATTCTGGAAAACTTGGATTAATATCAGAAGAAATGCTAAACAATGACACTGGCTGTATCTTTGTCTTGAAACCGATTAGCATCAATCCACTGATGAAAATAACTCTAACATATGCACTATGTCCCTGTATTAGCATTACATGATCTACAAACTACACTGTCCACCAGATGAAGATTTGACAGTGCTTTGTTTTTAAATGGAGGCAATAAATCTTTGTAAACTGGAACTGTAACGTCACAACAACTCAATTTGTCAAACTCTGACTTGTGACAGCTCGCTGAAAAAACAAGTACAATTTGAACGTGACCTGTTTCAGTGGCGGTTTCCAAATACATTTCTTAATAGTGTTAACATGCACACAGTTTAACTCCTCAAAGAGCAGTTAAATATTCACATGCCGGCATAAACATTAAATTCTGTTCAAAACCATTTTGCTCTTTTACAGATTAAAGCCCTGATTGAAGAGTTTCTCCATCTAAAACAACAGGAAGTATATGTCTTTTTGTTAATCCTGCTCCTGTATCAGCCATGAGGACAAGCGGAAACTTTCTGGAAAAAACAAACCTCCTCCTGTTTCTTTACTCACTTCTTACTGCCAAACTTTACCAGCAGAGCTCTAAACAGAGACACACAAGGTTGAATGGTGAGTGTAATATTGACTCTACCCAAATGATCACCTCCTCACACTTTGTAGGTCATGCAGAGGCATCGGTATAAGTGAGACTATTTCAAAGTCAGCTGAAAACTCCTCACAGTGCCTCTGAATGAGGGTTACACTTCTATTACACATTAATCTCTAACCATGAATGTGTTGGAAATGACTTATAGACACAAAAGGTTGCCAAGAAAATGGGCTGTAACAGCAGTGATTTAATTCTTTCAAGCTAATGTTTCTACTGATAGCACAGATGTGTGATTTATAGGGAACATATTATGAATTTCCCAATTCTTCAGTGTTTTTGGCCATTTCTAGAGTATCTACTGAACCACAAAATGTGACACAAGCCAACCTAGCCCTTTGTTTGTGATCCAGTTATGTCTGAAAACACACAGTCTGATCAGAATCTGCTCTTTTTATGAATCATAGTCATTGTAATAACACCCTCATACCTGGTATTTCCACACTCACTTCAAGTCAAATACACTGCAAAACTTTTGGGAAGTCAACCGTTTTTTTGGGGGGTTTTTTTTGTTTTTTTTTTAGCTTTTCTTTACACTTCAACAGCTTCTTCAAAGCCTGGATAATTCTGAACCTGACAGTGTATAAGTCAAGACTGAGAAGCTGCTGCAGAGGTTGTCCAGATTACTTTGTGTCTTAATTTTAGTGTTGGAATAATCAGCAAAATCAAAAGACAAGGTGCTCCACTGAAAAAAGTAAAACTCCTTTATTTAAATATCAATGTCATGATACAAATTCTGATATAACAGAATAAATCAGGTCTGTTTTAGATACAAGTTTAAGAGCGACACAAATTTAGCAACACAAAATTCTAACTCATAATTGTAAACACCTGAGGAGGTGGTAGTCCGGCTCACAGGTTCAAGTATAAACGGAAAAAGAAGTTCACAAAAGGTTCACCTACAAAATACAACATTAATTCAAATTCAACCTGATTTATATGGCACTTTTCACATAAAAATGTAACTCAAAGGGCCTCACAAAGGCTAAAAACAACAATAAAACCCGACCCTCCCACCCGCACATGCACACACAAGCGCACAAAGCAACCAGAGAAGCAAATCCACAAACTTGAACAAAACAAAATCTGTTTCTGATGGAGAAAATTCACTTGGAGGCTTTTGTGATTTCACAATTTTCTACCAATTTCAGAAGTTTCATCCTAAAAGAAAAAAAAAAAAACACATTTGATGTAGAACTTGCCATTTTACAGTCCATCAAAAATAGGAGCTCGAGCTGAATTTCTGATCAGAGCTGTCCTACCCTTTTGTTGTAGTTTTGTTCGTCTGGTTTTTCATACTTTATTTTTTTTCTTTGTTTTAAAGAAAATTAAAAACTCACTTGAGAAAAAGTAAAATTGCTCTAACAAAGCCCTACACTGACTAGCTGTTACATGGAGAACACCGGGGCAACTTTATAGAACCCAATAAAGCAGTCTTGATATGAATTCTACTTTCAGGAAGCTCCTTCATTCTTGGTTTTAGCTGACGTGCAGTGTCATATTATTGACTGGTTTACCTATAAGTCTTCAATAATGAAGAAAAAAAACAATGGCCTAATGTAAAAGCAGGGTTCATGGCAGAGCTGTTGTATTGGGTTTTGCATAACTGCTCAGGTGTTCATATTGTTATGGCAGATTAGTGTAAGTCCTTATCTTTTATAGACTAGAGCAGAGAAGAAGGAGTGGGAGATGTGTGGATAATCTGAAGCTCTATGATCACTTTTCTTTCCCACAAAGTGAAGCACCGCTAAGACCAGCAGTGAGCATGCTGTGAAACTTACACCACTGAACTCACTCTGTTTGTGTTTCTTTATTTTAATGTAAATGCTGTGATGATACAGAGGATCAGTGTGAGGGGCTGAGCGGAGGAGACGGGTTGATTTCTGTGTATATTTAAAAGGAGAGCGAGAGTGTATTTATAAGACCTTGTAAACATTGTGATGGTCTTGCCTTGTACTTTCTGATGTTAAACAGTTTTTAAACCTAAACAGCAGCAGACGTTCCTCTGGTCTAATGTTTCAAATGATTTCAGGGCTTCTGAGGGAGGTTTATAATTACTTTGTGTATTTTGCATCAATGACAGGTCCAGACAGTGATTTACTACGACAGCATTTCTTTCTACCTTGATGCTCAGAAGTCTTGTACAGAAAAGTCTTTATTGTGTTAGCATGAGTATAAACTGTGACGTGTATGACAGTAGATGTAAATACTCACGTTTTTTTTTCCTACTCACTAAACAAACTGCTGTGCTGTGATTCATGATTAATGACAAACATTAAAATCATGTTTTATTGACTCTGATTGGACTCAAGAGGTCTTGTGTTTTTTGTTTTTTTTTGATCGGATTTCAATTACCATTGAGACCCTTCCCCCAAAAACATAAAAATATGGTAACCAAGGCAGGTGGAGGCAGAATAAGATCATATAAGCACGAGCTAATGACTGCTGGGTTAAAAAGTGAGAGAAGTCCATCAGGATCTAAAGAAAATAAAAACTCAAGTCCTGAGGACAAGTCTCAAGGACATTATATAAAAGCTTAAAAAGACAGAGTGATTTGTTTATATATAACTTTGGTATGTAAGTGGGTATGAATAGCTAAGAGATGACTCATCAGTATTTACAAGGTGGCACTTTTTCATGTTGTCCAGCTGCCTTGTGTTGAAAGGATTCATGTAATTCACATGTAATCCCCGGAGCATTTTTAGAACCAGGAGAACCTGCAGCAGATGAGAGAAAAAAAATCAGTGGAAGTTTTACATTTTTAACCTATCCATTTAGATTTAATGCCTTTGAAACAAGTCCTATACTGAGACTTCGACTTGTATCTAACTAGAGCAGAGATGTCCTGTTTTCTGTTTATTCTAAAAAGTGAGAGGGATTATTCAGACTGGGTAGATCTGTGTGAATCTGCAGGGTGAAGCACGGTGCTGGTAGGTTCATTCTCCCAGTGATGCTGATGTAGTCAGAAGACTTGAGAAAGCGCTAAATAAACATGGTTTACTTACTATTAACCATTTACACAGGAGAGTAACTGTAAGCATATGGGGGAAAAATTAAGGACAGATAATGAAGCAAGTGTCAAGATAAGACTGTGTTACAGGACCTCCAAAATCTGTCTATAGGGGTATAACAACACCCTCAGTCCAGCAGGTCTTAGCTAAGAATCTACACTTCACAAGAACAATGCTGTCCCCTGCAGAGGCAGATCTTTATCAAGTATGCTATCAAATGCTTTACGAACTTCTGCCCAAGAGTCCTAATACTGGGCACTCCCAAATACATGCCAGTGGTTTGCAAGTGGTTTACATCCTTAAACATTCAGGAACTATATATATATATATTATATATTCTATATCCATTTCCTGCAAGAACTCAAAAAAAAGGATCGATTGAGAGACTGAAGCCCAGTGTACAAAAAAGTTTTAAAGTGTACTTACGGTATTTAACGCTATCCTCTTTTTTATCAGGTCCTTTCTCCTCCTGACGGAGCTGCTGACAAAACTTCCCTAAAATGTCAAACAAGTTAGAATACACAAAATCTATGAATTCATACAGTGGAGCAAACAGGTAAAGAGAAGGTTCAGTGACATCAAAATTCTTCATTTGCACATTAACTCAGTATCAATTTTATTTTTATTGTATATTTTTCTCTCTCAGTGGTTATTCTGCATTTTTTTAATCTTCTTTAGCTTTGTTGCTTTGTGTCCTCCAGTCACCCCTCTGAAGCCTAAGGAATTGTCCCCTTATTTTCCATGCCTGGTCTTTATTTTAAAGAGACATGTAATGTAAAACAGTATAAGACATGGTATGCATCTTTTTTCTGAGGACAATCTGAGGAATCAGAAAATCTATCTCCCAAGGATGTCAAATCAAGTCCTAATAATCTTTACACCATAAACTACAATCATGGCCGTCTATTTGTAGCTTTTCTCTGATTGGGCAAGCACACAAAAAATATATTACAGTTGTTTTATATCTGGAGTGTTAAATAAACCAGTTTTATCTGAAGCTTAGAAAAGCCCTGGATGTTGCAGAAACATACAGAGATTAGCTCACTGTCAGAGGAAGCCAGAGGCTGTTATCAGTCTTTGTAGCTGATATCATAAACATGATGACTTTTGTGTTGGATACAACAGCATGGACCCTGAAGGGGTTTACTCTCAATTAGTAAAAATTAAAATTGGATCCAATAAAATAGTTCCATCAGATCAGATTACTTCTGAACCAATGGGCCCTGGGAAACTTGGATTTACTTCTTCAAAAACAGGCCTGTGGTGCTGCTGCTCTCTTCTTCGGAGGAACAAGCTGACTGAGCCCACCTTGGTCCATTGACAGTAGCCAGTCTCTTTTCTTTCTACTCTCTAAAATCTTGTTTTATGTTGCTGCTGTCCTTTAGTTTGAGACATTACAACTAAAAACACATATTGCTAGTGTCAGGAGTAGATATTTATCTTACTGGAGAAGGGGGGCAATTAACGCCTGGGTGGAGTTGAAAAGAATGGGTCGTAGAAACCCATCTCTGGGTGTGTCCCCCCCAAATCGTTATACTGAAAGGGTCGTTAGCGACTCCTATCATGTGACCACGTGACTCATGCCACCTGGGTCATGTGGTTCCAGGTGTGAATGTTTGTGGAGCTTCCTGGGGAGAGAGCTGAGAACTGCATTGTAAGTGCCAGAGAGATTGTGCCTGAGTCCACCCCCTCTGTTCAGAGAAGGTTTCTCCAGCCTGGTGAAGATGGCTTCTTTAACTAGGGCATTTTTGATGTGCTTTTGTGCCCTGACAACCTGTGGATACCCTAAGTGGGCCTTTGTGAAGAACAGAAAGAGAAATAACACTGAACAGGAAAGGGAGGAGAGACGCAAGAGCACTGTAATCCCTTACGTTGCAGGCCTGTCGGAAAAACTCAAGAGGATCTTTGGCAAACACCACATTCCTGTTCATTTCAAGCCTGGTAACACACTAAGGCAGAAGCTAGTCCATCCCAAGGACAAAACTCCGAGACATAAACAGAGTAATGTGGTGTATGCTGTCCAGTGCAGCGAGGAATGCTCGGACCATTGGGGAAACTAAACAACCGCTTCACAAGCTCATGGCTCAACACAGGAGAGCCACTTCCTCAGGTCAGGACTCAGCTGTCCACCTTCACTTGAAGGATACGGGTCACTCTTTTGAGGACAGCAATGTACAGGTGTTGGCTCGAGAAGACAGATGGTTTGAAAGAGGAGTTAAAGAAGCCATCTTTACCAGGCTGGAGAAACCTTCTCTGAACAGAGGGGGTGGACTCAGGCACAATCTCTCTGGCACTTACAATGCAGTTCTCAGCTCTCTCCCCAGGAAGCTCCACAAACATTCACACCTGGAACCACATGACCCAGGTGGCATGAGTCACGTGGTCACATGATAGGAGTCGCTAACGACCCTTTCAGTATAACGATTTGGGGGACACACACCCAGAGATGGGTTTCTACGACCCATTCTTTTCAACTCCACCCAGTCGTTAATTGCCCCCCTTCTCCAGTAAGATAAATATCTGCTCCTCACACTAGCAATATTTAGAACTGAAGAAGCTTCTTGGATAAGAGGCGAAACGTCTTCTCAACTCTACACAGTCCATTTGCCTGTTTTTAAGTCTTCAAGATAACCATGACCTGGATGAATGAGAATCTACATGGACAACTAAAAACACATTTATACATGAAACAGGCCTACCTTTGTGACGGCGGATGAACCGTAAAACAAACCCTCGAAATGATTCGTACACAATAATTCCAATCAGCATGGCTGCAGGGAGAGTCCAGAGGTAGGGGCAAGGAATATTTTCTGAAACACATCAAAACAGCTATTTTGACACCACAATGGATCTGTATTACAGAGATAGATGGAAGTAACTTGTTTTGCAAGTTTAAGTCTCAAGTCTTTGACCACAAGTCTAGACCAAGGGCTCGATTTTTGTGCCTTGCCAGCAGGTCCACCGCGTCAACAAGGCATGCTCAAGCCCACATTGGTATTTTGGTGAGCGGCGCAGCCCAGCGTAAGTATCCCCCCTCCCTAACTCAGCTCCACCCAGCAGCGTAAGTCGTAGAGAGGGAGGAGAGAAGGCATCGAGTGGGTTTAACACAGCCGAGACCTGTTTTCACCAATCACATTAGCTCCTCTCCTCACCTTTAAATCCGCCACCGGCAAGAGATCAAGAGACGGTTGAAGACAGCAATGCCACATGATGGTGACAAAAAGCAGCCTGTCAACAAGTGTCGCTGCAGAGGGCGTCGGCCACACTCTCTCATATAAGCACAGATGGATTTGGTGTGTGTAATGTTGGACTCACTGGTAAGACAAACACCCTTTTCCACAAATAAAGACACTCACATAAAGTTGCATATATTCAAACCTCACGTGACAAAGGTGGGTTGTGCACACAGATCACAACATAAATTTCAATAATGGCATTAAAATCGGAAATATATCTTGTTAACTTCATCGTGTGTGACTATTTACTGGATATTGAATTTCATGTGGTTTCAGCTGTGTTGATTCAGTCAGGTTGTGTCCAAACGCCTGCCAAACGCACTCATCAGATAAGATATGGATCAGAATATATCGATATAGATCTAAATGTATGTGCTGATTCAGATAGTTGCAATAAAAAAATGGTTGTTGTTGATTATTTATTGCACTGAAATGTGCCTGACACTGTGGAAACCTGCCGGTGAGGCATCGGTGAAGTTTGTGCACTATGCCGCCGGTCTACCAAAATACCACTAGACCAGCTGTGCTCAGTCTGCACTGAAAGCTGACCAGGTTTGAATCGGCGAGCTTTCAGCGCACTTTCCACGGCATCGGCACAAAAATGTCACTGCGCCCGCTGATTCTGTCCACAACTCCCCCTACCGCGCCACCACGCCCAGCTTGGCAGACCTCGGTGCACCTCAGTCTACGAAAATACCAAACTGGCTGTGCACCGGGCTCCGCCAGACGAAAATACCACTGCGCAGGGTGCGCCATCGTCCACCAAGCTGCCGGCGGGCATAAAAATAGAGCCCCAAGTCTCAAGTGCAGCAGCAAGTCCCAGTCAAGTTTTTCAAGGTTAAGAGATTACAACAAATTAAAACTGAGTCACAGAACTGAGCGCTCCATAGACCAAGAAAAAAAAAATTATTTATTCACATGAACCACAAAAAAACTCACACAATGAAACCGTATTTGAGTGCAGTTCACTGTTCAGATTACACAAAACTATTTTGTCCAAGGAAGTGGTTGATTTCCTATGATAATGCTTGTCAAAGTCAATGTCATTATAACACATCAATGATGCATGAGAGCTAATTCCCTATTAACTGCACTAAATATATTGATACGTGATCAACACATGCTGTGGTGGAAAATTTTACTGAACTGTGTGCTTGTTGTAAAATATGTATGTTGTTGTGATGCACCATTAGTGGTGTGTCGGTCTTGAACGAACGGATCAAAAGAACTAGTTCTTTTTGATGAACGAAATTAACTAGTTCTCCCCCCCTAAATGACCCGTTCAATCCGTTCAGTTCTTTCGATTGGCTGAAGAGGGACTGCTTGCCTGGTGGGGCTTAGAGAAGCAGCAGCAGTACTACTGAGCTGACTGAAAGACCGGAATGACCGAGTTGACTGAAAGAACGGGTCAAATGAACGAAAGACCTAGTTGACTGAAAGAACGGGTCAAATGAACGAAAGACCTAGTTGACTGAAAGAACGGGTCAAATAAACGAAAGACCGAGTTGAACGAAAGACCGAGTTGAACGAAAGACCGAGTTGAACGAAAGACCCAGACCGATGAACGAGTTGAATGAAAGACCGAGTGAACGAAAGATCCAGACGGATGAACGAGTTGAACGAAAGACCGAGTGAACGAAAGACCCAGACGGATGAACGAGTTGAACGAGAGACCGAGTGAACGAAAGATCCAGACGGTGAACGAGTTGGCTGAAAGACCGAGTGAACGAAAGATGCAGACAGATGAACGAGTTGACTGAAAGACCGAGTTGAGTGGCCGCCGCACGAGGCCCGACAGCCGAGCCGGAGCGAGCGGGACAGTCACACACACGCAAAGGCACACAGCTGCTGCTGCAGCCAGAGGCAGAGAGACAACTATTAATACGCATTTGCCCTGTCTGTTGACATTTTGTACTTTTTATTAATGTTTTTAATGCACCTCAAAATAATAAAAAACCATTAAAAACCTTATATATATTTTTTGGGGGGGGGGGCACAACGACGACGAGCGGACTGACAAATGACCGATTGACCGAAATGACCGAAAAGAACGAAATGAACGGGTCTTTTTACTGAACGACCCGGAATGATCCGGTTCACTGAAATGACCGGTTTTGCCCACCACTATGCACCATCCTTTTGTGTTGAGCTGCTTCAAAGGGAGGTGGTGTTTAATGTGTGTGTCCTGTCAGTCTGCCAGTCTGTTGTTGCTTGAGTTTGTCATGTTACACTTCAGCGCGTATTTTGAGCATGCAGTACCTTTGAGGTTATTCTGGAGTTTTCTAGACTGTATCTGTCCATGTTTTAGATTGTTGCAGTAATAATAGACATTTGCAAATTATTTCACAACCATGTTAACAAGAGAGAAAGAGACACATTTAAGGAGACAAAAAAATGTTAGCACTTAATCAGAATTAAAAATATTGATTATTTAACAAACCTAATAATGACAAAACCAAAAGAAACCTACCGTTTATATACACAAAGGTCTGAGCAGTGGTCTCATGCTGAATCTCCTCCTGTTTGAGCACACAGTGGTAGTGGCCGGTCTGGGTCACATTCATTTGGAGGATGATGTGATGTTTGTTTCCTGTGTTAGGCAGGTGAACCTCTTCACTCTTAAGGACACTCCCCAAACTGTCCAGCCACTCCAGTTTGGGTTTCAGGGTAGCTTGCTGAACCTCACACTGCAGCAGAGCCGAGTCCTGTGTCTGATTTAGAGTCTCTATGTAAGGTTTTGGAGATGCCGCTGTGAGCGAACAGAAAAAGAAGAGCAGTGAATGAAAATAATGGAGTTTTGTATTGACGTGTCATTGTGTTTGTACTCTCACTGACTGTTTGTGTGGTTAAGATTTGTTTACAAGTGCTGGCCAAGTGTCGGCTTTGTGAGTTGATTTCCATAATTTGATGACTGGGGTGGTTGGATTTAGTCCCTTAATTGTTCATCTGGGTATTTTTGGAGGACAGAGCACTATTTTTATCAATCACAGTGTCAGCTTTCATTCCTATTTACTGCTAGATCCATCCGTAGGCAGACACATTACTATGTAGAAAACATATCTCAGTGGGCATATTTAAATAGACCCAGTTCTTCAACCTTCCCCCAGAACACACAGACCACATACAGGACTTAGTATAAAATCCATGGCCGATAATGTAAAAGCCACCAAAACAAACCTGCTGCACAGAAAAACTACTTCCTTCCTTCTTTATAAGTGATACTCATGATCATGGATGAGGCTCAGCAGCATAACTGCAGGGAAATCACATCAATCTCTGGACATGTCAAACAGATCAGACAGCTGATCACGCTGTCCTCTGCATGTTTATGTGCTTGTTTGTAACAGCTCCTATCAGTTACCAGTAGTTGGCGCCATTTCAAATACCGAAATCGAAATATATTGCACAGACATTTAAAAAAACATGTAGACTAGTGGTCAGCCGATACCAGTTTTTCAATGGCCGATGCTGATATTGTGAGTGCTGTCTAGCCATGCAGATTATTCACATTATTTTATTTATGTCAGTACTGTGCTTTTGACAAAATGCAACAATTTAACCTACATATGAGAAACCAAATTGCTGAACTTGGTGGATATTTTTAATTGACAGAAAATTGTTCGTCCCAGGAAATTATCACCTTGAGGGACTTTTGGATTTCTGAAACAGTGAGAAAAAAAATAAAAGTTAAACATTTTAATACTATTTTTAAACCGCATTATTCTGTGCATCATAACAGAATTTAAACTTCAGCCAATGGCTGTTTGCGATGTGATTTGCTGTCATTGGGAATGTGAAAAAAAATGTGATATTGCCCCTGTGACGCCAATCATGATGCTGTTTATGTCAAAACGCTGTTCATGGTTTAATTATTCTGTTTATCCCTAATGTAGACGCACTAGTCTGACTGATATCACCATATATGGAAGTTTACTATGGAAGCTGTTGTTGTTGGTGTTTGGCTTTAAGTCATGTTTTTGTACATGTAATCAAACCACAAATCATGCTCATGCAGCTGTTCTGGATTTCATTATTGTCTGTCTCCTCCACACTAAGCTGCACTGCAAGGACAATCGCTCAGGTCAGTCTGAAAGTCATATATCACAGTCCTGCTGTCAGAAGAGCCCTATGAGCTGTGGCACCCATAATCCAGACACACAGACATTATTGCTCACCTGTATTCTCTCCTGATCGATCTCTAGTGACAGATTCTGAAAAAAAGACAGTTTGTGCACAATGACATTAGCTACATGAGCAACTTCAACCAAAAGTTTATGCTCTTCACCTGATTACGATCCTTCACTGACATAAAACTAACTTATCTTTGATATTCAGTTTGCAGCTGTCTGAATTGTCTTTTAATCAGACATACTTGTGAGAGGAGCCTGAATAGCTTGAGAACTCATATTTAAAGAATAACAGTTTGATTGGAGAACTCACCCACAAAAAGCTGGATATGAACTTTTTGACTCTGCGGACGATGTGGAAAAAAACAGCTGTAGTTTCCACTGTCAGACACCTTGGTCTTTGAGATCTTGATGGAGGCGTTTCCATTCTTCAGTTCATCTTCAAAATTTGAGACTCGATCTTCAAACTGCTTGTCTTGACCTGTACGGCCTTTACCGTAATAAAGGCCTGCTTCATAGAAGAACACCTCTATGTGATCATCTTTCTTCCAGTCAAACACTTGTGACTTTATGTTGTCCTTGGTGCCAAGAGAGCAGGGTAAGATGGCATCACCCCCATCCTTCACCACCACTTTGACGGTATCCAGCACTGAAAGATAAAGCATAACTCGACAGTCAGTTAGATGTCAAAATCAGGAACACCAGGGACACACATCACACAACATGAGCTCAAAAATGAGCCATTAGAAACCTCAAGTGGTCGCCTTACTCTTACTTGTACGTGACCTGAGGCCTGTACTACGGAGGTGGATCTCTTTTTATCCGGGTCCGTTGCCCCGGTAACTTACGCGGAACGCCAAACCTGCTCCGGAGCAGGTTATGTTTCAGGATAAGAGCTCAGCAGGTATAAAAGACCGCCCAATGACCAATCGGATCTCTTGGAAAATGACTTGCCCACTTTTGCCGGATCCCGGGAACATCGTTGCACCGATAGTGAGAGGAGCGCTTCGCGTTTATTTATGATCGTTCAAATCCGTTTGATTTACCTGATGACGTTCTCTATGAACGTTACAGGTTTTCCTCGGACGTCCTCAATAAAGCATGAAGTCTAAGCAATGCACAAATATTTGCCAAGCTCCAGGTTCCAATTTCATGCAGCATATCAGTCATCATTCAGAATTTATTGAAGCAGATTAGAAAACTCCTCTTAACCCCAAATGTGTCTGCAGATGACGTGACCATCAGATGATGAAGAAAAAAAAGGCAGTGTGAGGAAATCGCTGTTTACGCGTTGAAATATGTACAAATAAAATCTTCCAATAAACTTACAAACTACTTTAATGGATGTTTTTAGATTTATTTTTATTTGCTCCCACGTACTCTTTTCCCCACTGCTGTTGTATCTGAAATAATGAGGTCAATGATGGTGGTGATCACACACGCTGCATGACAACATATTAGGGGGCCATAAATTTATGAACGCACAAATGTAATTTACACAACCGGTGATTTTTTTTGCCAGCAGTCCCTCCAGTTTTTAGCGGCTGTGGCTGTCCTGCTCCTCGCTGTTATAATGTTGCGGTACTCCTCGTAAAATAATGCTCTGTTCCTCGGCTGTGAAAAATGACGTGCAACCTTCTCCATTGTGGAGATTGGAGTGGTGGAACTGACCCCACCCCCTTTACGTGTGCGCGCACAGATCTGAAGAGGCCACACCTGAGCTGTGTCCGAATTGCCAAGTAGTAGTCGAAGTAGTATCTAGCATGTCCGAATTGGCCACCGGAGCGAGTAGCATGCTACTTCAGATACTACTTCAGATACTAGACACGCCCACATTGTAGGTTGGTCGCGCTGCATCCTACGGGCATGCTACTGACCCAAAATGCACCGCGGGCTTCTTCTTCGTCCTCTTAAAAGTTGTAGAAGCGCATGTGATGCTAGCGCCACCAGCATAGATGCGTCGCGAACGCCGGCTGGCCACAGCAGCGCGCACCATGGCGGTTTCATGTAACTTCACACACTGTCCTAAAAAATGTGCGGTTGTATCTCTTTGTCATGTCATGTGCTACGTCCGAACTGCCCGCTCGGATACTACATGCTACTGCTACGTGCTACTGCTAGATCCTACTCCTACATACTAAAAACGTTGGCCCAATTCGGACACACTACACGAGCGGTGGGGAAAGACGACCCCCGCAGGCAGAGAGTAGGTACTGCGCCCGTGCAGACAGTGGTAACTGAAGCCCCTCATCTGCGGGCCTGGCTGTAGTACTGCAGCTGTGCAGTTTAATGATGGAATAAGTGAGCTTTACCTCCATGATGTCGCCACATATTTGCTCATAAAATGATTACTTGGGCAAATATGACACCATGACATGACAAAATGATACAACCGCACATTTTTTAGGACAGTGTGTGAAGTTACATGAAACTTACATCTGTACTGCTGCGGACCCGCCTGCTGCTGCTGCTGCTCCGACATGGTGCACGCTGCTGTGGTCAGCCAGCGTTCGCGACACTTTTAAATAGGCAGAGCAGCTGGTGGCGCTAGCATCACATGCGCTTCTACAACCTTTAAGAGGACGAAGAAGAAGCCCGCGGTGCATTTTGGGTCAGTAGCATGCCCGTAGGATGCACCGAGACCAACCTACAATGTGGGCGTGTCTAGCATCTGAAGTAGTATCTGAAGTAGCATGCTACTCGCTCCGGTGGCCAATTCGGACATGCTAGATACTACTTCGACTACTACTTCGACTACTACTTGGCAATTCGGACGCAGCTATGGTGTCATATTTGCCCAAGTAATCATTTTATGAGCAAATATGTGGCGACATCATGGAGGTAAAGCTCACTTATTCCATCATTAAACTGCACAGCTGCAGTACTACAGCCAGGCCAGCAGATGAGGGGCTTCAGTTACCATTGTCTGCACGGGCGCAGTACCTGCTCTCTGCCTGCGGGGGTCGTCTTTCCCCACCGCTCATCTAGTGTGTCCGAATTGGGCCAACGTGTTTAGTATGTAGGAGTAGGATCTAGCAGTAGTATGTAGCAGTAGCATGTAGTATCCGAGCGGGCAATTCGGACACAGCATCAATAGTTCCAACATGACCGCCTGTCACGTCGGACGCCGTTCGCTTCTATGGCCACAAGGCAAGCACTCACCGAGGTTAAATGATAAAATATCAACAATTTTAATGCCAATACATGTGTTATTGATATCGAGGGGACCCCTTTATATGTAAAAATGTATATCCCAAATGTAATAACGTTTTTTTTTCGATTTTTTTAGCCACGGTTTGCTCCCACACTCCCCGAGGTAAAATATTGCATCAACGAACGTAATGCCAATACGTGTGTAAATGGTATCGAGGGACTCATTTTAGCCCTGTAAAATGATTTTAATTTTAGTATGCTCAAATTGAAATGTAATTACGTTTTTTTTTAGTTAGGAATTGGGATCGATTTTTTAGCCACGGCCTGCTAGTTGGACGTCGTCAGCTGTAGAGGCCTGCCAAAATTTACTGTGACTGAGTTATGAATCACAGAAAAATCATCATCAATCATATGTTGAGATGGTTACTTATGGGCTTTATATTTGATTTCAGCCTTTATCAGTACCCAATGTTATGTGCAATTTATTCTTTTTAGACTAACATAAATGCTATGTAATTTGATTTCTGCTTATGGGATGATAGAGTTAAGGGGCCGCTACTTTTTAAATTCTGTCAGCATTTAAGGCGTATGTTTAACATGGAAAAATGTTATGCAGGCCATGCTGCAAGATCAAAACATTGCACAGTTGTTTAAACAGCTTATAACACCTGTTACTTACCACTTTATTGTATTATTTTCTCTTATTAAAAAGTAACACGTGTTACCAAACTTGTCTTATTTCACTTTTATTTGTCATCCAGCCACTAAATATACGTACGTGACTTTGACGTGTACACAGTAATCCAATAAGAGTTGCAAATGTTGAATTTTTACGGTTAATTTTAATATTTACCTCTTAAATGCGCGCTCACTGCAGTCTGTCCCGTTCAAGAGCATGGACAGTGCAGGCTGCGTTTGGAACTATGGAGGGGGTACATGAACCACGTGACCGCTCCGGCGGCGAGATCTGAAGTTGTCGCCACTCTGTTTAATCCACTGCTCTGGATGCACCGAGACCAACCTACAATGTGGGCCCGTCTAGTATCTGAAGTAGCATGCTACTCGCTCCGGTGGCCAATTCGGACATGCTAGATACTACTTCGACTACTACTTGGCAATTCGGACACAGCTCAGGTGTGGCCTCTTCAGATCTGTGCGCGCACACGTAAAGGGGGTGGGGTCAGTTCCACCGGACCAATCTCCACAATGGAGAAGGCTGCACGTTATTTTTCATAGCCGAGGAACAGAGCATTATTTTACGAGGAGTACCGCAACATTATAACAGTGAGGAGCAGGACAGCCACAGCCGCTAAAAACTGGAGGGACTGCTGGCAAAAAAAATACACCGGTTGTGTAAATTACATTTGTGCGTTCATAAATTTATGGCCCCCTAATATGTTGTCATGCAGCGTGTGTGATCACCTCCATCATAGACCTCATTATTTCAGACACAACAGCAGTGGGGAAAGAGTACGTGGGAGCAAATAAAAATAAATCTAAAAACATCATTTAAAGTAGTCTGTAAGTTTATTGGAAGATTTTATTTGTACATAATTCAACGCGTAAACAGCGATTTCCTCACACTGCCTTTTTTTTTCTTCATCATCTGATGGTCACGTCATCTGCAGACACATTTGGGGTTAAGAGGAGTTTTCTAATCTGCTTCAATAAATTCTGAATGATGACTGATATGCTGCATGAAATTGGAACCTGGAGCTTGGCAAATATTAGTGCATTGCTTAGACTTCATGCTTTATTGAGGACGTCCGAGGAAAACCTGTAACGTTCATAGAGAACGTCATCAGGTAAATCAAACGGATTTGAACGATCATAAATAAACGCGAAGCGCTCCTCTCACTATCGGTGCAACGATGTTCCCGGGATCCGGCAAAAGTGGGCAAGTCATTTTCCAAGAGATCCGATTGGTCATTGGGCGGTCTTTTATACCTGCTGAGCTCTTATCCTGAAACATAACCTGCTCCGGAGCAGGTTTGGCGTTCCGCGTAAGTTACCGGGGCAACGGACCCGGATAAAAAGAGATCCACCTTCGTAGTACGGAAAACCCAGAAGTTATCCAGAAGTTATCTCGCTAAGACCAAATCCAGTTTCGTCATACAGGCCTCTGGCCTCTGGCGTGCATGTTCTTAATGTCCGCCATGACCGTGGGGAAACTGCAACTTAGTCACCGCGCTAGATTACACAATATCACTCCACCGGCAAGAAACTTTAAGGAGAGTGTGCTATGTAAAAAGTAGTTAAACGAGACAATATGATCCATGTTTCTGTAAGCATTAAATTATATTGTGTAAATTATCTCAGAAAGATATGGATTATCCATACAGAACTTAAAAAAAATTCCATGCGTTATCAGGAACCAACTCGGCCTTTTCCCAAAACAACAACAAAATTAATCAGACAAATGAGACTGAATGGGCAACAATGAAAAATACAAAAATACAAATGTTCTCAGTTATTCACTGATTATTCAGATAACTCTGAATAAAATGCAGTATTTCTTAGTAGTTCAGGTGACAGTATATTTTGTAGTAGTAGCGCACAGCGAGGATATAATAGTTCAGACATTTTCATTAGGGGTTTTCTTTTTCAGTTTGGTTTGAGTTGGTTTCGACACTGTCTTGTTTTCGTATTATTATTATTATTAAGTATTATTATTATTATTATTATTATTTTGTCATTACTAGTTTTATCATTAGAATTAGTTGTATTGTGGAATATCAGTATTGAGCAAGGCCCAAAAGAACCTGAAAACATGGAGTAGAAAAAAGTGGAAACATCATACTATCAAAAAAAAAAGTATTAAAATGTTGAACCACTGCAACCATGTTAAAATCGACAATGAACATTCTTAAAACATCCAGTAAATCCAACATTAAATCGTATTTATTTAACCATAACCCTCATACTTAATGTCACCTCTGTGAAAGTCAGCGCTCTCTTCAGACCACCTCACTACAACAGGCTGAGTACGCCACGCTTGTGCGAACCTCGTTACAGGCGCGTCATTTTGGTTTATCTATAGCTGCTTGGGTGGTCCGGAACATTCATTCAAGTTCGTTTCAAACAACTTCTCATACACCAATATTTTTTACAGTTTTCTACAGGATTGCTAGCGATCCCATCGCCATCAATAAATGAATAATAAACCATCCAGATCCCCAAAGAGAGGATTTTCTTGAACCGAGTCATCTGGGGGAAAACTGTGGAAAGACCTAATTGTTCCCTGTCTCAGTGGGTGCACAAAAAACTGACTGGACCGCAAATGACCAGACAGATCAAAGCATGGAGTAAGTTCCTCTGGTCCTATGCCATAAAGAAAGGACAATTGAGGATGTCTGTCAGTTTGTCAAAAATTAATAACGTTTTCCAGCTTTTTTTTTTATCATGTGATTTTTTTTTGTGAGAATGTTTCAAAGTTTCTGTTACTCTGGGATAATTATAAAGTCTTCTTCGTGATTTTAATTCTTAATTATGGTAAACTCGATTTGTATAGCACCTTTCAGTTGTTACAAAGTGCTTCAAAGTCATCAAATTAAGAGACAACAAGACATAAAAATCAATAAAAAGTATACTAGCAGCCAAAGTCCTGGTTATACAAAGGCAAATGTGAACAAATTGGTCTTCAACAGCTTTTTGAAAGTGTCCACAGTCCTTAGTTTTCGAGGAAAAGAGCTCAAACGTTTCGGAGCAAAATCTTAAATGCACAATCTCCTTTAGTTCGTAATCTGGTCCAAGGGACAACCAGCAAACCCCGATCAGAGGATCAAAGAGTCTTGCTGGAGCTTTAAGGCTTCAGCAGGACTCTGATATCCAAGCTTGGATATTGTCCATGCAAAGCTCTGAACACAAGAACAAGTCATTTAAGTTTCGTTCTGAATTGAATGAGGAGCCAGTGTAAAGACATGAGGAGTGGTGTCGCATGGGTCCATTTGGATGATCTTGTCAGGAGCTTAGCTGCAGCAATACATGTCCATATACATATAAAAAAAATGTACACACACACACTCATTATATACATATATATATATATACACATGTATATATACATATATAAATATATATGTATATATATGTATATAAATATACATATATACACATATATATGTATGTATATATATAACATATTATATTATCTATCTATATATATATATATATACAGTATATATATATATATATATATAATATATATAATATATAATAGTGTGTAATATATATTATAATAGTGTCTAATATATATATATATATATATATATATATATATATATATATATATATATATATATATTTTTCCTGGCCTTCAAATAAGTGAGTCATTATTTAAAGTCAAAATATTAATTGCAGTTGAACTGAGTTATATTAAACTAAAGTTAAAACAACTACAAAGGCCTCTTTACAACACCTAACAACAATACATATATATATATATATATATATATATACATACATATATAATTTATATATACATACATATATAATTTTCCTGGCCTTCAAATAAGTGAGTCATTATTTAAAGTCAAAATATTAATTGCAGTTGAACTGAGTTATATTAAACTAAAGTTAAAACAACTACAAAGGCCTCTTTACAACACCTAACAACAGTCAAACTGTGTACATTGAGTTGTACAAATGTATGTGTGTGTGTGTGTGTGTGTGTGTGTGTGTGTGTGTGTGTGTGTGTGTGTGTGTGTGTGTGTGTGTGTGTGTGTGTGTGCGTGTCCAGGCATAAAGGCCAATCCTATTTCATACAATTAAACTTGTAAACTGATTAACTATAGTCATGATAACAACACTCAAACAGTTAATCATTTCAGTTTGTTTGTCTGTAGCAGTGTCAGTGTCCATGCGTTTCCATTACCCATAGATTTGCCCAAAACCTAAATATCGCAATAGAAAACTGGTATTGGAAACAGCTAAATTTCGAAAAACCTCTCAAGTATCGCTAAAAAGTTTTTACGCTCTCATGAGGTGGTTTTTCAGACGTGTCGATGTAGAAGTTTATCGCAAAAGTGTAATGGAAACACTATTCTCGCAATTCTCTGTCACCGGACGTGACGTAGCGGGTCGTGTGATCAGTTCATTTCAAGCAAAGATGACGCGGTATGTGTGGACGGGGGAGGAGACGGAGTTATTTCTGAAGTTTTGAATTGTATTTGTATTTTCTGAAGTTTTGAATCCACAATTCGTCTGTGAATTCCTCATTAACGACCCTCTCCCAGAAATCCTTCATCCGTGTCCGCTCCCATACATTCGGGCTTTGCCTTTGAATTATCACCCGCTGCCTTCGTCTTCTGATGACAGCAGCGGCAACAGCAGTAATGGTCACAGAAATAGCTGCTCCAAAACGCAAAATGTTTTGTGTCTCGTCCATGTTGGTGTGCAAAAAGGCTTAAGGAATACGAGCTCGCAAGGGCAGGAAGTTTACCTCGTTGCTAGGCAACGGCCATTCAAACACGGCTCGCGAGAGGCAGACGGCTCGCTTGTGCACTGAACACCATTCAATGGAAACACCCGCAAATCGCAATTGTACTTTGTCGAAATTTGATAAACATCGCTTTTATATTGCGAAAAAATGTAATGGAAACGCAGCTGTGTATGCGCCTGTCAGTGTGTGTATGCATGTGTGTGTGTGCCTGTGCCTCTTAATTCATTAATTGCTGATATGAAGCTCCTGAACTTGAGAACTGTATCTACAGCTGTAGTTTTCAACATGGATCAGACTCTCCCCCTGCATGTTCTTCTTCAGCTTAAGTTCTTGGGCACTCCTCTCCTCTCCTTTCTCCTTCTCTCTGCATTTTTCTTTTCTTAGGTTGCTCTCTTTCTCTGATTTCTCTTTCCTCGCCGCTACATTCTTTGTCAATCTCTCACATTCACTCTGCAGGTATTTCTCCCTTCTTTCAGGATCAGCTTTAAGGCTTTCTCGATACTTTCTCTGCCTTTCTGCTGCTGTTCTTGGTGCCATCCTACTCACAGCTTCAACATAGAACATAGAGCACATTCAGCATGTATGTGGTATAAAAATGTTGATTGAAATAACAACTGATTTAAAAAAAATGGAAAACTTAACAACCCTGTTACAATCAAACACGTAATGGAGTTGTATGACGGGGTTGTGATTTTAGCACAAAATGGCCACTGCTCAATGAAGTGAATACCAGAGAGAGAGAGAGGGAGCACATGGAATGTATGAGATCCAGAGTTAACATTTATACTTAAAATAACAAAAATTAAAAAAAACATTTTTCCTTTCTTTTTTTCATGTGACGGCGTTGAGTCGTTGAGTTTGAGAAATACAATACCATAAGATAAATGACCAGAATAAAGGAAATGAAGGGAGCAACATACCTGTCTCTGCTGTTTGCTGTCCAAAAGACTCCACTAATGTCACTTCTTGATGTAAATGCTTTTGTGGACCATACTATTGTATTTATGGGGGTGAAATCATTTGTGTAACGGGGTTGAGAGCTTACCCAGTGAGGAACATGAGAAAATAGGTGGTGTCAACAGAAAAAAGAAAAAAACTACAAAAAAACTACAAAAAAAAAAAAAAAAGAAAAGAAAAGAAAAGAAAAGAAAAAAAGAAAAAAGAAATCCCCAGGAATCGAACTCACCTGTCCTTGACTTGGAGTTGTTTACTTTTATAGAGAAAGACCCACTAAAATTCGATGAGGAGGGCTTGCTCCTCAGTCCTCTGCAAAGTTTCCGTAACAAAAAAGAAATCTAGTTTTGACTGGATTAAATCATGAGGCGCAGAAGTTTTATTCCCAATTGAGCAGGCGTTCACCAGTGCCCTCCGGAGAGATGGAATTAATACTTCTTTAAATCTTTCACTGTGAGCCGCTGATGGGCCTCCATAACACATTTCTGGGCCCTGGGTGACGGCCTACAGGCCCTAAGAGACGAGCCGGCCATGGATCCCCAACGCGTGTGTTTTAAAAGTTGACTATTAAGTTTTATTCCGTGATGTGTGAATTTCATAGAGTTATAAAATTGTTGTTTTCCTACCGTTTTCGTCAGCGAGTGTTACCCCAGACGGAGCCACGCAGCAGAGGCACAGGACGAGGAAGAAAAGAGGCTTCATGCTCCTACGACGGTCGGACATGAAATGAAACTTAATTCAAGAGCTGCATTTATTCTTCTCCCTGCTTCCCGTAAGGAAACCGAGTATGTGGTACATAACACCACCTGCTGTACAGATTAACTCATTGATTTATTCCTTCATTTAACTTCCTCACTTGTTTTCCCCGGCACGATATATGGTTGATACGCGGCAGAGGCAGTGACACATGCCGTACCATCAGTCTGTCTTTTACTCATTGCCATTCTCGTCCCTGACACACTTTATTGATCCTCAGAGGGAAAATTCTGTCAATACAGCAGCAAGATATTGTCAGTTAGTGAGAAATGGCTACAATAAAAATTAAGAGTAGAAAAATATGAGACAAATGAATAAAAACATTGTTTGAAAATAATTAAGCGCGAGATATAACTTTTGTTGTTAGTGTTATTTTAAAACTTTTACCGATACAGTGAAAGTTATGGAATTAATTGACATGGTGTGATGTCAGATAAAAACTACAGGATAATGTCAAAACTGTGGTATGATGTATAAAATAGAAACAAGGTGCTGTGTACAGTATGGCAGCAATAATATAATATAATATAATATACGTAATATAATATAACATAATATTCCCAAAGACTCAAGAAACAGTACAATACCGCCAAAGAAAGACAAACATCAAAAGTGAAAAAAAAAAAAATTACCCCCAGGAATCGAACTCACCTGGCTTTGACTTGGAGTTGTTTACTTGTATAGAGGAAGAACGACTTAAATGCGCAGCAAATGCCTTGTTTTCATGACTTCCTGAGGTATTCTCACCTCTTCCTCCACCCAACATACTTTGCACCAACATTTCTGAGTCTACCAGCCTGAAAACTGTTAGAATGAGTTTGTTTAGCCGGTCATGTCACCCTTTAGAGCGGTGGAGCTGTGTCACTCAAATACCTCAGATATTTTGGTGCTAATTTTCTGGAGCCATGGGCCTCCGACAACTATCCTCAACGTGGACCTTGTACACATTTTTACATCACACAGGTCCCCAAAATATGTTCTGCCATGGTATTTCCTTCTATGGACCTTCCATATGTTCACCTAAAGCAGGGGTGGACAACCATGTGCCATGGAGAGCTGAGAGGTAGCAGGTTGTCTTTCCAACCCAAAACTCCACCAGGTGATTTCACTGATTACCTTACCTCCGAGCAGAGAGCAGGGACGAATCAGTGAAATCACCTGGTGGAGTTTTGGGTTGGAAAGAAAACCTGCTGCCTCTTGGCCCTCCATGGCACATGATTGTACACCCCTGACCTAAAGCTCCTTAAAATATATTGTCCTTTGTTCTTACCGTACATGGATTTTTCTTAGGGTCAACTACATGTCAGCAGTATGTTTAGAAATGTGGACAGGTATATATACTTGAACAGTCTCAGACCAATCTTTGTTACACTTTGTTAAACTTGTGTTATGATGAAGCTGTAACCCAGACCTGCAATCAGTAAAGCTTGTCAAAATGATCATTCGTGTGGACCTTCCATTTTTTATAGTGTGAACCTGGGCTAGGCATCCTTACAAAAACACTGCTGCTTCTCAGTCTAGGTTGGGGAACAACTAAACTTTGCTGAAACATGGATGATTAAGATAGAGGACAGTGGTTTTAATAGAAAAAACAAATTGAATTTATTTAGCACCTTTCAAAGTTTCATAATGTTCAGCCACTACTGTTATTTAATTATTTTTTCTCTCTCTCAATGTCAGAAAATAGTTTTTATTCCTGTGTCTGGAGTCAGCTGAAAAACTGTGAAGGGAAAATAACCAGAGTCTCTGCCTCTGTAACCTGAGGTTCAGATTAAATGTTTCTGTTTCTCCATGTTTCCTAAACTGGTTCCTAAAGGATTCAGTTTTTATACTGAAAAACATACAGCAGAATAAGATAATGAAGTTAGGGGCTTAATAAAATGTTTCAGATGATTTCAGGGCTTCAGATGGAGGTTTATGATTACTTTGTGTATTTTGCATCAATGACAGATCCAGACAGTGATTTACTACCCCAGTATTTATTTGTACCTTGATGCTCAGAAGTCTTTCTTGTACAGAAAAAGTCTTTATTATGTAAGCATGAGTATAAACTGTAATGTGTACAGTAGATAAAAATACTCTTTTTTTTTCCTCACTCAAAAAAACTGCTGTGCTGTGGATTCAAATATTACATAATCATGTTTTATTGACTATGGCTTTAAAAGCTCCTCTAAAGGTTTTTAACAAAGGCACACACATTTCAACAGATCAAAAATTTGTTCACAACTTGAAACCAAATCCAACAACATGAAGTAACAAAAAAGACAAACAAAATCATAGTATGTACATACAGGAAATAAATACATTCAAAGAGGATTAGTATCTTATCGAAACATGGGTAGAAAATGTGGTCATTACTGCATTACAGTTTCCTTTTTTATACAGTAAATAAAGCACATGTTGCATCCATAAATTAGCTTAAAAACCATCAGATATAAAGACATACATTGTAGAAAACATGGAACAAGAGCAAATCCTGAGAGAGAAAAAGAGGAAGGAAATGGACTTCATCTTTCTCCAAAATGCCAAAAAAAAAACCCTCTAAAAATGGGTTCAGCTCTTTTGCCTCTCGTCTACATTATTGTAATATTTACATATATAAAAATATACTTTTTTCATAAATTTTTCTTTGTTTCACAATCATATTTCAGCTTGTTCAACTAGTTGTCCAAGAGGCAGGCTGCACTGCTGTTTTCTTACTGTTACAGGTATACTTGATGGTCTTTCCCTTTGTTATCTTCACGAGTTAGGACAGACTTTCCTACAACAACTGTAAATGGTACACAAGATATGTTAATATAGTGCTTTCTTTGGTCTTTACACGTCACATTTACACACTGATTGCAGAAGCTGCTGTGTGAAGCACCATCAGTTTCTGACAGATCCATTCACATACTTCTGGGTTCATCCAGGGATGATTTTAAGAGTCCTGGAGTTCTTAAACTTAAATTCAGATTTACCCAAAACTTTTGCTATGAGATCACGTCTTTCCATTTCTAAACTGCATGTTTGTATGAGTGACAACCAAAGACAACCACATATAACAGTTCAAATCTGACAGTCTAGTGCAGTGGTCTCCATATGGCGGACCACGGTCCACTTCCGGACCAGGAAAGAGTCCAATACGGACCCGAGCCCACCGCAGAAAAATGTTGGGTTTTTTTTCTCTCTTGTAGGCCTGCACGATGTACGTGTGTGCGATAGTCACATCGCAGAGCCTACAATGTCGGAGGTGAATAAACTCAGTTAATTTCAAGGGTAACTGACTGAGATACACTGCATGTGACTCTGCATGTGCTGTGCAGCGATCCACCAATCACCTTTGTCCTTTACTCAGTTGCCAATCAGACTACCCTGCCAGCTGTCAATCAAAATCAGAGAGGAGGAAACCCACCCCTGCATATGTTCTGCACATGGAGTTACTCGCTGGCTGCTGGTGTCGAGCCGAGAAACGTGTCCGCTGAGAATTACTTTCGTAACTTGACTGACTGTTTAGCCCAACAAATGAGAACTATATGGGATTTAAAATGTATATTTCTGTGGACCACTCTACTATAAGCAGTGCGCGTTTTGCGAGGTGCATGCAATTCTCGGAAGCAATGCGTTTCTCGGCACAACACCGCTAACAACAACAACTACGTTGCAAAATGAGCAACGAACAAGAGAAAACCACTGAAAATTAAGATTTGTTGCCAAAAAGAAAAGGAAAGTCAGTTATCTGGAATTATTTCGGTTAAAAGAAGGATGATGTTGACCAAAACATGTGTTCTGTGTTCATCTGTTTCCACAATAACGTCCCAGCACAATAAAAGCTAAAAATATCTCTGAGACAGACAGAAGCCATTCTACTAACATTCACAAAAAGAGGTAAGATCAGAGTAGATTAACTGTCCTCAAGATTTCAGCGGTGCAGCATAACATTAAATGCTATTCAGGTCATCTGGTGAAAATTCCTATATTTTTAATATCGCAATATATATCACAGGGTTGAAAAAAATCGCAATGTTAGTTTTTTCCAATATCGTGCAGCCTTACTCTCTCGCTTTGTGCCCGATTCAGTAAACTGCACGTGCAATTTCAGCAAGGCATTACATCACTTGCTTACTCACTTGACTGGTCAATCAAATCAGACCTCTTAGCCTACTTGACACACAAAGATTACCGAGCAATCCCGATGTGGAAAACTGTCAGGTGGCAGACTGAGGAGAAAGTTGTACCAGCAGCTAAACATGCCGGCTAAAAACCACGAAAGGTAGAGAATGAGAACAGGGTGTTTTAGGGCGAGTGGACCGAGTCGTTTGCATTCATTTTACCCGCAGGAAGCACACAGCCAATTGAAAGTAGGCAGTTATTGGCAATACAAATGAAGTGAATATTTCAAAAGAGTAATGCACTGTAAAAAAATAAATAAATAAAAATCCCTGGACCCAGGCCTGCAGGCATTTCATTCAGGTGGACCCACTGAAAATTTATATGAAGACCCCTGGTCTACTGCAACCAAAATACAGCCAGATAAAGTGATCCGGGGTGGAAACTTTGGACTCTGCTTCAAGTAACAGTCAGACACTTAAATAGACTACACATCACAAATCTTTTGCTCTTTGTAGTTTTGTCCGGGTAACAGTGAAAACACGGTCTCTGATTGGCCCGGTTATTTTCTGATCGGGAATACACGCTCCCAATGGGCCGAAGTTCAGACTGTTGTGGGAAGGAACAGCAAGTGATTCACACAACAGGATGGCCCAGCCAGGCTAAGTGTCCCATACATTGGTCTGGACAGCGATCAGTTTGCCTACCATGGAAACATATCAGAGAAAGCCATCTCCATTGTACTCCACACAACCCGGTCTGTTCTGGAGCACACACCTCAGGATGCTACTCAATTGCTCTAGCAAATGGTTCTTGATTATCATAATAAAAAACGACTTTTAAAAACTTTGTAACAAAAGAGTAAAAGTAAATCTATATGCTGTTCGGCTGCTTTATGTTGAAATGGCAAGTGTTCTGTTCTACGCTGCGGTCTGCTGAAGAGGCAGTATCAAACACCAAGATGCAAGGCATCTGAACAAACAGATCTTTTGTACCCACAGCCATCAGACTTTACAATTCTGCTATAAACAGTAGATGACTTTTTGAGACATGACAATTGAGATGACAGACTATTGAATTTCCCCTCAGGGTTAAATAAAGTTCTTCTTATCTTAACTTCTTCTCTTATGTGTATGTGAATCCACCAACAGCTCGGACTTGACTTAGGTCATTAACTTGTTATCCGGATTGAGCAGGATCTCTTCATTGGGACATGAATCAGTATTACCTGCAGCAAATAAAAGAAAACATGAAACATTTATACTGAACAGAATTTATTCTGATTGCCTCTCAATTTAGATTTATGTGCTAGAAAAACAGAGACTATGACTCTGAATTGCAATTGGAGGTGGACAGTTCATGTTTTCTTTTGATTCTGAAGCCAAAAGGACCGTTTAAAAATCTCTAATATTCACAAAAAAAGACATTAAGTCAGGATGCAGTCATCGCAGGCATGTAATATGTCTGCTGAGTCACCTCACACAGTTCATAGCCAATATCTTGTAAAAACCTGCCAAAGTGAACAGTCCACCACAAGCGTATAGGCCAACAAGCTTCAAAGTCTAACAACTAGCTGGATGTGGCTGTACAAAAAAATCTATTTGATTTAACATTTTTTCAGTAGAGCCTGATGGATAAAACTGACTTTGCAGAAAATCAGGAGCTTGGGTGACTTGAGCCTCTGATTTTGGAGGAGTTAATTTGACCTGAAACTAACAGGTAAAATTGAGAGGAGGAGGGCTAAGGGGGTGCAGAGACAGACTGTGATGCATACAGTTTCTTAACATTTTTCCAGGAATGCTCAAAAGAGACTAATTTCCTTTGCATTAAAAGGAAATTGAAATTCAGACTATCTAACAAATTTAGAGGTAAAAAAAAAAGAAGAAAACAAAAGAAAAAACACTCAGAAAAACAGTGAAGACAGGGCAGAAGTTATCTACGACAGCTTAACACAGGATCACAGAGTGGGCAGGTAAAGGTATCAATCAATCAGGATTCTGACGGCAGAGCCTCAACATTACATTAGTTTTAAAGTTTTCATTGGTTTTTATTTTTAATGTTAATTTCAATTTTGTTTTAATTAGATTTTAAAGATCTTTTGTTTTTATTTTCTGAAATTGCTCAGTTTTAGTTTTAGTTTAGTTTTTAATTCGTTTCAGTCTGAGTTCTAGTTTTTTTGCAGGGGTTACCTGTTCAATTTGCTGAGGTTTTATTATAAGACACTTTTTTATTTCACCTTTTGTTCACCCTGTGTTACACCTGGTGTATTCTGTCTGACTGTCTTTTATTTTCTCTGCATTGGTTGCCAGTCAAGTTCAGAATTCATCTGAAGATATTTGAGTTCACTCATAAAGCCATCAGATCCCTCAGGTCTTCTCACCAGGGTCTACTTGCTGTTCTCCACGCCAAACTAAAAACAAAAGGAGGTCGTGCCTTCACACTTGTAGCTCTGACTCTCTGGAACTGTCCTCTTATTCAAATACACTTATGTTTTTAAAAAATGATTTGAGACACATTTGTTTAAACTAGCTTTAGATCATGTGCTGTAGCTGTCACCAGATAGTATTATAATCGTTATCTTTATTATTTTGATTTGTTTTGTATTTATTTTTCTCTTTATTTTTGTTGTTGTTCTTATATTTGCTATTTAATGAAGCTTTTTGTGACTCTGCTCTGTGAGAGGTGCTATTTCAAATGAACTTCACTTCTACGCTCCCATATCTTGTTTCTATTTGGAATATTTAGATGTCGTTGTTTTAGCTCAAATAAATTTTTTTCTTTACCACATACCTGTAATTTGGCTGATTTTTATGTTGCTGTCAGTCTAATTTCTGTCCAAACCCTCTACAACTTCAGTGAGCAAACCCTCATTTAAATACCAATACAGTCTTTGCACCTGACGTCATTAATGCAGTTTGTTTTAGCTGATCACCCAAAAAAATGCACAATAATGTGCACACAGTTTAGTACTTGTTATTTGTAATTTGAGTAAATCAGACTCTTGGTCTTTTAAATTTTGCACATAAAAAATGTTGTAGCTTTATACTGATAACATCTTACAACAATGACAGATCAAAGTCTTTACTCAGATAATATGAAAAAGAGGTTTGCTTACTTTCTCTAGTTCCATTCTCTACAGGGGACCATCCGCGGACTTCAGCTTGGATAAATACTTGATAACTGTGAAACAGGAGAAAGAAAACATCAGAGCAGTGCACCTGTCTAGTGGATTAAACAGGTGTTTCAAGAAGTTCACTTCAAATGTGATATCATTATGTTTGTGTACTGGTGTACTGGACAACTCCAGGAAACATGAAAGTGGTTGGCATCATTTATCCAACAGAGCCTGATGTCTTTTTTACAGGAGTGTGATTAAAAAAAATCTTTTGATATTTTCTACTGAATTGTAAAGCAGCACTCAAGTTCCCTCTGTAATAGTTTCTAAAAGTTTTGTTCAAGGTTATTTTATGTTGTGTTATTTGGGTGTCTGTATAAAATGTGCTGCTAAAACTTTATTTTTCTTTTTTACTTTTTGATGTGCTGATGTGTAATTTACTTGTCATTTGAATTGTTCCGTAAGGTGACCCTGAGTGTCTTTAAAGGCGCCTATGAATAAAATGTATTACTATTATTTTTATTATTGCTGTCCAGTATTATCAGCAGACAATATTTGATTGTTGAATGATTTCTTTCAGTCAACTTTAACAACCTTTAACACTGATTCTGATTATGGTCACACTTATATAATAAATTAAAAAAACTTACCTTTGTCACGGCAGGTTGGGCTGTACCTTACAAACAAAGCTAGAAATATGACCAGGGCCGAAAATCCTATCAACAATACACTCAACACTCCTATGATCACTTTGCAGGATGAATCCTCCGGTATTTCACCTAAAACAAAGAAACAAAGACACAAAACGGGCTAGTGTAACACATGGGGCTGTTTTTATGCGCAATTTGAAGACCAGACTACAGAATGTGGTTGTAATAAACAACAAAATAACATTTTCTTTTTGGCTGTGAACATTACACTTTCTAGAGTAAGAACAGCTTAAAATATGTATTTGCTTCAACACTGTTTGACCTGAAAATATTTGCTCTTTTACAATTCCCCATTCTCCTGCACTCTGCTCAGCTGGTGTCTGAGTTTCAATTGAGAGCCTAATCAACCCCCCAAAACTCTTATTTAACCTACAGGTATCTCTTAAAACAGCAACAAAAAAAAAAACATAAAATTTGTCCGAATTAATGTGAGATTTCTGTTGATAATTTATTTGATTGAATCACATTGTCACAGTATTTGTGTTTGTGTACAAGTGTTTCAAATGAAACAGTTTTCAGTGCAAATGACTGTTTCCTAAAGGCTACTGTACATCACATGATTAAGAATAAAAACATATAAAGTCTTTGATACTTGGAAAAAAAAAAACCCTTACCATGTATGTACACAAAGGTCTGCGCCTTAATCTCATGATGAATTCCATCCTGTTTGAGTACACAGCTGTAGTGATCTGTCTTGGTCACAGTAGTCTGAAGGGTGACCTGGTATTTGTCTCCTGTTTTGGACGGCAGTATCTCTCTAGCAGGAAGGTCTTTACCAGAACTGTCCTGCCACTCCAGTTTAGGTTCTGGTGAAGCGCCCTGAACCTCACACTGCAGCAGAGCTCTTTGCAGTGTTTGCTCAGTTATCTCGATGCATGGTTTTGGAGATGCGGCTGTGAACATCATGTAAAGAAAATAATTACTTTATTTGTTTCCATTTCTTCCATCTTTCATGTATCTATTTTAAGGTTGTTTAAAATACCGTGGTTGTTTATTTCCTGGCTAAACATGTGATATACAGACAGTGCTTGACAGAGTGAAACACAACAACCAATCACTGATAGATGTGATATTTCAACAGTTTGAGAAATTCTGTAAAAAATGACCACTGAAAGCTGTCAATAAAAAGAGACTAATCTGGGTTTAATCCAGTTCATCTGTACAGTCTCTGGTCTGGAGTTCCATTTTACTATAAACATCCAGTTTTAAAGAAGCAGAGATGAAACAAACGTATTAATGCACTCACTACCATAAATAATTTGAACATCAATTTCCAGTTTGTTTCTCAAGCATGAATAAAATTCAGATTCTGGTTCCAGCTTTTTTGGATTGATCATTTTCTGTTATTTATCAATAAAAACCAGATGTCTTTGAGTTTAGATTGTTTCTTTTTTACATCTTCAGTGACGATTTCACGTCTACACTATGTGTGCCACAACTCAGTCAGCTAGAGGCTGGTTAACAACACAACAGGTTCACTTTAAAACATTGTGCTGTATCATAGATACCAAAAAAAAAATAGCTCAGATGGTACACCAGCTTCTCATACCTGTGACCTGACAATCCTGCTATTTACAGTTAGCTTCTTTTTTGGTGCTTTCACACTGCAAAGCTGATAAGTTGCTGACATTAGCTGTGTTTACATGGGCACAAATAATCGGGATAAAGGCTCGATCAGAATAAAAATGTGTCACGTAAACATGTCAGTCGGAAATTCTGATCCAATTCCCAATTGGAAAGAAATTGTATTCCGATCAAGAGGGGTGGTTTATTTCGAACCACGTCCATTTAAACACGATCATGACTCTCTGTTGGGGCAAAACTAATCTGACTCTGTTAGTGACAAGACGTAAACATAGCCAAGAGCAATTGGTCTGCGTCTGACACAACTTTCTTGCTGGATACAGTCTCCTCATGTAACGCAGGATTGGTAAGTGCTGCTGGGCCTGCTTGATGATCATGTCCGCTAGAAGCAATACAACCATTCTCAGAACCTGGCTCAGGTCTACTCTGAGTGAAGGGTGTACAGCATTGGAGTGCGCAGCTGTCTTCTCATGGATGGAGAACAAGCAAAGCTTGACTCGATCTTCACTCTTTAGCATTTGGCTTATTTATTGAGGCCAGTACAGGAGGTTTCATGATTAACACTCTGGCATAAAACAAAACCGCAGGTGATGTGTCTGCTCCTCCGATAACATAACAAGGCGTACATACAGCCTAATGATGTTACATCTGCACGCACAGTGCAAGCTTTGACAGAACAGTAACATAAGTACGCGAGGGGGCCATCTAGTGACAACATTTAACCAGGAGAAGAATCCTGAATTGGATGAAGTGAGCCACTACTACATTGGTTGGTTTGTTGACAGCACTCTTCTTCTTCTGTGATTGTTTAAGTGAAATCAGACAACTCTGCGCATGTCCAAATGCTTCCAATCTGAAAAAAGCTTGATGCATGTATACGCACGTCTCCCATATAAACAGAGGATTCAGATTTTCTGATCCCTCAAATTTTTAAGTGGATGAAGAAATTTTGCACATGTAAACATGGTTACTGTTACTGTGAAAACCCATGAAGGTGGGCTGGGGATGTATCTTTTTAAACAGTCCTCTGAAGGATTTTAAAATCAAAACAGAGAGTTTTCAGTGGTGATTAATTACAAAATCCTGAGGAGACAAAATGTTTCAAATTTTACACCCTAATAGTGGTGGGACCCCCATGGCTGAAAAGAACCAAATCAAAGTTTCTGTTTATAGTGATCTGCCAATATTCAGCTTCGTCATCTTGAATCACCAAGCTACATGCTAATCAGCTAGGCAGCTATTTTTCATAATATTTATCACTACATGCTGAGAGCCTCCTGAGCTGTAGCATCCATAATAAAGCTGTGAAACCATCACTCACCTCCATTCTCCCCTGATCGATCTTTATAGACTGACTCTGGAAAACAAATAAGAACACTGTGCATAAGTCTGGACAAATTTAGGGGAGTTTCAGAGTAAAAACAACTCCACATGGAATCAGGGATTACTGTTGATTATCTAAAAATGCATTTATATTGAAGTCACAAAGATACAAACACACAAACAACAAGAGCACTACAATAATGTATCTCCCCCAGTCTTGCGTGTCTGTTTTAGTACCTGCAGAGCAGTCAGAGGACTTAAGCAGCTTGTAAAGGATGAAAAGAGAGAGTTAGTGTCAAAGAGGGAAGAGCACCTACTGGTCATACAGTGGATAAGACTTTCAGGGGGTGTGCAAATAAATATAAGACCATAATACAAACAAACACTCAAAAAGATACTGAGGTTCACAAGTATGCATTCAAAGCACACAATTAGCAGTGATACATAATATATTAGGCCTTTACAAATGTCTGTTTCCAGTTCAATGTGGACAAATAACCACAAACAATCCATGAAAACCACACACGATCAGAAGTATAAACTTCTTTAAGGAGTAAGTCCCAAAAACTTTTCACATTGTGTGAACATAGTGATTCAGTTTTTTTTCTTTTTCTTTTTCCAATCTGCAACAATCTCTCGGTGCTCTGTGTGCGGCTGTGACACAAACATGCACGCACACAGAGATACACAGAGAGAGAAAATATGGCTATCCAAAATCTGCATCATTGTCAGGGAGCTTCACTGCACTCCACAGAAGGATGAGATAGATGCTTTGAAAAGTAGCTTACACCTTAAACTCTCAAATATAAGCTGAGTCTTTTAGGTGTTTTTACTGCCTCAGCCTTTGTATGAGGGAGGCTATGATCGGCAGCAGCCCTTTATAGCAACTTCTCTTAGTCTCTGAGAATTAAAATGTTTCATATTTTAAACAAAGTGAGGGTCTTATTCAGTAACTCCATCCAAAAAGACATTTAGTTATTTACAAATCACAAAGCTCTTGGTATAGGCCTGGTTTTCTTAAAGTTTAGGTGTTAAAAAATGTGTATGAACGCCAAATTACCAACAAACAGATACATACAAACAAAATGTAGAATTTGTTGGGATATGCATGCAGTTTAGTTCTTATGTCTCTGTATTCAGGAAAAAATATATACAGTAAATGTATGCATTCGTTCGTTCATTCATTCATTCCAGAGTGAAACTCGTGTATAACGAGCAGATTTGTAATTAAACTGTTAAAATGTTATTTAGTCCTACTTGCATGTTGTTTGTGAGCAGCTTCAGCAGCCTGAATTGACAGTTACTGACAGAAAACATGTATTTTAAGACTTATGTTTTATCAGCATACTCACCAACAATCAGCTGGATGTTGAACATCTGATGGGGCTGAAGACGTGGAAAATCACAGCTGTAGTTTCCACTGTCAGACACCTCAGTCTTTGTGATCTTTATGGAGGCCTTACCGTTCTTCAGTTCATCTCCAAAATGTGAGACTCGACCTTCAAACTGTTTATCTTGACCTGAAAGTCCATTCCCGTAAGTAAGGCCGCCATCATACATGAACACCTCCATGTAACTGTCTTTCTTCCAGTCAAACAGCTTTGACTCAATGTTCTCCTTAGAGCTGAGGGAACAGGGTAAAACCACATCACTGCCTTCTTTCACTTTGATGACACCCAGCCCTGAAAGATGAAGAAGGTTTCCATCATTATATGTTCACAGAAATCAGGTTATAGCAGAAAATCACAGAAACACATTGATCTATCTATTTATCTATCTATCTATGTTTTAATACTGATACAAATGAGGAATAGAAGTTCATTTAGAGGTCACCTGAGAGAGTTGTTATAGGAGAGTTTTTTTTAAATCGGTTTTCTGACAGTGTGGGCCGAGAATCAGAGGATCAAGTGTTTTTGACAGATTCTGAAAAGTTTTAGAAAACCGAGATTGTTGTCTTCATTTCTCCTCACCGACACCTGGACCTGTGTGAAAGATGGCACCGAATATCTTTCTGATTGTTAAATACGAATCATCCTTGTGGTCCATTTACTCCAGCACAGACTCTGTGTTGTGACAGAGATGCTGCAGTCAGTCCAGCTGCTGAGAGTTGCACCTCACCATTGAGTCACAGCTATGACATCAAGCCTAGGTGGATGTGTCGTCTATTATGCTCTTCACGATCTTCAGAGACAATTGAATTTCCCTTCGGGGATCAATAAAGTTATTCTTACTCTTATTATAGAACCGGGTTAGTTTATGATGTGTTTGTCCGAACTGCTATGCTAATGCTAGTGTTGCTAATGCTAATGTTTATGAGATGCTGTTAGCTTGGATATACGGAGAGCAGGGCTGTAACATCAGCCCTGCTCTCAGCTTAATAACAAATTGTCGAACTTGGGTGCTCACCGTTTGTTGAGAGAACAACCATGAAGAACAGAAGACAGATAAGCTCCATCGTTTTCTCAAAGGAAGGTGAATATGTTCTCGTCGGATATACTTCCTTCACTTCAGTGTGTTGCTACTGCGATGGGCGTGGTTTGGAGGGCCTGACGCAGAATATACTTTCAGTGTTGCCAGTTTTGGGCAATTGGGCTACTTTCGTTTACGTCAGGCTATGAAAAATACATTGGACTGGTGAATAAAATTTAGGCTGCTTTTGTCCACATTCGACGAGTTTTTAATATTGTTAATACATCTCTCTCTCTCTCTCTCTCTCTCTCTCTCTCTCTCTCTCTCTCTCTTTTAAATAAATCGTTAAATGAATACACCGACAGTTGTTGGTGAGGTTTGATTCTTCCGTGTATTATCCAGCCGACCCGGTTTCCAGTGACTGTACAAAGTTTTTCGTTCTCAATATTGTCCAAGTTAATGGAAAGACGCTGATTCTGTGTAAAAAGTAAGACGATTTTTTTTATGTCACCTTGTCTTATTTGCACTGTGACTGATTTGTAGCCCACTTATAGCATTTGCTCGTTTACTTTAAAACTAGTTTTTCGTGGTTGTGTGTTTGAAATCTCAATCAGATGCTGTACGGCCAGGTCTTGTGCGTCTTTCAGCACCACAGGTGTGCAAAGCAGGGATGAGAAAAAGAGGGGGAAAGAGGCAGGAAGAGGCGCTCTGTGCATTTTTGTTTGTTTTGAATTGTTTTGCAAGTGGTCCTCATACGGGTCATTTGTGATGTAAATAATTACATTTATTAGGCCTACATGGTTAAGACCCTTTGACGCACAGCAGTCATTATTACTAATCTGGGCCTAGCGCTAGGATACCAGAGGTTCATCTTGCAATTTGTGTAGCCTATGGTGGATTTACTGCGCTCTTGTTGGTTACAACTAAACCTATTTATTGTTTATGTGTGGTTATTTGACTCTATATGAAGCTCTGGATACCTGTGGGCCTTTTTCTGTTGCATGTGTTATGATTTTACGGGTTTACATGGGTGTGTGGCAACTTCGTGGTTTGGGCTGGGATTTATTGGATTGGGCGGGTTCTAGGATGTGATTGGAAACTGTCAATCTGATCTGGCGACGCTAAGGCTCTGCGGCACTCTATACGACCGTAGCTAGCAACTAGCAACTAGAAATGAGAACATATTCACCTTTCTTTGAGAAAACGATGGAGCTTATCTGTCTTCTGTTCTTCATGGTTTTTCTCTCAACAAACGGTGAGCACCCAATTTCGACAATTTGTTATTAAGCTGCTGATGTAACAGCCCTGCTCTCCGTATATCCAAGCTAACAGCCTATGGAGCCAGATCAGGCTCAAAAGTATTGAAAAAGTAGTGTAAGTGAAAAAATAAAAAGTGAAGTGAAAAAATAAGATTTGAACCTGAAAAAAATAAAATGGTACCTGAAAGTCTTGAATTTCGAAATTGAACTTTGAAAAATCCCAGAATGCATGAAAAAAATCTGTTCAAATGTAACTTTGATTCTGTTTTTTAATACTTTTGAATAAATTACTTATTTCTATTTTTCACTTCAATGTATATTTCGATCTTTGAGTACTTTTTTTTTTTTCGATTGAATTTTATTTATTTATTTCAGATTCAGATCTTATTTTTACGGATTCAAAACTTTTTTTTCGGTTTCAGATTTTTTTTTTCAGATTCAGATCTTTTTTCAGATTCAACTTGAAAAGTTTCAGGTTGACTTTTGAGCCTGTTTTTCCGTGGGGGCGGGCCTCGACTGAGAGGGGCACGGTCTGCCATGAGTGACAGGCCTCCCCCTCCTTCCCCACCCCATCACCCTGCGTTCAGGAAGTGGCATGAATACACATTAGCTTAGCCTACAATTAGGCTGTATTGGCTGAATGAGATCGTGTTGGTTCGTTCCACTTTAGTGGTGCAATACAAACTGTGATTCATTAAAAAGCTCTATTGATAGTAAGTACTAAAAAGAATATATCTACTCCTGTCATCCTGTCGATTTTTAGTAATCAGTGTTTCGGTGTCGAACTATTTCCCCTCTGCGGCGTTCTCGACTTTACAAGGACACGTCGGGAAACTTACAGAACTAGTATTAGAAAGTGGCTTTCTCTACAGGGTGAGACAAAGGACCTTGCAGAAACTTTGCGTTGATATCGACTTTGACAATGTTCCTGATGACACTGGGTTTCACATAACATGCTACAAGCGATTTATTTGCAAAAGGGGTTTGAGAAACAATAACGTGATGCAATCGCGGATGGTATGGATGAATGGTATTGTCTATGCAAAAATGCATTGAACAAGTAGCACCAGCGTATTTGAACGAAATTCACTTTCTAGGCACTTTTTCCTTTGTCCCAATACAGCCTAAAACCTCAAGCGAAGTTTCTTTCGCGGAGTTTCAGATGCCGTGGACGTGGATGCATCGGCGATGCTGCGTTAAGGGTTTGACTGACCCGCGGCTGCATCACGTTCTTGTTTCTCAAGCCCCTTTTGCAAGTAAATCGCTTGTATCATGTTATGTGAAACCCAGTGTCATCAGGAACATTGTCAAAGTCGATATCAACGCAATGTTAACAAGTTTCTGCAAGGTCCTTTGTCTCACCCTGTAGAGAAAGCCACTTTCTAATACTAGTTCTGTAAGTTTCCCGACGTGTCCTTGTAAAGTCGAGAACGCCGCAGAGGGGAAATAGTTCGACACCGAAACACTGATTACTAAAAATCGACAGGATGACAGGAGTAGATATATTTTTTTTAGTACTTACTATCAATAGAGCTTTTTAATGAATCACAGTTTGTATTGCACCACTAAAGTGGAACGAACCAACACGATCTCATTCAGCCAATACAGCCTAATTGTAGGCTAAGCTAATGTGTATTCATGCCACTTCCTGAACGCAGGGTGATGGGGTGGGGAAGGAGGGGGAGGCCTGTCACTCATGGCAGACCGCGCCCCTCTCAGTCGAGGCCCGCCCCCACGGAAAAACAGGCTCAAAAGTCAACCTGAAACTTTTCAAGTTGAATCTGAAAAAAGAAGATCTGAATCTGAAAAAAAAAAAATCTGAAACCGAAAAAGTTTTGAATCCGTAAAAATAAGATCTGAATCTGAAATAAATAAATAAAATTCAATCGAAAAAAAAAAAGTACTCAAAGATCGAAATATACATTGAAGTGAAAAATAGAAATAAGTAATTTATTCAAAAGTATTAAAAAACAGAATCAAAGTTACATTTGAACAGATTTTTTTCATGCATTCTGGGATTTTTCAAAGTTCAATTTCGAAATTCAAGACTTTCAGGTACCATTTTATTTTTTTCAGGTTCAAATCTTATTTTTTCACTTCACTTTTTATTTTTTCACTTACACTACTTTTTCAATACTTTTGAGCCTGATCTGGCTCCATAAACAGCCTCTCATAAACATTAGCATTAGCAACACTAGCATTAGCATAGCAGTTCGGACAAACACATACATGGGCCATCCTGTTGCGTGATTCCAGCCAGGCTAAATAGACGACACATCCACCTAGGCTTGATGTCATAGCTGTGACTCAATGGTGAGGTGCAACTCTCAGCAGCTGGACTGACTGCAGCATCTCTGTCACAACACAGAGTCTGTGCTGGAGTAAATAGACCACACGGATGATTCGTATTTAACAATCAGAAAGATATTCGGTGCCATCTTTCACACAGGTCCAGGTGTCGGTGAGGAGAAATGAAAACAATAATCTCAGCTTTCTAAAGCTTTTTCAGAATCTGTCAAAACCACTTGATCCTCTGATTCTCGGCCCACACTGTCAGAAAACCGATTTTAAAAAAACTCTCCTATAACAACTCTCTCAGGTGACCTCTAAATGAACTCCTATTCCTCATTTGTGTCAGTATTAAAACACAGATAGATAGATAGATAGATAGATAGATAGATAGATAGATAGATAGATAGATAGATAGATAGATGTGTTTCTGTGATTTTCTGCTATAACCTGATTTCTGTGAACATATAATGATGGAAACCTTCATCTTTCAGGGCTGACTGTCCGCAAAGTGAAAGAAGACAGTGATGTGGTTTTACCCTGTTCCCTCAGCTCTCGGGAGAACATTGAGACAAAGCTGTTTGACTGGAAGAAAGAAGGTCACATGGAGGTGTTCATGTATAATGGCGGCCTTACTTACGGGAATGGACTTGGCGGGCAAGATAAACAGTTTGAAGATCGAGTCTCACATTTTGAAGATGAACTGAAGAACGGCAACGCCTCCATAAAGATCTCAAAGACCAAGGTGTCTGACAGTGGAAACTACAGCTGTATTTTTCCACATCTTCAGCCCCATCAGATGTTCAACATCCAGCTGATTGTTGGTGAGTATGCTAGACATAAGAACTAAACTGCATGCATATCCCAACAAATTCTACATTTTGTTTGTACGTCAGTGTCTGTTTGTTGATAATTTGGCGTTCATACACATTTTTTAACACCTAAACCTTTAGAAAACCAGGCCTATACCAAGAGCTTTGTGATTTGTAAATAATGTCTTTTTGAATGGAGTTACTGAATAAGACCCTAACTTTGTTTAAAATATAAAACATCTTAATTCTCAGAGACTAAGAGAAGTTGCTATAAAGAGCTGCCACTGATCATAGCCTCCCTCATACAAAGGCTGAGGCAGTAAAAACATCTAAAAGACTCAGCTTATATTTGAGAGTTTAAGGTGTAAGCTACTTTTCAAAGCATCAATCTTATCCTTCCGTGCAGTGAAGCTCCCTGACAACAATGCAGATTTTGTCTATCTTACATGGTATAGAAATATGATAATCCAAAATGAACAATGTTGTGACGCCTGCTTTATTGCCCCCGATACATTCTGTATGTTGAATGAGGATAGAAAAAACAGGCTAAAAAGTTAGAGACATCCTTCTGAATCATATTTAAATACAAACCCAATTCTTGACATTTTAAAGGATGTCTTATTAAAGCCTGAAAAGACTGAAGGATGTGTTTGAACTGCATCCTATGAGAAAATGTAAGCAGTAAAAGAGCTTAAATCATTTAAGTTTTTAGGACACAGTGTAAAAATACTTTGACTGTATATCAATGAGTATTATCATCAAAATCAAGCTCTTCAAGTGATGTGAGGAAGTGATGCATGGTCCCTGCTTTTAATAACTGATCTCAGTATCAATCAAAATAATTGTGGTTATGGTTTTTGCCATAATTGAGCAGCCCTAGTCAGTCTATCTGCTCTTCTCTCGGTCTGTCTGCTGCAGACATAAATGTGATGTGCAGCATTATGAGAAGCTGAGGAGATTGAACAAATTTTCATTTTTTTACAGCCTGTGTGCTGGCAGTCGGCAGTGTGTTGGTGCTTTGTGAGAGCTTTAGGTGTCATTCAGAGCAAAATGAAGCACAGACACGTACATTGTATGGGATGAAGCATGAAAACATACAGAATATGGCACAGTTGCATTTTTGCTCTGGGTTGTGGAGTCTTTTATAAACTCACTAGAGTTCAGACGCTGATGCTCTCACTCCTTTGCTAATAGCATCTCTCGATTGATGACGTGTGTAGACCTGTTTTTTTTTTAGAAGCTCTGGTGCTTTTCAGTGCTGTCAAACACAAAAATAACAGATATCGGTCTTTTCTTAAGCATGTGGAGAGGAAAAGTATCAAAGAACTGAAAATTTAAAATTGGCTTTACTGCAAGTTGTAGGCATCTCTCAGCCTGAAAAGACATTAAAAATTTAATGTAGGTAGCTTTTGTACGCCTCAGAGAAAATCTATGTATTTTCCAGATCACATATATTTAAAACCACCATATTGTGTGCTGATCTATGCATTCATATCAGTGAAATATGCTATTTTAATGGTTATCCAGCCATGAATTACTCCGCCATCATCTTAGTAAAGGGCATCTTGACCAAATAAAAGCTGTCTGCAGACCCCAGAAGACCGTCGCTGTTGGTGCCCTGGAGTCTCTGGGAAGTGAGGCCAGATCTCCCCTTACTTCACTGTGATGGCAGAAAAAAAACTACAGATATATGGCCATGATTGTGATGTTGTTCAGTTTGGTGTTGGCTTTCAGCAGCTCTGTTTAGCTCTGTGTATCTCTGTGTGCATGCCTGTATGTGTCACAGTCGCACACAGAGTGCCAAGAGATTGTTGCAGACTGCACAAAAAACAAACAAAAAAAAAACTGAATCACTATGTTCACACAATGTGAAAAGTTTTTGGGACTTACTCCTTAAAGAAGTTTATACTTCTGATCGTGTGTGGTTTTCATGGATTGTTTGTGGTTATTTGTCCACATTGAACTGGAAACAGACATTTGTAAAGGCCTAATATATTATGTATCACTGCTAATTGTGTGCTTTGAATGCATACTTGTGAACCTCAGTATCTTTTTGAGTGTTTGTTTGTATTATGGTCTTATATTTATTTGCACACCCCCTGAAAGTCTTATCCACTGTATGACCAGTAGGTGCTCTTCCCTCTGTGACACTAACTCTCTCTTTTCATCCTTTACAAGCTGCTTAAGTCCTCTGACTGCTCTGCAGGTACTAAAACAGACACGCAAGACTGGGGGAGATACATTATTGTAGTGCTCTTGTTGTTTGTGTGTTTGTATCTTTGTGACTTCAATATAAATGCATTTTTAGATAATCAACAGTAATCCCTGATTCCATGTGGAGTTGTTTTTACTCTGAAACTCCCCTAAATTTGTCCAGACTTATGCACAGTGTTCTTATTTGTTTTCCAGAGTCAGTCTATAAAGATCGATCAGGGGAGAATGGAGGTGAGTGATGGTTTCACAGCTTTATTATGGATGCTACAGCTCAGGAGGCTCTCAGCATGTAGTGATAAATATTATGAAAAATAGCTGCCTAGCTGATTAGCATGTAGCTTGGTGATTCAAGATGACGAAGCTGAATATTGGCAGATCACTATAAACAGAAACTTTGATTTGGTTCTTTTCAGCCATGGGGGTCCCACCACTATTAGGGTGTAAAATTTGAAACATTTTGTCTCCTCAGGATTTTGTAATTAATCACCACTGAAAACTCTCTGTTTTGATTTTAAAATCCTTCAGAGGACTGTTTAAAAAGATACATCCCCAGCCCACCTTCATGGGTTTTCACAGTAACAGTAACCATGTTTACATGTGCAAAATTTCTTCATCCACTTAAAAATTTGAGGGATCAGAAAATCTGAATCCTCTGTTTATATGGGAGACGTGCGTATACATGCATCAAGCTTTTTTCAGATTGGAAGCATTTGGACATGCGCAGAGTTGTCTGATTTCACTTAAACAATCACAGAAGAAGAAGAGTGCTGTCAACAAACCAACCAATGTAGTAGTGGCTCACTTCATCCAATTCAGGATTCTTCTCCTGGTTAAATGTTGTCACTAGATGGCCCCCTCGCGTACTTATGTTACTGTTCTGTCAAAGCTTGCACTGTGCGTGCAGATGTAACATCATTAGGCTGTATGTACGCCTTGTTATGTTGTTGAAGAAGCAGAAACGTCACCTGTGATTTTGTTTTATGCCAGAGTGTTAATAATAAAACCTCCTGTACTGGCCTCAATAAATAAGCCAAAGGCTAAAGAGTGAAGATCGAGTCAAGCTTTGCTTATTCTTCATCCATGAGAAGACGGCTGCGCACTCTGATGCTTTACTCAGAGTAGACCTGAGCCAGGTTCTAAGAGCCGTAGTATTGCTCCTAGCGGACATGATCATCAAGCGGGCCCAGCAGCACTTACCGATCCTGTGTTACATGAGGAGACTGTATCCAGCAAGAAAGTTGTGTCAGACGCAGACCAATTGCTCTTGGATCCCGCTAAGTTTACGTCTTATCACTAACAGAGTCATGTTAGTTTTGCCCCAACAGAGTCATGATCAGAATTAGTGTTTAAATGGAGACGTTTCAGAATAACAATCCACCCCTGTTGATCTGAATACAATTTCTTTCCTATTAAGCTGAAACCGGAAATTGATGTTCAAACTATTTTTGATAGTGAGTGCATTAATACAACTTTTGTTTCATCTCTGCTTCCTTAAAACTATGGATGTTTATAGTAAAATGAAACTCCAGACCAGAGACTGTACAGATGAACTGGATTAAACCCAGATTATAGTCTGTTTTATTGACAGTTTTCAGTGGTCATTTTTTACAGAATTTCTCAAACTGTTGAAATATCAAATCTATCTGTGATTTCACATGTTTAGCCAGGAAATAAACAACCACAGTATTTTAAACAACCTTAAAATAGATGCATGAAAGATATGAGAAATGGAAACAAATAAAGTAATTATTTTCTTTTCATGATGTTCACAGTGGCATCTCCAAAACCATACATCAAGATACTTGAGCAAACACAGCAACTACTTTTGCTGCAGTGTGAGGCTCGTGGCGCTTCACCAGAACCTAAACTGGAGTGGCAGGACAGTTCTGGTAAAGACCTTCCTGCTGAAGAGATACTGCGGTCCAAAACAGGAGGCAAATACCAGGTCATCCTTCAGACTACTGTGACCAAGACAGACCACTACAGCTGTGTACTCAAACAGGATGGAATCCAACACGAGATTAAGGCGCAGACCTTTGTGTACATACATGGTAAGGGTTTTTTTTTTCCAAGTATCAAAGACTTTATATGTTTTTATTCTTAATCATGTGATGTACAGTAGCCTTTAGGAAACAGTCATTTACATTGAAAACAGCTTCATTTGAAATACTTGTAAACAAACACAAATACTGTGACAATGTGATTCAATCAAATAAATTATCAACAGAAATCCTCAGACTCATTTTTATGATTTTTTCTGTTTTATAAAAAAACAGCCCCATGTGTTACACTAGCCTGTTTTGTGTCTTTGTTTCTTTGTTTTAGGTGAGGATTTGTCCTGCAAAGTGATCACAGGAGTGTTGAGTGTATCGTTGCTAGGACTTTTGGCCCTGGTCATATTTCTAGTTTTGTTTGTAAGGTACAGCCCAACCTGCCGTGACAAAGGTAAGTTTTTAATTTATTATACAAGTGTAACCATAATCAGAATCTGTGTAAAAGGTTGTTAAAGCTGACTGAAAGAAATCATTCAACAATCAAATACTGTCTGTAAATAATAAAAATAATAGTAATACAATAATAAAATTATAGTAACACAAGGGTGAACATCTTGAAACACCTGGTTAATGCACTAGACAGGCGCACTGCTCTGATGTTTTCTTTCTCCTGTTTCACAGTTATCAAGTATTTATCCAAGCTGAAGTCCGCGGATGGTCCCCTGTAGAGAATGGAACTAGAGAAGGTAGGCAAACCTCTTTTTCATATTATCTGAGTTAAGACTTTGATCATTGTTGTAAGATGTTATCAGTATAAAGCTACAACATTTTTTATGTGCAAAATTTAAAAGACCAAGAGTCTGATTTACTCAAATTACAAATAACAAGTACTAAACTGTGTGCACATTATTGTGCTTTTTCTTGGGTGATCAGCTAAAATAAACTGCATTAATGACGTCAGGTGCAAAGACTGTGGAGGTGATGGTATTTAAATGAGGGTTTGCTCACTGAAGTTGTAGAGGGTTTGGACCATAGACTGTATATAGAATGGAAGCCGTCTGCCTCCTTGCTGGGTGAAGCCACTCCGAGAACAGCACCCTCTGTTGATGGGCTGCAGTATAGGTCATAAATCCCGCCTTCACCAGCAAAGCTTATGGAGCTGTGGACAAACTTTAGAAATTTATTACACAGAACATAAATTTTTCTCCCCCCTGCTTGTGATGTTGACATGTAGTTATAGTAAGACTGGTTTGTGCTCAAGTCCTCTTTTTTCTGTGAAGCTCCGTTTTTAAAAGTTATTGGGGGGTTCATGTTTTCTATGATTGACACCTGATATAGCCTATGGGCGTTCAGGGATTGAGTAGCTCACCCGGGGGATACGCTGTTTGAACCGAGCGTAGTCACAGTGACTCTCTGGGACTGCGCGGCCGAATGCACACAACGCTACTGCACAGCGCTGGTTTCAGGAAATGAAGAAAAATCCCGGAAATACCGAGAGCTTTTTGGCTTCAAATCCATATACAAGCGGTAGGCAAACCAGGTTGTCCATAGTATATACAGTATATGGTTTGGACAGAAATTAGACTGACAGCAACATAAAACTCAGCCCAATTACAGGTATAAGTGAAAGAAAAAAAAATATTTGAGCTAAAACAACGACATCTAAATATCCCTAAAAGGAACAGGATATGGGAGCGTACAAGTGAAGTTCATTTAAAATAGCACCTCTCACAGAGCAGAGTCGCAAAGTGCTACATTAAATAGCAAAAATAAGAACAACAACAAAAATAAAGAGAAAAATAAATACAAAACAAATCAAAATAATAAAGATAACGATTATAATACTATCGGGTGAAAGCTACAGCACCTGATCGACAACTAGTTTAAAAAATGTGTTTAAAATCATGTTTTAAAAACATCAGTGTAGTTACATAAGAGGACAGTTCCAGAGAGTCAGAGCTACAAGTTCAAAGGCACGACCTCCTTTTGTTTTTAGTTTGGCGTGGAGAACAGCAAGTAGACCGTGGTGAGAAGACCTGAGGGATCTGCTGGTGATGTAAGGGTGGAGCAGCTCAGAAATGTTCACTGGAGCTGGATTTTGAATGGCTTTATGAGTGAACTCAAATATCTTCAGATGAATTCTGAATTTGACTGGCAACCAATACAGAGAAAATAAAAGACAGTCAGACAGAATACACCAGGTGTAACACAGGGTGAACAAAAGGTGAAATAAAAAAAGTGTCTTATAATAAAACCTCAGCAAATTGAACAGGTAACCCCTGCAAAAAAACTAGAACTCAGACTGAAACTAATTAAAAACTAAACTAAAACTAAAACTGAGCAATTTCAGAAAATAAAAGCAAAATATCTTTAAAATCTAATTAAAACAAAATTGAAATTAACATTAAAAATAAAAACCAATGAAAACTTTAAAACTAATGTAAGGTTGAGGCTCTGCCGTCAGAATCCTGATTGATTGATAACTTTACCTGCTCACTCTGTGATCCTGTGTTAAGCTGTCGTAGATAACTTCTGCCGTCTTCACTGTTTTTCTGAGTGTTTTTTCTTTTGTTTTCTTCTTTTTTTTTTTTTACCTCTAAACCTGTTAGATAGTCTGAATTTCAATTTCTTTATAATGCAAAGGAAATTAGTCTCTTTTGAGCATTCCTGGAAAAATGTTTAGAAACTGTATACATCACAGTCTGTCTCTGCACCCCCTTAGCCCTCCTCCTCTCAATTTTACCTGTTAGTTTCAGGTCAAATTAACTCCTCCAAAATCAGAGGCTCAAGTCACCCAAGCTCCTGATTTTCTGCAAAGTCCGTTTTATCCATCAGGCTCTACTGAAAAAAAATGTTAAATCAAATAGATTTTTTTGTACAGTCACATCCAGCTGGTTTTCAGACTTTGAAGCTTGTTGGCCTATACGCTTGTGGTGGACTGTTCACTTTGGCAGGTTTTTACAAGATATTGGCTATGAACTGTGAGAGGTGACTCAGCAGTCATATTACATGCCTGCGATGACTGCATCCTGACTTAATGTCTTTTTTTGTGAATATTAGAGATTTTTAAACGGTCCTTTTGGCCTCAGAATCAAAAGAAAACATGAACTGTCCTCCTCCAATTGCAATTCAGAGTCCTCGTTTCTGTTTTTCTAGCACATAAATCTAAATTGAGAGGCAATCAGAATAAATTCTGTTCAGTATAAATGTTTCATGTTTTCTTTTATTTGCTGCAGGTAATACTGATTCATGTCCCAATGAAGAGATCCTGCCCAATCCGGATAACAAGTTAACGACCTAAGTCAAGTCCGAGCTGTTGGTGGATTCACAGACACATAAGAGAAGAAGTTAAGATAAGAAGAACTTTATTTAACCCTGAGGGGAAATTCAATAGTCTGTCATCTCAATTGTCATGTCTCAAAAAGTCATCTACTGTTTATAGCAGAATTGTAAAGTCTGATGGCTGTGGGTACAAAAGATCTGTTTGTTCAGATGCCTTGCATCTTGGTGTTTGATACTGCCTCTTCAGCGGACCGCAGCGTAGAACAGAACACTTGCCATTTCAACATAAAGCAGCCGAACAGCATATAGATTTACTTTTACTTTTACTCTTTTGTTACAAAGTTTTTAAAAGTAGTTTTTTAGTTTGATGATAAAGAACCATTTGCTAGAACAATTGAGTAGCATCCTGAGGTGTGTGCTCCAGAACAGACCGGGTTGTGTGGAGTACAATGGAGATGGCTTTCTCTGATATGTTTCCATGGTAGGCAAACTGGTCGCTGTCCAGACCAATGTTGGGGACACTGGCTTTGATGTGTGATAAGACAAGCCTCTCAAAATACTTCATGATGATTGGTGTAAAGGGAACTGGGCAGTAATCACTGACACACCTGACTGAACACTTTTTATGGATGGGAATGAAGGTGGTGGTATTTGAGGCATATAGGGACGGCAGGCTGCTGCAGGGCAATCATGTTCGTGTTCTAGAGGCTCAGAGTCATTATCCAAAAAGATACAGACATCATAAATAATGAAATACCAAAGAGGGAAAGGATTTGTGATGTGTAGCTTACTTAAGTGTCTGACTGTTACTTGAGGCAGAGTCCAAAGTTTCCACCCCTGATCACTTCATCCGGCTGTATTTTGCTTGAACTCCAGGGGTCCGTTTCACGTAGGTGGTTCAACAAACTCTGAGTCAAATCCTCAACTCTGAGTTGATCTACTCTGAGATAGGAAACTCTGAGTTTCCGGTTTCACAACACCTGATTTGAGTCAGTTTTAGCATCTCCGAGTAGTTTGACCTGGAGTTAAGCACGTGCACGCCAGACATAAACAGCCAGCATCTGTGGAGCCCAGATTCATTGATCAACCAATGGAAACAGGGAGAAGGAGGGGGCAGCAGCAAGTCAACGGCGAATTACAGCACGTTTTTAAAAGAAAGTGCAATACAGCAGCAGCTGCAAAGGAGTTAAAGGTGGGGCTGCTGGGCCACCACCCGTTTTTGTGTTAGTTTAATATTCCTAATCATTTAACGGAACATCATAAGAGAGTAAAATTCATTTTTGAGTGTGAAAAGAACATTTTTTAAGGGATCAAACTGCTACTTAATACTTACTTGACAATGTAAAACATGATCAAAATGAGAAAATGCCGATGTCTCACCTGAAACTCTGGGTTTACTGAGTAAAACCTGGTCCCGAGCAGGTTAGGTTCACGGAGTCTGTCACTATGGTAACTGACCGCGAGGTTGAATTACCTCTCTTTGTGAAACAGGTTAGAGTTACCCCTATCTCCCTGGTTTAACTGACCCTCCTTTGTGAAACGGAAAACTCAGAGTTTCCCTGATTTCAGGGTTAACAGACTGTGAGTTTCCATTAAACCTGCTACGTGAAACGGACCCCAGGACTCTTAAAATCATCCCCTGGATGAACCCAGAGGTATGTCAATGGATTAATCAGAAACTGATGGTGCTTCACACGGCAGCTTCTGCAATCAGTGTGTAAATGTGACATGTAAAGACCAAAGAAAGCACTATATTAACATATCTTATGTACCATTTACAGTTGTTGTAGGAAAGTCAGTCCTGGTCTTATATATATGGTGTACATGTATGTATGCGTATGTAGGTGTGTGCGTGGATGTCTGTTTTGTAAAGATTTATTTTGTTTATTTTTGTGCTGCTTTTCTTGTTTTCTATCTTTGAAAGTATGTCCTTTACGTTCTGCCTAAAAGTGAGGAAAGTGTAGGCACAATAAGCCATGGGCTTCAGCCTACACCTTTTTTTTGGTCCAATGATTTAAATGAAATGAAATAAAAAGTGTAATTATAACATTTTGGGACCAAAAATAAAATAAACTGAACTGAACTGACGCGTGAGGACAACAAAGGGAAGGACCATTAAGTATACTAGTAACAGTAAGAATACAGCAGTGCAGCTGCTCTCTTGGACAACTAGATGAACAAGCTGAAGTATGAGTGTGAAACAAAGAAAAATGTTTGAAAAAAGTATATTTGAATATATGTAAATATTACAATAATGTAGACAAGAGGCAAAAGAGCTGAACCCATTTTTAGAGGGGTTTTTTGGCATTTTGAAGAAAGATGAAGTCCATTTCCTTCCTCTTTTTCTCTCTCAGGATTTGCTCTATTTCCATGTTTTCTACAACGTATGTATTTTTATCTGACGGTTTTTAAGCTAGTTTATGGATGCAACATGTGGTGTAGTTACTGAAAAAAAGGAAACGGTAATGCAGTAATGACCACATTTTCCACCCATGTTTCGATAAGATACTGATGCTCTTTGATTGTATTTATTTCCTGTATGCAAATATTATGGTTTTGTTTGTCTTTTTTGTTACTTCATGTTGCTGGATTTGGTTTCAAGATGTTAACAAATTTTTGATCTGTTGAAATGTGTGTGCCTTTGTTAATAACCTTTAGAGGAGCTTTTAAAGCCATAGTCAATAAAACACGATTATGTAATATTTGAATCCACAGCACAGCAGTTTGTTTGAGTGAGGGAAAAAAAAAAAAGTATTTTTATCTACTGTACACATTACAGTTTATACTCATGCTAACATAATAAAGACTTTTTCTGTACAAGAAAGACTTCTGAGCATCAAGGTACAAATAAATACTGGGGTAGTAAATCACTGTCTGGATCTGTCATTGATGCAAAATACACAAAGTAATCATAAACCTCCCTCAGAAGCCCTGAAATCATCTGAAACATTTTATTAAGCCCCTAACTTCATAATCTTATTCTGCCTTATGTTTTTCAGTATAAAAACTGAATCCTTTAGGAACCAGTTTAGGAAACATGGAGAAACAGAAACATTTAATCTGAACCTCAGGTTACAGAGGCAGAGACTCTGGTTATTTTCCCTTCACAGTTTTTCAGCTGACTCCAGACACAGGAATAAAAACTATATTCTGACATCGAGAGAGAGAGAAAATAATTAAATAACAGTAGTGGCTGAACATTATGAAACTTTGAAAGGTGCTAAATAAATTCAATTTGTTTTTTCTATTAAAACCACTGTCCTCTATCTTAATCATCCATGTTTAAGTAAAGTTTAGTTGTTCCCATGCCAACCTAGACTGAGAAGCAGCAGTGTTTTTGTAAGGATGCCTAGCCCAGGTTCACACTATAAAAAATGGAAGGTCCACACGAATGATCATTTTGACAAGCTTTACTGATTGCAGATCTGGGTTACAGCTTCATCATAACACAAGTTTAACAAAGTGTAACAAAGATTGGTCTGAGACTGTTCAAGTATATATACCTGTCCACATTTCTAAACATACTGCTGACATGTAGTTGACCCTAAGAAAAATCCATGTACGGTAAGAACAAAGGACAACATATTTTAAGGAGCTTTAGGTCAGGGGTGTACAATCGTGTGCCATGGAGAGCCAAGAGGCAGCACGTTTTCTTTCCAACCCAAAACTCCACCAGGTGATTTCACTGATTCGTCCCTGCTCTCTGCTCGGAGGTAAGGTAATCAGTGAAATCACCTGGTGGAGTTTTGGGTTGGAAAGAAAACCTGCAGCCTCTCAGCTCTCCATGGCACATGGTTGTCCACCCCTGCTTTAGGTGAACATATGGAAGGTCCATAGAAGGAAATACCATGGCAGAACATATTTTGGGGACCTGTGTGATGTAAAAATGTGTACAAGGTCCACGTTGAGGATAGTTGTCGGAGGCCCATGGCTCCAGAAAATTAGCACCAAAATATCTGAGGTATTTGAGTGACACAGCTCCACCGCTCTAAAGGGTGACATGACCGGCTAAACAAACTCATTCTAACAGTTTTCAGGCTGGTAGACTCAGAAATGTTGGTGCAAAGTATGTTGGGTGGAGAAAGAGGTGAGAATACCTCAGGAAGTCATGAAAACAAGGCATTTGCTGCGCATTTAAGTCGTTCTTCCTCTATACAAGTAAACAACTCCAAGTCAAAGCCAGGTGAGTTCGATTCCTGGGGGTAATTTTTTTTTTTTTTTTCACTTTTGATGTTTGTCTTTCTTTGGCGGTATTGTACTGTTTCTTGAGTCTTTGGGAATATTATATTATATTATATTATATATATATTATATTATATTATTGCTGCCATACTGTACACAGCACCTTGTTTCTATTTTATACATCATACCACAGTTTTGACATTATCCTGTAGTTTTTATCTGACATCACACCATGTCAATTAATTCCATAACTTTCACTGTATCGGTAAAAGTTTTAAAATAACACTAACAACAAAAGTTATATCTCGCGCTTAATTATTTTCAAACAATGTTTTTATTCATTTGTCCCATATTTTTCTACTCTTAATTTTTATTGTAGCCATTTCTCACTAACTGACAATATCTTGCTGCTGTATTGACAGAATTTTCCCTCTGAGGATCAATAAAGTGTGTCAGGGACGAGAATGGCAATGAGTAAAAGACAGACTGATGGTACGGCATGTGTCACTGCCTCTGCCGCGTATCAACCATATATCGTGCCGGTGAAAACAAGTGAGCAAGTTAAATGAAGGAATTAATCAATGAGTTAATCTGTACAGCAGGTGGTGATGTATACCCCATACTCGGTTTCCTTACGGGAAGCAGCTTTTCAAGGAAGTTTCATTTCATGTCTGACAGCCGTAGGAGCATGAAGCCTCTTTTCTTCCTCGTCCTGGGCCTCTGCTGCGTGGCTCCATCTGGGATAACGCTTGCTGACAAAAACGGTAGGAAAACAACAATTTTATAACTCTATGAAATTCATTCAATTTCATGGAAATTGCACAATCTGAGTCCCTCTCACTACTTAAGATGTATTTAATCTATTGGGTCAGCAGAATTTATATTTAAACAGCTTTACATTTACATTGAAATGTCTAACTTAATACTGCATAAAAATAAAAACTAAATTTCATCTTTTTATGAGCAATAATGTAGTTTTTTTCTTTCTTTTTTCAGTTGACACCATCTATTTTCTCATGTCCCTCAATGATGGCCTCATGACAGTATGGTTTGACAATACAAGATAAAACTATTAAAAAGTCAATACACTTTGAAATCAACCTTGCCATCTATTTGTGCTCTTTTTCTAGTGATGTTTTTCCTTCAAAATTGATTAATATTTATTGATGAAGATCACATTATGTAATTCTGTCAATGGGTAATCTCTCAACCCTGTTACACAAATAATTTCACCCCCATAAATACAATAGTATGGTCCACAAAAGCATTTACATCAAGAAGTGACATTAGTGGAGTCTTTTGGACAGCAAACAGCAGAGACAGGCATGTTGCTCCCTTCTTTTCCTTTATTCTGGTCATTTATCATATGGTATTGTATTTCTCAAACTCAACGACTCAACGCCGTCACACGAAAAAAAGAGAGAAAAATGAAACTTTTGAAATGTTTTTTGTTATTTCAAGTATAAATGCTAACTCTGGATCTCATACATGCTATGTGCTCTCTCTCGCTCTCTCTCTCTCTGGTATTTCCTTCATTGAGCAGTGGCCATTTTGTGCTAAAATCACAACCCAGTCACACACAACTCCATTATGTGTTTGATTGTAACAGGGTTGTTAAGTTTTCCTTTTTTTTATCAATTGTTATTATTTCAATCAACATTTTTATACCACATACATGCTGAATGTGCTCTATGTTCTATGTTTAAGCTGTGAGTAGGATGGCACCAAGAACAGCAGCAGAAAGACAGAGAAAGTATTGAGAACGCCTTAAAGCTGATCCTGAAAGAAGGGAGAAATACCTGCAGAGTGAATGTGAGAGATTGACAAAGAATGTAGAGGCGAGGAAAAAGAAATCAGAGAAAGAGAGCAACCTAAGAAAAGAAAAATGCAGAGAGAAGGAGAAAGGAGAGAAGAGGAGTGCCCAAGAACTTAAGCTGAAGAAGAACATGCAGGGGGAGAGTCTGATCCATGTTGAAAACTACAGCTGTAGATACAGTTCTCAAGTTCAGGAGCTTCATATCAGCAATTAATGAATTAAGAGGCACAGGCACACACACACATGCATACACACACCGACACAGGCGCATACACACTGACATGGACACAGACACTGCTTGAGACAAACAAACTGAAATGATTAACTGTTTGATTGTAAATGTTATCATGACTATAGTTAATCAGTTTACAAGTTTAATTGTATGAAATAGGATTGGCTCTTATGCCTGGACACACACACACACACACACACACACACACGCGCGCACACACACACACACACACACACACACACACACACACACACTTGTACAACTCACTGTACACAGTTTGACTGTTGTTAGGTGTTTTAAAGAGGCCTTTGTAGTTGTTTTAACTTTAGTTTGGTAAAACTCAGTTCAACTGCAATTAATATTTTGTCCTTTTTTGCGGTTGCATAATGAAATATAGTGCTAATAGAGAGTCCTATACGGTGATTTTCAGAGTGAAAAAACAACTGGCTTTATGTAAAGCTGTAGCTGTCCCTACAAACCCGTTAGCATCTTCAACACCGTCTTGCCTACATTTTCATTCATTATTCTTTTTTTAATGTTTGAAAAAAATAATTTAATGTTTGTCAACTTCTGTCTAAAATGTTGCGAGCTAGCAACAGATCATTGGTTTTAATTACAATTCTTCAGTAAAACGAAATATTTGCTGAAAAATCACAACAGTGCTTTTACACATACGTACATTAAAGTCAACAAAAATGTAAGCTTTTGTGTCATTTTTGTATTTAAAATTTTTGAATTAGTGGGAGGGACACCTGACTGACTAAGAATATTGCTTCCTTTAGTAAAACATTTTATGGTCATATTCAGAGAGCGTAGTGTCGATAATGGGGTTGAAAAAAAACAGTGACCACATCTTGAAATAATGACCAATAATAGTAGAAAATGAATGTCTGAGATGGAATAATGTGTTTTTCTGAAATTTGAATATGTCCTTAATGCTGTGGGACATACATCCAAATAAAACATTTTGGTCCAAAATGCTAAAAAGGCCAATTTGAGCTGGTACAGTTTCACACGATAGCACTGATCAGTCAATCACTACTGTTACAAGCTACAATCATAGATTATCTACAACTATCATGGATTTAGACAGACCTGAAACTCTGTTTTCATTTTAATATGTTTTATTTTAATATGTCATCTTTTTCACATACAGCTGCTACATCATGGCTTTCTTGTTTTGTTTGGTTATATTTCAACAAGCCACAGTGCTACTTTTTCTGCAGGCAATTGGGAATTGCCTGTTTATCATTTAGCAAATAAATGACTAAGTGTTAATTATGTAGCCTAATGTAAACCTACACAATAGCCTACTAACTAAATATTCATCTTAAGTAGGTCAATAGAGCAGCACACCAAGACAACAATTCAATGATGCATGACACACTCATCAAACTTTACTTACTTTACTTCTCCATTTCATCTTGTTCATCCAATCTCCTTCTGCATCACGTGATTTGTTGTCTCTTCTTGAGTCATTTTGGGCATTTGACTCTTTGGGGTTACCTGAAAACAAACATGAATTACAGTCCTTCGGTTACTGTGAAAATATGTGGGGTTTTTTTTCTTAAAGCCAGCATATGTGTACTTATTAACCTGGCTAAGGCTACTAAGTATTGAAAGAGTTATTTACCTTCAAATTCCCAGAAACACACAGTACATCCATCATTCATCTTTTCTTCATCTCTCTCTTCATGGGCCTGTCTCTCGTATGTTCGGTCCTCCTGTGTCTTCAGTCTCCTGCTCAGGTCCTCTGGGGGGTTTCTTCTCAATTATGGTCCTTTTCCTAAAGAAAACCAAATTGAAAACGGGTCCTACACTAACCTTGTTTCATGTAAACAATCACTCTGGAGGAACCAAACTCACCTTTTTAGACTAACTTACCCACTAATTGAATAAATCAAGTAAAAGACATGCTCTTACTTTGAAGGAACCAAAATACATGAAAAAACAAGACATCACAACACAAACACATGCGTGACAACACAAATCATGGAACAAAACAACACATCACAAGACATGATACTAAAATCATGCCACTACACAAAACATTCCAACACATAACATCAAAATAAATAACCATACAACACAAGCAAGGACTTTTAGGGTAATGCCTAATGAGTCCACAGTGAAGTCCTTTTTTCTGCTTTTAATTGAAGCTTCAGGTTTATTAGTTTGTTTAGGAGCCAGTGAGAGAGGAGGAGCGGGAGAGGAGCGAGCGATTTGTGGTCATTAAGCATCCAAACCAAAAAGTCAGTGTCTTAAACTAATACCAGAGGGTTCTATTGGAGGAGGAGAGGAGGAGCTGCAGAGGAGCGAGGGATTCGTGGTCGTGGTCATTGAGAATCTAAACCTAAAAGTCAACGTCTTAAACTAATACCAGAGGGTTTTACTGGAGGAGGAGAGGAGGAGCTGCAGATGAGCTGGAGGCTAACTAATGCCGCATTAACTTACTATCTTATCTTAACTATAACTTAACTTACTTAAACTTAACTTATCTTAACTGAAAGTTAACTTACTCTAACTTAACTTATCATAACTAAACAACTTAACTCATTCTAATGTAACTTCTCTTTAACTTATCCCAAAAGGACTCTTGCTTGGACGGTTGTTTTCCATCTGTCCAGCAGGCCTCTTGTGAGTCACCTTAGACCGCTTGAACCTTTGCTTCAGGAGGCCTCATAGGTTCTTCGTCCACCTGGTCTCAGGAGCAGCAGAGATGGGTGGATGGAGGGGGTGCAGTGGTCCTCGGTTGGGCCGTCCACCGCTCCTTCCTCCTGGAGAGCTCCTCCGGGTCCTCAGGCTGCAAACCTGGCCACTGCTCCTCCTCTGACATCAGCGGAGGCAGGCAGGGGGAGGGGCTGCGGGAAGGTCCTGCAGGGCTCCTCGGTGACCTGGCTGGAGAGGAGCAAAGAGAGGGGCAACAAGTAAGGGAGCCACGAGAGCAAGAAGAGCAACTACCAGAAGAGGAAGAAGAAAAAGAAGAGGAGGAAGAAGAAGAGGAAAAGGAAGGAGAAGAGCTAGAAGGAGAGACGGATGCAAAGAAGGGGAAAGAGACAGGAGGAGGGACATGAGGAGAGAAAGGAGGAGAGATAGGAGGAAAGAAGGGGGAAGAGAAAGGAGGAGGGACAGGAGGAGAGAAAGGAGGAGAGATAGGAGGAGAAACCTGGAGGGCCTACGACTGGACCAGACGAGGCTGCACTGCACCACACGGACCTGAGACAGAAAAACATATAAATTAAAAAATCTGAACTCTGCAGGAATGGTTTTCTGGTTTTCACATCTTTAAAATAATTTCATGAATACAATTCAGTTCAACAAAATTAAAATAAAAGACAAATTCATAAACACATTTCTGTAATCAAAATTATTCAGACTATAAAAGTTTGGTATGTTGTTTTGAAGGCATGCTAACGGCCTCTCTATGTTGTCAGTGTAATTTCCCACTTACAAAATGAGGCCTGGGATGGGACCTTGTTAGAATAATGTGCATAAATATATATAGAAGTTATCATTATTCCTCATATTCTTATGTAAGAGTTTATACTACAAATATAAACTCTTTGACATCTTTTTATACATTATATTAGAGTATTTTTATCATATAAGAGTTTTCCTAACTTCTCTCTTTTCAATAGCTTTACTACACAGTACACAATGTTTTTTCTGTTTGCTATGACCATGTTTCTCCTATCAGCAGGTGTGGGTGTGGGGGTGACGTATTCTCCGCTGAATCATGGGAAGCTCCTGAGAAGGATCCATCCTTATCAGAAGGAGCTCGTTAGATGCCGCCTTGACCTTCAGCTATTCATAAATTGTTCATTATTAAATGCTTACTTTGCAGCACATTTACTCCCACCTTTTTAGAAACATTGTGTAACCAGGGACAACTGTGAATAAAAGGGGCGGACAGAGAAAGTATCCTGAGTGTGGTACTGAGATAGCTAAAACAGATCTCTGTCCATTACTCAAACATATCTGTAAGGATGCCTAGCCCAGGTTCACATTAGAAAGAATCGAAGGTCCACACGAATGATCATTTTGACAAGCTTTACTGATTACATATCTGGGTTACAGCTTCAGCAGGCCACAAGTGTGACCCAAGTGTGACACAAGTGTGTTCAACCTAAGTGTAGCAAAAAGGGGTCCACCCCCAAGTGTGGCCACCACAATTGTAGCAAAGAGTGGTCCAAGACCATTCAAGTATATATAGCGGTTCACAATCCTAAACATACTGTTGGTATTTAGTTGACCCGCGAGGAGAAATCCATGTATGGTAAAAACAAAGGACAACATGTTTCAAAAGCCTTAGATGAACATGTGGAAGGTCCCAAGAAGGAAATATCATGGCAAACATATTTTGGGGACCTGTATGATGTAAATAATGTGTACAGGGTTCCTTGCTCAGGGATGGTTGTAGGAGGCCCCCGGCTCCAGCAATCTAACACCAAAGTGTCTGGGGTATTTGAGTGACACAGCTCCACCACTCTAAAGGCTGACATGACTGGCTAAAGAAACTCATCCTAACAGTCCTCACTTTTTTTTTTTTTTCTTTAAACATGCCAATTGTTCATAAATAATTGCTGCTGGAACAGATGATAAATAAGACTGGTGACCAGGGTCACTTAAAACAAAAGAGTGGATTAATGAAACAAACATAAGAAGGGTCAGCCACCCAAACCAGCCCACAAAGGGCCGTCAGATTTGAGGCCACCCTCTACCCTAGACCAACAATTGAACCAGCTAAACCCTACAAAACCATGAACAAAAGCCGCGAAAACAGAACTTATCAATCCACCTGAAAGTAATCTAGGTGATAATTTTATATTGCAACTAAAGTAAAGCATGTTCTTTTAACTCAGTGGAGTGATGTATCTTGTGTCAGCTAATACGTGGTGGAGAATGATACTTTTACACTAGAATCTCTGAAGTGGTGACCGACACTGTGATCACATGGGGAACATCATATATGGTCAGGATATATGCCATCCCATCGTTGGAATCTCCTGATGACTCAGATGACTCAGAATTGGAGACCCACGGTTTCCATTTGAATGGGGAAGAGATAAGGGCATACGCTGTTTGGACTGGATCCTGCACAAAAGACGTATTGACAACATCACAAACAGATTATGATTAGTGTACAGAAAATGGAAGTTCTCTGGAATCCTTGAGAGATTTGGCTGCTAAGACTAAAAATCTAAAATCTAGTGTAAATTTTAGCAGGCCTTATGACGAATTGGTAATTGTTAACATTTTTATCTGAGGTTTCTTCTCTTTCTTGGTCAAACCTAGCAGTTTTAGCAATCCATAAAGAGGCACATGCGTCTTCCTAGTCATAGTTCTTTTGACATGGGTCATTAGCCTTTGGATTGTTTGACTATTCTACCCCCCTTTTCTTCACATGTCCACCAAACGTTGAGCTGTCCTTCCAGTCCTAGAGAGAAAAACAACTCACAGATAGAGATGTCGTTAGTCACAACTGTACAAATTGCATTCGTGACACTATGAATGTAAGCTAGGAGTAAATTGTACGCTAGCCAAGGGAGCGTAATCTGTTGCCCATCATATCTTTATAATACACCAGCAACCATGTTACACTTCTTTATCTGTTAGATGTTTACTTTAAAATCAGTGGCCCGGCTTTAAAGCAAAATTAAGTCATCAACGGAAAACGGCGGAACAGAAGGTTGTATGGATGGGAACTAGGAACTAATCAAGGAGGAAATGGTGCATCAAGTGCCACTTTTTCTTTTTTCTTTTTTTTTTTTCAAATTGTCTGCTAATTTTCGTTGCCTCTGGTCACTTCTTTGTCAGATAGTAAATGTGTTGTTACATTTCACAATAGCGTGTAGGATACAACATCTCAATTTTGATTATCAACAAGTGCATAACCTGTCATTGTAGGGTCTACGCGCAGAACCATAAAATCATAGTTCTCCAGTGGAGTCTGTTGCATCTTTACTCTTACTCTAAATGTCGAATTGATTAAGTTCAAGTAATCTAGTGACGGAATTTCAGCCATCTCTTTGTTACCATGCAGCAATGACTTCAAGTGTATCACTAGATAAATATAAGTGATATAATATAAGGGAAGTTTTGGTGTTTCAGCTAACATGCGTTTTTAGGTTCATCACCTCAGACTGATATGCTGTGTGATTATGTTGCGGTGACCAACATTCACTGTGTGTATAGCATGCTGTATTAGTGGATATCGTAACACTGTAGTCTGTGCCTATTTAAACGTAATCGCCACAGCCATCATAGCTCGCAAACATGAGACTATCATTTGAACAAGTATCGTTGGGGATTTGGAATAATATACAACAGGTCTCAATCCTTAATCAAGCACCCTCGTCAGAACAGCAGTGGGGACTCCTGTCATCCGCCATACGAAGGTGAAAGCCCGGGTTGTACTCCGGAAACCTTGATGTTGGAGCAGTGCAGAGAAAATACTCGATACAACGAAAGACGTGTTTCATGCCATTAGTCCAGTTCATAATGTCCAGTGCGTCCTGGGGCGTTGACTCTTGGAGCATAGGATCATGGACGGTATAATTACCAGCCATGCTTGACTATAGTCCACCAGACGCAGAAGGGATACCTGTTCAGGTTTGTTCTTTTTTTTGTTTGTTTGTTTGTTTGTTTGTTTTTTTTTTTTTTTTTTTTTTAACATGGTCCTTCAGTGTCCTTTATGGCTGTCACACAATCAGGAGAGAGATATCTGCACCCAGCTCTCAAGATGTATTCAAGGTAGTTGACAGATTCTCAGCAGAATTGAAGCTCGGCAAGGAATGTCCTGTGACCTGTCTCGGCCAAATGTATCCGTGGGGCCAAGGAATCCAGTATGTAGTCTTTTCAGTCTCTGGGTAAAGAAGCAGGTCATCCGAATACTGGAGGATACAGGATTGACATGGTAAAGTTGGATGAGACAAGTGCAAATCGACAGCTAAATAACCTGTGGCGAAATCAACAAATCCCATAGGTAGTTCTTCCCAGACATATTATTAATTTGTGTACGTAAACGTAGAGAAATTTTGTGTCTCTTCATGTACAATGATAGAGAAATATGCAGAGCATGAATTGAGTTAGTATAGAAGCTAGAATTATAAGATTGTGCAGTTAAAACTGAGTCAATATCAGACACTATGAGAGCTATGGATTACACTACTTTATTGAGGGACTATTTTCCTCTGTAGAAATTTGATGTTCATCCTCACTCTTCAAAATCTCAATGTTGTTGGTTCAGATGCAGTAGACCGGATGATGTCTTAGCACTGACTATCAGTAACTGTTGCATGATAGAGATGTTATCCCGATCAAGGGCTTGTTGAAGTGACCAGAGATACCAATAGATTGAACTGAAAAACTACTCAAATGGCCAATTCAATTTGTTCAGGATCTTGTTCCTCCTCCTGAAAACCCTTGGTTCCTTGATTGGCACCATACCCCATCCTCTAAGAATCATTCTGCAAAAAGAGATCAGAGGTTATTTGAGGCATAAAGTGAAGTTGTACTTGGTTCACATTACTTTTTTGAGGACTCCTGCTCCTTTCTACAGGAGGCTGTCCCACTACGGGTCCAGTTACATGACAGTGAAGGCATCTGTCAGTCATGACTTACTATAAGTATGGGAAATATGCTCTTGAATGTGCATGCCAGGTATCCTTTTACAGTCTCACTCTGTCACTAAGGCTTTGACCTGTGTCAGATATACACTTTCTGTTAAGTCATAAATTGTATTACAATTCTGGATACATTGATGAATACATTTATCTTAAAGGATGTATGTTGAGAGATTTGACCCTCCCAACATCTGAGTATAACAAGGGGACTACTTTTGTTGGCATTGGGCAGGGCTGTTCATCATAATTTAACATGTACAAATAGTGAACTGTCATCTTCATAACTTACATACTTCACAGACGCACTAGGTAGGTTTACATGAGGAGACACTGAACCTGGGAGCTGCAAGACGGTGTAACAATAAGCTTGCTTCTTCATATTTTACTTGAACAGTTTCTTAAGTCATAGAGTAAACTTTTTGTTTTTCTTTTTTAAACTTACTAAGATTCAGAGGAAACTGATGAGCCATCTAAATCTACACCTTTGTCATGTAGTCTTGATTCCATAGAAAACTATCGATGGTTGTGTTATTTATTAGATACTCTCGTACAACATCTAATTTCCTTCTGTTTCTATTTTTGTTATTTTTTATACTTTCCTATCATTCTGATACTTATTAGTTTTTTTCTTTTCTTTTCTCTTATTAAAACTGTTGTCCATAGAAAATCCATCGTCAGAGCACTCAGCCAAATTTATAAAAAGGTTCATCGTAATAGAACCCCAGCTTTACTTGCACCTACTCCCTGGCTGACATCTAAACTACAAACATGGTTGGAACAATGTCTAACTGTGGAACAGTTTCAAGCATTTCATTGATCACTTTTCATCCTTTTCTTGGTAGATCTAGCTTCAATTTTTCTTAGTATTTATTTATTTAGCTATTTTTATTTTTATTTTTATTTTTTTACCACGTGGCTTTCTGAATTTACTGGTTTGTGACCTCAGTGCGAGGATTATTACTTGCAATTAGTAAATCTATGGTTATTTGTGAGTATGCAAAGCGTCAAAAGGTTCGTGTGTTCCATCCATCTGTACTTTAGGTCAAATTCCATCTTTAAAAAAAATACATCCTGAAGAATTGAGACTGGTATGGGTCGATATTATGCAATACGTAGATACATAATCACACTACAACTGCCCCTGAATAAATCGGGGCCGTCAAGCGGTCAGTCCGTTCAAACAGAGACAGAAGTACCTGTTAATGACTGAATCGGGGCCGTCGTGCGGTCAGTCCGTCAGACTATTAAACAGTAACAACAATAACACAACCGCGTCGTCCAACGACGTCTTTATATAAAAAACCAGAAGTACCACTCTGCTAATGACTGAATCGGGGCCGTCGAGCGGTCAGGCCGTCAGACACTTAGACAGAAGTACCAATTCAATATTTATCAACATGTCCTCCAAGGACTTCAGTATCTATTCTTGTCTCTCTGGACACCTATATTCACACTATCCATCTACTGCGAGTGGGCCCACCCTAATATTGATTAATATCGACACATCTCAGCAAGCAAATTCAGGGAACTATTAATGTTGTATTAAATTAAATACATTATCCATTCAGACTATCAAAAGTTTAGAAGCCAATTGTAAAAGGGCTACTAGGCATCCCAATAGACCAGACGATTCCAGCAGGTGAGGTGGACGACAGATAAGACCGTGGCCACGGCAGACTCTTTAGGATGAGTCTTGAAGACCTCTTTGAGGAACTGGACTCGACCTGCCTGCTGGGATCTGACGGTTGACGGAAATCCGAAGCCAAGGGGAAAGACAAGTGGTGAGTTGGTCTTCTATAAAAAGGAACGTGGAATGATTGAGATTCGCTTCGCGTAGAGAATCTATAAAAGACCAAACAAACAAAAGGACGCACGGGTCCTACGTAGAAAAATCCATGGAAAAGGACGCACGGGTCCTACGTAAAAAAATCAGTGGAAAAGGACGCACGGGTCCTACGTAAAAAAATCCGTGGAAAAGGACGCACGGGTCCTACGTAAAAAAATCCGTGGAAAAGGACGCACAGGTCCTACGTAGAAAAATCCGTGGAAAAGGCCTAATTGAAAAAATTCTGCAGAACAAAACACGTGTTAAAAGTGTGATTGTGAAAGTGTGAGAGTGATTGGAATAGGCATATATCACTAGATATATCCTATTCATACCAAAACAGTGGGATTGTAAGTAGTGACCTTATTGTGGAAGCAAAGGCAAGAATTCTCCACTCGCAAGAGTAGAAGTGAGAATTACCACATAAGGAATTTTTTATCACTACCCCATTGAAAGAACCCAGCTTAATAGGACACCCTAGGTGTCACCTAAGCTGGACCAAAACACATAAAAATGGGGACGGGAGCCAGTAAGGCTAAATTAGATAAACTAAAAAGTCAAGACTGGAAAGTTTTCCAGACAGAGCCCGAAAAATTACAATTCCTTGAATTATGGGTGACTAAATTTGGATTCGATGGCAGCCTAAGAACAAGCCAATTAAATAAACTACATGACTCCATAAGCATAAAATATGGGTGTCAAATGATTGATGAATGGAAAAAAGTAGCAAAAGCCAGAGAGGATGGAGAAAGGAGGACAAAAAAAAGAAAGAATAAATGGAGCTAGTGCATTTTTTGCAGAAGGGGACAATGAAAATGAAGCCTTTTATCAAAATGCAAGAGGCAGAGGCAGAGGAGGATTCAGAGGTGGAGGGCAGAGGTGGTCCAGACTGAAAGGAGCGGACCTGACAGGAACAGGGTGCTGGTCATGTGGGAAAGAGGGACATATAGCCCCCAATTGCATAAACAAATCAAAGGGAGGAAGGCGTGAGCAGTCAGGATGAGATCAAAAGCTATAAGTAAAGAAAACTTTAATAATAATAATGATAATAATGCAGAAATAAAAGGTAGAAAAGGCAGTTAAAAAGGCAGAAAGGTTTAATGCAGACTGCAAATTTTTAGCAAGTTAAATTCAGTTACGACCTTGACTCCTCCAGAGACACAGCAGCCAAAGAATCCCTCCCTATGCAGAAGCATGTAGCTATTAAAAGACAAAACTGTGACTAAACTGTTACAGTCTATGAAGTATAAGTTGTACATGTAGACGTGTCACTGGAGAAGAAGAGGTTTTCTGACCTCAGCTGGCATCCCTGTTAAACATGTGAACCAACTGATTGATATTATACCTTATTGGAACTTAAAGAAGTAACCATAGTAAAGTGCAGAGAACAGCAAAGCTAACTTGGAATTAAAGCCCTCCCTATAATACCATTTAACGTAAGATTAACTCCAAATGTGACAATGAATTTTATACTATATGAGATAAATAGGACGACTATGGGATAATAGGAGAGATGATAAACCATTTGATGACTATGACAGAGAGAACAAGGAAGAAGCAGGTTCAGAGGCAGGAATTTCAATAGAGAAGGCGATAGAGGAAGTAGAAGTTTTGACAAAAGTTAATGAATCACAGGAGCTGAGAGGTGAAGAATAGTACCCTGACCAAGGTCGTGAACCACAACATCAGAGAATTGCAGAGCTTTGGTCACAAGGTGAAGAGCTGTAGAAAAAAGTATCAAGCATGAGTAAAAGAGGGAGAGACAGCAAGTGTTATTCAACAGAAATGAAGAGAAAGTGTGAACAGAGAAGAGACAGAGGAGGAAGAAGTGCTAAACTTGAAGAAGATAAATAAATATATATATGTTTTTGATAGATAGACAGATAAATATACTTTATTGATCCCAAACTGGGAAATTCTCTTGTTATAGCAGCAAAAAGAAAATATAAAATTAAATATAAGAAGAAGTACAATGCAGACTAAAAATAATAAAAAATACTAAGTATATACAATAAATATAGGCTAAATATGCTAATCATCCTAAGAGATAAAAGTGAGATATGAAGAACGTGGACTATTGAAACTAGTATTAAATATGAAATGAGTAATAAATATGAAATGAGTGATAAATATGAAATACGAAATATTACAGATGGGATGATAGATATACAGACAATTTAAGGTGCTCGGTAATCTGATGTGATAGGAATTTTTAAAAAAGTACTATAAAGCAGACAGGCGTGAGTCCCTGTCTGACATATGTGAGTTATTTAACAGTGCAATAGCTTGTGGCAGGACAGATTTCCTGTATCTGTCCCTTCAACAGCGGAGCTGCAACAGTTTGTTGGAAAAGGAATACATTATGCAGACATAAAACCGCAGATATAGTTAATGATTCATGGTTTACCTGTAACCTTTTTGTGTGACTCCAGTATATTAAAAAAAAAAAAAAAAAAAAAAAAAACAGCTCTTGAACATAAACTACCACAGATTAGGTTTTCCAAACGAAAGATTTTTGTCTGATCAGCAAACAGAGAGAGCTTTAAAGGCAGTAATAGCGAGTCATGGGCCTTGCCATGTCTCGACAGGAGGGATGTGTGTAGTAGTTAATCAACACTTTACCCCCTATTGATTCATAAATTATTTAAAAAAAAAAAAAAAAAAAAAAAAAAAATATATATATATATAATAATAATAATAATAATAATAATAATAAACTATTTGATTTGTTCAGTTTGTGGTAGACATAATGCTCAAGACAGTAGAAAACCAAAAAGAGGCAAATTTCCACCAACCAATGCATCATTTGAAGCCATACACATGGACTTCATAGAATTAAATCAGTGTGAGAGAAAGAAATACTGTACAGTGTTAATAGATCCTTTCACTAAATGGATAGAATTATTTCCTGTCACCCACCCAGATGCATTAACAGTAGCAAAAATCCTGTGTAGAGAAATAATTTCTTGATTTGACATTCCAAAACGAATCTACAGTGACAATGGAACTCATTTTGTAAATGAAATAAATGAATAAATAAATAAATAATAACTAGAAAATGCAATTTCTGAAGAAATTGCGAGATGGATTGCTCCAGCTAAAATTGCCATCGCTAAGCTGCTATTGTAAATGGTTTAAGTTAAAAAATTATGTGAAAGAGATGAGATTTGAAGATTCAGAAAGGTTTAAATCAGTTTAATTGAGTTGGAATTAGTTTGAAAAAATTGAATACTGAATGAAGAATGAAATGATTTAAAACTGGAAAATTAAAAGGATCATAATCTGAATGTATAGAGGAGTTGAAGGCTTTTAAAGTTGTGTAAAGAAAATGTGAGAAAAGGGCCAATTTGAAAATTCTGTAATGCATTTCTAATGGGAAAAATTGGTTGGAAAAACTGGAATATCTTGGAAGAATGTTAGGAAAATTTTGAATATAAGCTGGAATCTCCTGAAGTTTGAATGGTTTTGAATACGTTGAAGTAAGTGGGAGGAGCATAAAATAAAAAAAAAAAGGGTACTGCTAATGACACCCACAGCATTAAAAATAGCACAAAGAAGTAGTTGGATACATCTTTCCCATTTGCAAAAAAAAAAACCTATATGGGTTTTAGTTAGGAAAGTCTGACTTCAAAGGGGGGCGTCCTTATAGTGGGCGTTCGTCTCAATGTCAGTGAAGATTAGATGGTGTTGAATTCCTTAGGAGCTTAGGGAAATGGGGAAGTTAAGTATCTTACTTCTGCTAAACCATATTTGACTCTTGTATCTCTTTAATTGTTACTAAAAATGATTGTTGAGCACCTCCCTGCATTTGAATGTCCCATTAAAACTCAGCTCCGCCGCAATACTAACATTATGGAATACATTATGAATACCACCTGAGTGATATCATGACTTCTTATCGTACAAACAGATAATTATGAGACAACTGTGTGTTTGTACCTCTCCACTTGAGAAGTTGGGTATATTAAGTTATTTTTCTGCATATGTTTTTATTTGAAGTTTTTTATTCAACAAAACAAAAAGCCCTTTTACTCTGACCAAAATGTATCCAAATAGGCTGACATCTGACTATTAATTGGGCTCGTGCATGGCACTTAATGTACAGTGACTTTTTATTTAAACCTTTGTTCTTTATTGTGCTTTATTTTTGCAGAATTAAAATAAAACATTTGAATTACCAGAAAATTTCTTCTAATATGGACATTCCTTTTAAATTAAAATTTTTTGTATAAAACAAGGACATTGCATTGAACTGCATCACTCCATCTTTGTCACTCCATCTATTTATTTTGTTAATAGAGCAAAATTATATTGTACATTTTGTGACAATCTATAACCTCCAAATTATACATGTTAAGGTTAAGGAAAGCAAATTAAAGCCACCCCGTATTGATGTCACTTAACCAGATTATCTAGCAGCTGTCAACAAAGACACATATCTGTCCACATAATAAAAAAAAAAAAGAAAGACGGTAAAACATTCCTGTACAAGTTTATTTTCTTCTGCAGTGTATTTATGGACCATGTAAAGTTTGTTTTGTTTTTGACGGTTAACATTGTTCTTTGAATGAATTAAATCTGGAGAGTTTTGTTCCAATTCTACTTGAATTGATTGATAATTACATCTGTAATCTAAATTTGTTTGATACTGTTAATTTACCTACTGAAAACATTATTTACAACTTCTGATGAACTTAAGGAAGGAAAGAGAAGTGACAACAACAATAGTCCTCACATCCTGTGTGACAACCAATCAAAAATCACATTCAGCTATTCTGAAGGCGACCATGTGCAGAGAGGAAACCTGAGAGACAGTGAGCAGGGGTATGAATCACCCAGACGGACACCACAGTTGCTTCATGTGGTGAAGACACTGAGAACTTTACCATAGCTTAACTGCTACTAGGCGTTTGTGTTATTCTGTTTACAATGGGATTTTGTGTATGCTTGTTTTGTCAATAAACACTTATACTTATGTTTATTAAAGGTACATCAAAAAAAATAAAAAATAAAAAAATGGTGGAAGAATAATATTAACTAGGACCCCGTTGGGGCACTGGCGGGCCCGAGCCGTGTCGCGTCCCCCCCCCCCAACGTGCTGCCTCCCCGTCCCATTTGTGTCCTCTGGCCATCGCCCTCTCTGGTAACGCCCATCACTGCAAAGACCCTTTTCCTTCATCGGCGTTTGCTGTTCTTCCTGCCAGTGCGTGTTGCTTTCACTTACACTTGCCACAGCCAGCCTCGTGAGTGCCTAGCCTATTGGATATCACTGTCACCTACACAGGACAGTCATTACCTTTCTATTAATACTTTGTGTTTTAATTTCACATTAATTTCCATATTGTATAAACGACTGGAAAAAACTTGAGCCCCTGCCCCTGTATAATCATGTGCATGTCTCTGTTCTAGCTCCAAGGTGAATCTTCACTGCTCATGTTCTCCTCAGAAGCACTCACCTCACTCCCCTCAGGTTACTGTACACATGCACCAACTGCCTGCTTCAGGTTTGGATGGAGCTTCATGGTTGTCTTTTGAAGAAATGACCAGTCAAGTTGTGTTTGAAATTTGATTTTTTTCAGGGGCAAAAGGAGCCTCTGCATTCTTGTCAAATATGTAAATAGCATGTTTTTGCAGGTGCTAAAAACCAGACTCTGAGTGTGTGTGTGTGTGTGTGTGCGTGTGTGTGTGTCTGTGTGTGCGTTCAAGTCACATGACATATTTAACCGGATGTAGCTGCAAGACGGAGCCTCGTTGACTCTCCGTTTCAACTTATCTCAAAAGTGAGGACCTCAACCTATATACCAGTTTTTAAATTGTGTTGATAGGCCAAATAAAACCAGAGTTATGATAAATTATGTCCGCGATACTTTTTTCTGCTTATTTTGATCACGTTCGGCGCTCGATCGCGCTGTATGAGACAGGAAAACATAGCATGCAGACATTAGCGACAGGTCTTACAGGCGGAAAAGGCTTGCCAAAAGAAAAAAAAAACACACCACAACATCTCTCCTATTGGTGGAAAACTTTACCACAACAACCAATCCAAAATTATATGGTGACTGATTGACAAGGGGCGGGCGCTTACGTTCTTCCTGCAACATGAGAAGCGAGGGAGGGACTCTCAGCAGGGATGCAGTCTGGGACACGTAGTTGCAAACCTAGCGACTTTGTTGTTAGATTCAATGACTTTTCAGACCCCCTAACGACTTTTTTTTAGAAAGAAAGGGACTTTTATCGACTTCTTCTGGAGTTAAGAGACTCTGACATGAAGCAGGCTTTCCTTACTGAGGAGTTAGCAACGCTGCTAAGGGTGCAGAGCCACACATGCGCTCAGAGCTCTGCATGGGAGACTGAAGCTGACAGAGCTGCAGCAGTTAGCAGGTTTCACCCTCAGAGACCACCAGGGGTTCATGTTGAGGCATTTTAATTTTTTTTTTTTTTGTGCCATAGACACTGTCAGCACAATCTGCAGTTACACTAACAAAAATGCTGCAAAAAACAAAGAATTATGGAAAAATTACACATGGACTGACATAGAGGAGGATCTACACAAGTTTTTTACATCATGTTTTACATCATGCATCATTTACATCATGTTTTTTTGTAGTGGCATAAATAAAAAGTGACATTTGTGAGACTATACAGTGTTTTGTAAATAATTTTACAAAGAACGCCTGGGCCATTGCCTGCATTTTGATGTAAATAGAGGTAAATTACTATGTTCTTTGTTAAAAATTTGCATATGTTTTGAAGTTTACAATTTTTATTTGAAGTTTAAGTTTTAAAAACAGTTCATCACACATATTTGTGGTTTAATTTCACATTAATTTCCATATTGTATAAATGACTGGAAAAAACTTGAGCCCCTGCCCCTGTATAATCATGTGCACGTCCCTGTTCTAGCTCCAAGGTGAATCTTCACTGCTCATGTTCTCCTCAGAAATAGTCACCTCACTCCCCTCAGGTTACTGTACACATGCACCAACTATCTGCTTCAGGTTTGGATGGAGCTTCATGGTTGTCTTTTGGAGAAATGAACAGTCAAGTTGTGTTTGAAATCTGATTTTTTTCAGGGGCAAAAGGAAGCCTCTGCATTCTTGTCAAATATGTAAACAGCATGTTTTTGCAGGTGCTAAAAAACAGACTCTGAGTGTGTGTGTGTGTGTGTGTGTGTGTGTGTGTGTGTGTGTGTGTGTGTGTGTGTGTGTGTGTGTGTGTGTGTGTATATGTGTGTGTATCCTGCAGTACTCTGTACTCCTGCAGTGGCCAAAAAGACTTTTAAGAATGTGGATTTTTGGGTCATCTTTGGCGCCCCCTAGAACTGCAGTACTCTGTACTCCTGCAGTGGCCAAAATGACTTTTAAGAATGTGGATTTTTGGGTCATCTTTGGCGTCCCCTAGAACGTAAACCGTGGGGTGCAGCGTCATGATTTTTACAACTTTGAATGGGCATGGGGTGTAGATTGCCCTGAGCAAATTTGGTATCGGTGGGACGAAAGCCTTAGGAGGAGATAGCCACATTCCAATGTGTGCGAATCGGCAAAAAATGCGAAATATCCCTTTAACCGTACATTATACAGATACGCGCTTTTTGACTTTTTCGTAGATCTAATTGAGATACACATGATTGTCAATTTTTGTGTCAATATGACAAAGCGTTCAGGCGTGACACTCAACAATGTGTATTTTCACCTTATGGGACAAGAAAAAATGGACTTTTTTCTCCTGCCATGGGGGGGCGCTCTTTTGGGGAGTAAAAATTCCTTCACAAATGTGTTGATGGCTGGACATTGCATCATCCTAGAAAACTTGGAGGCCAGAGAGGACAAAAATAAAAAGTTATAAGACTTTTAAATATGTGGATTTTAGGGTTATCTTTGGCGCCCCCTAGAACCTAAACCGTGGGGTGCAGCGTCATGATTTGAATAACTTTTAATGGCCATGGGGTGTAGATTGGCCTGAGCAAATGTGGTGCCGGTGGAACGAAAGCCTTCGGAGGAGTTAGCGAAATTCCAATGTGTGCGGATCGGCAAAAAATGCGCAATAACCCTTTAACCGTACATTTGACAGATACGCCAGCACTGACTTTTTTGTAGATCTTATTGAGATACATGTGTGTGTCAATTTTTGTGTAATTTTGACAAAGCGTACAGGCGTGACAGTCAATAGTGTGAATTTTCACCTTATGGGACAAGAAAAAATGGACTTTTTTCTCCTGCCATGGGGGGCGCTCTTTTGGGGAGTAAAAATTCCTTCACAAATGTGTTGATGGCTGGACATTGCATCATCCTAGAAAACTTGGAGGCCAGTGAGGGCAAAAATAAAAAGTTATAAGACTTTGAAATATGTGGATTTTAGGGTTATCTTTGGCGCCCCCTAGAACCTAAACCGTGGGGTGCAGCGTCATGATTTGAATAACTTTTAATGGCCATGGGGTGTAGATTGGCCTGAGCAAATGTGGTGCCGGTGGAACGAAAGCCTTCGGAGGAGTTAGCGAAATTCCAATGTGTGCGGATCGGCAAAAAATGCGCAATAACCCTTTAACCGTACATTTGACAGATACGCCCGCACTGACTTTTTTGTAGATCTTATTGAGATACATGTGTGTGTCAATTTTTGTGTCATTTTGACAAAGCGTACAGGCGTCAGGTGAATTTTTCACCTTAGGGGGCGCTATGGAGCCATTTTGCATTGTATTGTTTGGGCGACTTCAGAATATCAAATTTTTCACCAGGCCCGGTCGTCCTGCCAAATTTCATGAGTTTTCGCCAGTGGGAAGTGGGCCATTTTCCAGTTCAAAGGGGAGGAAAAAGAAAAAACTAGGACCCCGGTGGGGCACTGTCGGGCCCGAGCCGCGTTGCGCCGCCCCCAGCGCGACCGCCTCCCGATCCCGATCGCGTCACACTCAAGGTCCAAAGATGGTGTGCGCACTTGTCTGTGGTCATTTCCCATTATAATGAATGGGAGGCGCAGTTTCTACCAAAACAATCGCTGCAGACAAACTTCATGTCCTATTTGAAAAAAGTCTGGACCATGAGTGAGGGCACAAACACAGCTGGGATATATCCAAATGGCAGGTTGCTCCTCGTTACGGTGTTGCCTGGAGAGCGATGCGATTGAGCCATTGAGCGATGGGCAGGAAAAACTTGACTTTTTCTACTGCCATGGGGGGGGGGGGGGGAGAATGTGGATTCTTTTAAGAATGTGGATTTTTTGGTCATCTTTGGCGCCCCCTAGAACGTAAACCGTGGGGTGCAGCGTCATGATTTTTACAACTTTGAATGGCCATGGGGTGTAGATTGGCCTGAGCAAATTTGGTTTCAGTGGGACGAAAGCCTTAGGAGGAGTTAGCCACATTCCAATGTGTGCGAATCGGCAAAAAATGCAAAATAGCCCTCTAACCATACATTTGACAGATACGCACCCATTGACTTTTTCGTAGATCTTATTGAGATACACGTGATTGTCAAATTTTGTGTCAATATGACAAAGCGTACAGGTGTCACACTCAACAATGTGAATTTTCACCTTACGGGACAAGAAAAAATGGACTTTTTTCTCCTGCCATGGGGGGGCGCTCTTTTGGGGAGTAAAAATTCCTTCACAAATGTGTTGATGGCTGGACATTGCATCATCCTAGAAAACTTGGAGGCCAGTGAGGACAAAAATAAAAAGTTATAAGACTTTGAAATATGTGGATTTTAGGGTTATCTTTGGCGCCCCCTAGAACCTAAACCGTGGGGTGCAGCGTCATGATTTGAATAACTTTTAATGGCCATGGGGTGTAGATTGGCCTGAGCAAATGTGGTGCCGGTGGAACGCCAGCCTTAGGAGGAGTTAGCGAAATTCCATAGTGTGCGGATCAGCAAAAAATGCGGAATAACCCTTTAACCGTACATTTGACAGATACGCGCGCATTGACTTTTTCGTAGATCTTATTGAGATACATGTGTGTGTCAAATTTTGTGTCAATATGACAAAGCGTACAGGCGTGACACTCAACAATGTGTATTTTCACCTTAGGGGACAAGAAAAAATGGACTTTTTTCTCCTGCCATGGGGGGCGCTCTTTTGGCGAGTAAAAATTCCTTCACAAATGTGTTGATGGCTGGACATTGCATCATCCTAGAAAACTTGGAGGCCAGTGAGGACAAAAATAAAAAGTTATAAGACTTTTAAATATGTGGATTTTAGTGTTGTCTTTGGCGCCCCCTAGAACCTAAACCGTGGGGTGCAGCGTCATGATTTGAATAACTTTTAATGGCCATGGGGTGTAGATTGGCCTGAGCAAATGTGGTGCCGGTGGAACGAAAGCCTTAGGAGGAGTTAGCGAAATTCCAATGTGTGCGGATCGGAAAAAAATGCGAAATAACCCTTTAACCGTACATTTGACAGATACGGCCGCACTGACTTTTTTGTAGATCTTATTGAGATACATATGTGTGTCAATTTTTGTGTCAATATGACAAAGCGTACAGGCGTGACAGTCAATAGTGTGAATTTCCACCTTAGGGGGCGCTATGGAGCCATTTTGCATTTTATTGTTTGGGCGACTTCAGAATATCGAATTTTTCACCAGGCCCGGTCGTCCTGCCAAATTTCCTGAGTTTTCGCCAGTGGGAAGTGGGCCATTTTCCAGTTCAAAGGGGAGGAAAAAGAAGAAAGAAAGAAAGAACTAGGACCCCGTTGGGGCACTGGCGGGCCCGAGCTGTGTCGCGTCCCCCCAACGCGCTGCCTCCCCGTCCCATTTGTGTCCTCTGGCCATCGCCCTCTCTGGTAACGCCCATCACTGCAAAGACCCTTTTCCTTCATCGGCGTTTGCTGTTCTTCCTGCCAGTGCGTGTTGCTTTCACTTACACTTGCCACAGCCAGCCTCTTGAGTGCCTAGCCTATTGGATATCACTGTCACCTACACAGGACAGTCATTACCTTTCTATTAATACTTTGTTTTTTAATTTCACATTAATTTCCATATTGTATAAACAACTGGAAAAAACTTGAGCCCCTGCCCCTGTATAATCATGTGCACATCTCTGTTCTAGCTCTAAGGTGAATCTTCACTGCTCATGTTCTCCTCAGAAGCACTCACCTCACTCCCCTCAGGTTACTGTACACATGCACCAACTGCCTGCTTCAGGTTTGGATGGAGCTTCATGGTTGTCTTTTGGAGAAATGACCAGTCAAGTTGTGTTTGAAATTTGATTTTTTTCAGGGGCAAAAGGAGCCTCTGCATTCTTGTCAAATATGTAAATAGCATGTTTTTGCAGGTGCTAAAAACCAGACTCTGAGTGTGTGTGTGTGTGTGTGTGTGCGTGTGTGTGTGTGTCTGTGTGTGTGTGTGTGTGTGTGTGTGTGTGTGTGTGTGTGTGTGTGTGCGTTCAAGTCACATGACTTATTTAACCGGATGTAGCTGCAAGACGGAGCCTCGTTGACTCCGTTTCAACTTATCTCAAAAGTGAGGACCTCAACCTATATACCAGTTTTTAAATTGTGTTGATAGGCCAAATAAAACCAGAGTTATGATAAATTATGTCCGCGATACTTGTTTTCTGCTTATTTTGATCACGTTCGGCGCTCGATTTCGCTGTATGAGACAGGAAAACATAGCATGCAGACATTAGCGACAGGTCTTACAGGCGGAAAAGGCTTGCCAAAGGAAAAAAAAAACACACCACAACATCTCTCCTATTGGTGGAAAACTTCACCACAACAACCAATCCAAAATTATATGGTGACTGATTGACAAGGGGCGGGCGCTTACGTTCTTCCTGCAATATGAGAAGGGAGGGAGGGACTCTCAGCAGGGATGCAGTCTGGGACACGTAGTTGCAAACCTAGCGACTTTGTTGTTAGATTCAATGACTTTTCAGACCCCCTAACGACTTTTTTTTTAGAAAGAAAGTGACTTTTATCGACTTCTTCTGGAGTTTAGAGACTCTGACATGAAGCAGGCTTTCCTTACTGAGGAGTTAGCAACGCTGCTAAGGGTGCAGAGCCACACATGCGCTCCGAGCTCTGCATGGGAGACTGAAGCTGACAGAGCTGCAGCAGTTAGCAGGTTTCACCCTCAGAGACCACCAGGGGTTCATGTTGAGGCATTTTCAGTTTTTTTTTTTTTTTTGCCATAGACACTGTCAGCACAATCTGCAGTTACACTAACAAAAATGCTGCAAAAAACAAAGAATTATGGAAAAATTACACATGGACTAACATAGAGGAGGATCTACACAAGTTTTTTACATCATGTTTTACATCATGCATCATTTACATCATGTTTTTTTGTAGTGGCATAAATAAAAAGTGACATTTGTGAGACTATACAGTGTTTTGTAAATAATTTTACAAAGAACACCTGGGCCATTGCCTGCATTTTGATGTAAATAGAGGTAAATTACTATGTTCTTTGTTAAAAATTTGCATATGTTTTGAAGTTTACAATTTTTATTTGAAGTTTAAGTTTTAAAAACAGTTCATCACACATATTTGTGGTTTTCACAGTAAAAACGTTACTTTTTTCCACTCGGATTTTATGTTTTGTGTGTGAATTTGGGTCCAATGTGTAAATATAGTATGTCAAAATGATAAAATAACTGTAAATTGACACAGGTGAGGTTGTGCTGAAAAAAATGATACCAGGCAAGGCAAGGTAAAAATTTTGTAAGAGGAAATATAAAGGTAAAATCTAAAGTAGTCAAAAACGGCCAATAGTGACTCACAGACTCCACAGACAAGTCCCTTTGGCGCCACTCAGTGGGCAAAACTACTTTGTCTACTGTAATGTATATTTGGGTCATCTTTGGCGCCCCCTAAAACGTAAACCGTGGGGTGCAGCGTCATGATTTTTACTACTTTGAATGGCCATGGAGTGTAGATTGGCCTGAGCAAATTTGGTGTCAGTGGGACGAAAGCCTTAGGAGGAGTTAGCGAAATTCCAATGTGTGCGAATCGGCAAAAAATGCAAAATAGCCCTTTTACCGTACATTATACAGATACGCGCTCTTTGACTTTTTCGTAGATCTAATTGAGATACACATGATTGTCAATTTTTGTGTCATTTTGCCAAAGCGTACAGGCGTGACAGTCAACAATGTGTATTTTCACCTTAGGGGACAAGAAAAAATGGACTTTTTTTCTCCTGCCATGGGGGGGCGCTCTTTTGGGGAGTAAAAATTCCTTCACAAATGTGTTGATGGCTGGACATTGCATCATCCTAGAAAACTTGGAGGCCAGTGAGGGCAAAAATAAAAAGTTATAAGACTTTTAAATATGTGGATTTTAGGGTTATCTTTGGCGCCCCCTAGAACCTAAACCGTGGGGTGCAGCGTCATGATTTGAATAACTTTTAATGGCCATGGGGTGTAGATTGGCCTGAGCAAATGTGGTGCCGGTGGAACGAAAGCCTTCGGAGGAGTTAGCGAAATTCCAATGTGTGCGGATCGGCAAAAAATGTGAAATAACCCTTTAACCGTACATTTGACAGATACGCCCGCACTGACTTTTTTGTAGATCTTATTGAGATACATGTGTGTGTCAATTTTTGTGTCATTTTGACAAAGCGTACCGGCGTGACAGTCAATAGTGTGAATTTTCACCTTAGGGGGCGCTATGGAGCCATTTTGCATTTTCTTGTTTGGGCGACTTCGGAATATCAAATTTTTCACCAGGCCCGGTCGTCCTGCCAAATTTCATGAGTTTTCGCCAGTGGGAAGTGGGCCATTTTCCAGTTCAAAGGGGAGGAAAAATAATAATAATAATAATAACAAAAGAAGGAAACTACAGGAACAAGAGGGCTCTCGCAGCTGCTTAGCAGCTACGCTCGGGCCCTAACTAGGACCCCGTTGGGGCACTGGCGGGCCCGCGCCGTGTCGCCCCCCCCCCCCCCCCCAACGCGCTGCCTCCCCGTCCCATTTGTGTCCTCTGGCCATCGCCCTCTCTGGTAACGCCCATCACTGCAAAGACCCTTTTCCTTGATCGGCGTTTGCTGTTCTTCCTGCCAGTGCGTGTTGCTTTCACTTACACTTGCCACAGCCAGCCTCGTGAGTGCCTAGCCTATTGGATATCACTGTCACCTACACAGGACAGTCATTACCTTTCTATTAATACTTTGTGTTTTAATTTCACATTAATTTCCATATTGTATAAACGACTGGAAAAAACTTGAGCCCCTGCCCCTGTATAATCATGTGCATGTCTCTGTTCTAGCTCCAAGGTGAATCTTCACTGCTCATGTTCTCCTCAGAAGCACTCACCTCACTCCCCTCAGGTTACTGTACACATGCACCAACTGCCTGCTTCAGGTTTGGATGGAGCTTCATGGTTGTCTTTTGGAGAAATGACCAGTCAAGTTGTGTTTGAAATTTGATTTTTTTCAGGGGCAAAAGGAGCCTCTGCATTCTTGTCAAATATGTAAATAGCATGTTTTTGCAGGTGCTAAAAACCAGACTCTGAGTGTGTGTGTGTGTGTGTGTGTGTGTGTGTGTGTGTGTGTGTGCGTGTGTGTGTGTGTGCGTTCAAGTCACATGACATATTTAACCGGATGTAGCTGCAAGACGGAGCCTCGTTGACTCTCCGTTTCAACTTATCTCAAAAGTGAGGACCTCAACCTATATACCAGTTTTTAAATTGTGTTGATAGGCCAAATAAAACCAGAGTTATGATAAATTATGTCCGCGATACTTTTTTTCTGCTTATTTTTATCACGTTCGGCGCTCGATCGCGCTGTATGAGACAGGAAAACATAGCATGCAGACATTAGCGACAGCTCTTACAGGCGGAAAAGGCTTGCCAAAAGAAAAAAAAAACACACCACAACATCTCTCCTATTGGTGGAAAACTTCACCACAACAACCAATCCAAAATTATATGGTGACTGATTGACAAGGGGCGGGCGCTTACGTTCTTCCTGCAACATGAGAAGGGAGGGAGGGACTCTCAGCAGGGATGCAGTCTGGGACACGTAGTTGCAAACCTAGCGACTTTGTTGTTAGATTCAATGACTTTTCAGACCCCCTAACGACTTTTTTTTAGAAAGAAAGGGACTTTTATTGACTTCTTCTGGAGTTTAGAGACTCTGACATGAAGCAGGCTTTCCTTACTGAGGAGTTAGCAACGCTGCTAAGGGTGCAGAGCCACACATGCGCTCAGAGCTCTGCATGGGAGACTGAAGCTGACAGAGCTGCAGCAGTTAGCAGGTTTCACCCTCAGAGACCACCAGGGGTTCATGTTGAGGCATTTTAATTTTTTTTTTTTTTGTGCCATAGACACTGTCAGCACAATCTGCAGTTACACTAACAAAAATGCTGCAAAAAACAAAGAATTATGGAAAAATTACACATGGACTGACATAGAGGAGGATCTACACAAGTTTTTTACATCATGTTTTACATCATGCATCATTTACATCATGTTTTTTTGTAGTGGCATAAATAAAAAGTGACATTTGTGAGACTATACAGTGTTTTGTAAATAATTTTACAAAGAACGCCTGGGCCATTGCCTGCATTTTGATGTAAATAGAGGTAAATCACTATGTTCTTTGTTAAAAATTTGCATATGTCTTGAAGTTTACAATTTTTATTTGAAGTTTAAGTTTTAAAAACAGTTCATCACACATATTTGTGGTTTTCACAGTAAAAATGTTACTTTTTTCCACTCGGATTTTATGTTTTGTGTGTGAATTTGGGTCCATTGTGTAAATTCAGTATGTCAACATGATAAAATAACTGTAAATTCGCACAGGTGAGGTTGTGCTGAAAAAAATGATACCAGGCAAGGCACGTGATTGTCAAATTTTGTGTCAATATGACAAAGCGTATAGGCGTGAATCTCAACAATATGTATTTTCACCTTAGGGGACAAGAAAAAATGGACTTTTTTCTCCTGCCATGGGGGGGCGCTCTTTTGGGGAGTAAAAATTCCTTCACAAATGTGTTGATGGCTGGACATTGCATCATCCTAGAAAACTTGGAGGCCAGTGAGGACAAAAATAAAAAGTTATAAGACTTTTAAATATGTGGATTTTAGGGTTATCTTTGGCGCCCCCTAGAACCTAAACCGTGGGGTGCAGCGTCATGATTTGAATAACTTTTAATGGCCATGGGGTGTAGATTGGCCTGAGCAAATGTGGTGCCGGTGGAACGAAAGCCTTCGGAGGAGTTAGCGAAATTCCAATGTGTGCGGATCGGCAAAAAAAGCAGAATAACCCTTTAACCGTACATTTGACAGATACGCGCGCATTGACTTTTTCGTAGATCTTATTGAGATACATGTGTGTGTCAATTTTTGTGTCATTTTGCCAAAGCGTACAGGTGTTACACTCAACAATGTGTATTTTCACCTTAGGGGACAAGAAAAAATGGACTTTTTTCTCCTGCCATGGGGGGCGCTCTTTTGGGGAGTAAAAATTCCTTCACAAATGTGTTGATGGCTGGACATTGCATCATCCTAGAAAACTTGGAGGCCAGTGAGGGCAAAAATAAAAAGTTATAAGACTTTTAAATATGTGGATCTTAGGGTTATCTTTGGCGCCCCCTAGAACCTAAACCGTGGGGTGCAGCGTCATGATTTGAATAACTTTTAATGGCCATGGGGTGTAGATTGGCCTGAGCAAATGTGGTGCCGGTGGAACGAAAGCCTTCGGAGGAGTTAGCGAAATTCCAATGTGTGCGGATCGGCAAAAAATGCGAAATAACCCTTTAACCGTACATTTGACAGATACGCCCGCACTGACTTTTTTGTAGATCTTATTGAGATACATGTGTGTGTCAATTTTTGTGTCATTTTGACAAAGCGTACACGCGTGACAGTCAATAGTGTGAATTTTCACCTTAGGGGGCGCTATGGAGCCATTTTGCATTTTATTGTTTGGCCGACTTCGGAATATCAAATTTTTCACCAGGCCCGGTCGTCCTGCCAAATTTCATGAGTTTTCGCCAGTGGGAAGTGGGCCATTTTCCAGTTTAAAGGGGAGGAAAAATAATAATAATAACAAAAGAAGGAAACTACAGGAACAAGAGGGCTCTCGCAGCTGCTTAGCAGCTACGCTCGGGCCCTAACTAGGACCCCGTTGGGGCACTGGCGGGCCCGAGCCGTGTCGCGTCCCCCCCCCCCCCCCATAACGTGCTGCCTCCCCGTCCCATTTGTGTCCTCTGGCCATCGCCCTCTCTGGTAACGCCCATCACTGCAAAGACCCTTTTCCTTCATCTGCGTTTGCTGTTCTTCCTGCCAGTGCGTGTTGCTTTCACTTACACTTGCCACAGCCAGCCTCGTGAGTGCCTAGCCTATTGGATATCACTGTCACCTACACAGGACAGTCATTACCTTTCTATTAATACTTTGTGTTTTAATTTCACATTAATTTCCATATTGTATAAACGACTGGAAAAAACTTGAGCCCCTGCCCCTGTATAATCATGTGCATGTCTCTGTTCTAGCTCCAAGGTGAATCTTCACTGCTCATGTTCTCCTCAGAAGCACTCACCTCACTCCCCTCAGGTTACTGTACACATGCACCAACTGCCTGCTTCAGGTTTGGATGGAGCTTCATGGTTGTCTTTTGGAGAAATGACCAGTCAAGTTGTGTTTGAAATTTGATTTTTTTCAGGGGCAAAAGGAGCCTCTGCATTCTTGTCAAATATGTAAATAGCATGTTTTTGCAGGTGCTAAAAACCAGACTCTGAGTGTGTGTGTGTGTGTGTGTGTGTGTGTGTGTGTGTGTGTGTGTGTGTGTGTGTGTGCGTGTGTGTGTGTCTGTGTGTGCGTTCAAGTCACATGACATATTTAACCGGATGTAGCTGCAAGACGGAGCCTCGTTGACTCTCCGTTTCAACTTATCTCAAAAGTGAGGACCTCAACCTATATACCAGTTTTTAAATTGTGTTGATAGGCCAAATAAAACCAGAGTTATGATAAATTATGTCCGCGATACTTTTTTTCTGCTTATTTTGATCACATTCGGCGCTCGATCGCGCTGTATGAGACAGGAAAACATAGCATGCAGACATTAGCGACAGCTCTTACAGGCGGAAAAGGCTTGCCAAAAGAAAAAAAAAACACACCACAACATCTCTCCTATTGGTGGAAAACTTCACCACAACAACCAATCCAAAATTATATGGTGACTGATTGACAAGGGGCGGGCGCTTACGTTCTTCCTGCAACATGAGAAGGGAGGGAGGGACTCTCAGCAGGGATGCAGTCTGGGACACGTAGTTGCAAACCTAGCGACTTTGTTGTTAGATTCAATGACTTTTCAGACCCCCTAACGACTTTTTTTTAGAAAGAAAGGGACTTTTATCGACTTCTTCTGGAGTTTAGAGACTCTGACATGAAGCAGGCTTTCCTTACTGAGGAGTTAGCAACGCTGCTAAGGGTGCAGAGCCACACATGCGCTCAGAGCTCTGCATGGGAGACTGAAGCTGACAGAGCTGCAGCAGTTAGCAGGTTTCACCCTCAGAGACCACCAGGGGTTCATGTTGAGGCATTTTAATTTATTTATTTTTTTTTGTGCCATAGACACTGTCAGCACAATCTGCAGTTACACTAACAAAAATGCTGCAAAAAACAAAGAATTATGGAAAAATTACACATGGACTGACATAGAGGAGGATCTACACAAGTTTTTTACATCATGTTTTACATCATGCATCATTTACATCATGTTTTTTTGTAGTGGCATAAATAAAAAGTGACATTTGTGAGACTATACAGTGTTTTGTAAATAATTTTACAAAGAACGCCTGGGCCATTGCCTGCATTTTGATGTAAATAGAGGTAAATCACTATGTTCTTTGTTAAAAATTTGCATATGTTTTGAAGTTTACAATTTTTATTTGAAGTTTAAGTTTTAAAAACAGTTCATCACACATATTTGTGGTTTTCACAGTAAAAATGTTACTTTTTTCCACTCGGATTTTATGTTTTGTGTGTGAATTTGGGTCCATTGTGTAAATTCAGTATGTCAACATGATAAAATCACTGTAAATTCGCACAGGTGAGGTTGTGCTGAAAAAAATGATACCAGGCAAGGCACGTGATTGTCAAATTTTGTGTCAATATGACAAAGCGTATAGGCGTGAATCTCAACAATATGTATTTTCACCTTAGAGGACAAGAAAAAATGGACTTTTTTCTCCTGCCATGGGGGGGCGCTCTTTTGGGGAGTAAAAATTCCTTCACAAATGTGTTGATGGCTGGACATTGCATCATCCTAGAAAACTTGGAGGCCAGTGAGGACAAAAATAAAAAGTTATAACACTTTTAAATATGTGGATTTTAGGATTATCTTTGGCGCCCCCTAGAACCTAAACCGTGGGGTGCAGCGTCATGATTTTGATAACTTTTAATGGCCATGGGGTGTAGATTGGCCTGAGCAAATGTGGTGCCGGTGGAACGAAAGCCTTAGGAGGAGTTAGCGAAATTCCAATGTGTGCGGATCGGCAAAAAATGCGGAATAACCCTTTAACCGTACATTTGACAGATACGCGCGCATTGACTTTTTCGTAGATCTTATTGAGTTACATGTGTGTGTCAATTTTTGTGTCATTTTGACAAAGCGTATAGGCGTGACACTCAACAATGTGTATTTTCACCTTAGGGGACAAGAAAAAATGGACTTTTTTCTCCTGCCATGGGGGGGCGCTCTTTTGGGGAGTAAAAATTCCTTCACAAATGTGTTGATGGCTGGACATTGCATCATCCTAGAAAACTTGGAGGCCAGTGAGGACAAAAATAAAAAGTTATAAGACTTTTAAATATGTGGATTTTAGTGTTATCTTTGGCGCCCCCTAGAACCTAAACCTTGGGGTGCAGCGTCATGATTTTGATAACTTTTAATGGCCACGGGGTGTAGATTGGCCTGAGCAAATGTGGTGCCGGTGGAACGAAAGCCTTCGGAGGAGTTAGCGAAATTCCAATGTGTGCGGATCGGCAAAAAATGCGAAATAACCCTTTAACCGTAATTTTTACAGATACGGCCGCACTGACTTTTTTGTAGATCTTATTGAGATACATATGTGTGTCAATTTTTGTGTCAATATGACAAAGCGTACAGGCGTGACAGTCAATAGTGTGAATTTTCACCTTAGGGGGCGCTATGGAGCCATTTTGCATTTTATTGTTTGGGCGACTTCAGAATATCAAATTTTTCACCAGGCCCGGTCCTCCTGCCAAATTTCATGAGTTTTCGCCAGTGGGAAGTGGGCCATTTTCCAGTTCAAAGGGGAGGAAAAAGAAAAAAGAAAGAAAGAAACAAAGAAAAACCACTTGGGGAATAATAGGGCCTACGCCCGGCTGCTCTGCAGCTGGCTCGGGCCCTAAGAAACAAAGAACTAGGACCCCGTTGGGGCACTGGCGGGCCCGAGCTGTGTCGCGTCCCCCCCCCCAACGCGCTGCCTCCCCGTCCCATTTGTGTCCTCTGGCCATCGCCCTCTCTGGTAACGCCCATCACTGCAAAGACCCTTTTCCTTCATCGGCGTTTGCTGTTCTTCCTGCCAGTGCGTGTTGCTTTCACTTACACTTGCCACAGCCAGCCTCGTGAGTGCCTAGCCTATTGGATATCACTGTCACCTACACAGGACAGTCATTACCTTTCTATTAATACTTTGTTTTTTAATTTCACATTAATTTCCATATTGTATAAACAACTGGAAAAAACTTGAGCCCCTGCCCCTGTATAATCATGTGCACGTCTCTGTTCTAGCTCTAAGGTGAATCTTCACTGCTCATGTTCTCCTCAGAAGCAGTCACCTCACTCCCCTCAGGTTACTGTACACATGCACCAACTGCCTGCTTCAGGTTTGGATGGAGCTTCATGGTTGTCTTTTGGAGAAATGACCAGTCAAGTTGTGTTTGAAATTTGATTTTTTTCAGGGGCAAAAGGAGCCTCTGCATTCTTGTCAAATATGTTAATAGCATGTTTTTGCAGGTGCTAAAAACCAGACTCTGAGTGTGTGTGTGTGCGTGTGTGTGTGTGTCTGTGTGTGTGTGTGTGTGTGCGTTCAAGTCACATGACATATTTAACCGGATGTAGCTGCAAGACGGAGCCTCGTTGACTCTCCGTTTCAATTTATCTCAAAAGTGAGGACCTCAACCTATATACCAGTTTTTAAATTGTGTTGATAGGCCAAATAAAACCAGAGTTATGATAAATTATGTCCGCGATACTTGTTTTCTGCTTATTTTGATCACGTTCGGCGCTCGATCGCGCTGTATGAGACAGGAAAACATAGCATGCAGACATTAGCGACAGGTCTTACAGGCGGAAAAGGCTTGCCAAAGGAAAAAAACACACCACAACATCTCTCCTATTGGTGGAAAACTTCACCACAACAACCAATCCAAAATTATATGGTGACTGATTGACAAGGGGCGGGAACTTACGTTCTTCCTGCAATATGAGAAGGGAGGGAGGGACTCTCAGCAGGGATGCAGTCTGGGACACGTAGTTGCAAACCTAGCGACTTTGTTGTTAGATTCAATGACTTTTCAGACCCCCTAACGACTTTTTTTTAGAAAGAAAGTGACTTTTATCGACTTCTTCTGGAGTTTAGAGACTCTGACATGAAGCAGGCTTTCCTTACTGAGGAGTTAGCAACGCTGCTAAGGGTGCAGAGCCACACATGCGCTCCGAGCTCTGCATGGGAGACTGAAGCTGACAGAGCTGCAGCAGTTAGCAGGTTTCACCCTCAGAGACCACCAGGGGTTCATGTTGAGGCATTTTCAGTTTTTTTTTTTTTTTTTGCCATAGACACTGTCAGCACAATCTGCAGTTACACTAACAACTAGGACCCCGGTGGGGCACTGTCGGGCCCGAGCCGCGTTGCGCCGCCCCCAGCGCGACCGCCTCCCCCTCCCGATCGCGTCACACTGAAGGTCCAAAGATGGTGTGCGCATTTGTCTGTGGTCATTTCCCATTATAATGAATGGGAGGCGCAGTTTCTACCAAAACACTCACTGCAGACAAACTACATGTCCTATTTGAAAAAAGTCTGGACCATGAGTGAGGGCACAAACACAGCTGGGATATATCCAAATGGCAAGTTCCTCCTCGTTACGGTGTTGCCGGGAGAGTGATGCGATTGAGCCATTGAGTGATGGGAAGGAAAAACTTGACTGTTTCTCCTGCCATGGGGGATGGGGGATGGGGGATGGGGGGGGGGATGTGGATTCTTTTAAGAATGTGGATATTTGGGTCATCTTTGGCGCCCCCTAGAACGTAAACCGTGGGGTGCAGCGTCATGATTTTTACAACTTTGAATGGCCATGGGGTGTAGATTGGCCTGAGCAAATTTGGTGTCAGTGGGACGAAAGCCTTAGGAGGAGTTAGCCAAATTCCAATGTGTGCGGATCGGGAAAAAATGTGAAATAACCCTTTAACTGTACATTTTACATATACGTGGCCATTGACTTTTTTGAAGATCTTATTGAAATACACGTGTATGTCAAATTTTGTGTCATTTTGACAAAGCATACAGGCGTGACACTCTACAATGTGTATTTTCACCTTAGGGGACAAGAAAAAATGGACTTTTTTCTCCTGCCATGGGGGGGCGCTCTTTTGGGGAGTAAAAATTCCTTCACAAATGTGTTGATGGCTGGACATTGCATCATCCTAGAAAACTTGGAGGCCAGTGAGGGCAAAAATAAAAAGTTATAAGACTTTTAAATATGTGGATTTTAGGGTCATCTTTGGCGCCCCCTAGAACCTAAACCGTGGGGTGCAGCGTCATGATTTGAATAACTTTTAATGGCCATGGGGTGTAGATTGGCCTGAGCAAATGTGGTGCCGGTGGAACTAAAGCCTTCGGAGGAGTTAGCGAAATTCCAATGTGTGCGGATCGGCAAAAAATGCGAAATAACCCTTTAACCGTACATTTGACAGATACGCGCGCATTGACTTTTTCGTAGATCTTATTGAGTTACATGTGTGTCTCAATTTTGGTGTCATTTTGCCAAAGCGTACAGGTGTTACACTCAACAATGTGTATTTTCACCTTAGGGGACAAGAAAAAATGGACTTTTTTCTCCTGCCATGGGGGGGCGCTCTTTTGGGGAGTAAAAATTCCTTCACAAATGTGTTGATGGCTGGACATTGCATCATCCTAGAAAACTTGGAGGCCAGTGAGGGCAAAAATAAAAAGTTATAAGACTTTTAAATATGTGGATCTTAGGGTTATCTTTGGCGCCCCCTAGAACCTAAACCGTGGGGTGCAGCGTCATGATTTGAATAACTTTTAATGGCCATGGGGTGTAGATTGGCCTGAGCAAATGTGGTGCCGGTGGAACGAAAGCCTTCGGAGGAGTTAGCGAAATTCCAATGTGTGCGGATCGGCAAAAAATGCGAAATAACCCTTTAACCGTACATTTGACAGATACGCCCGCACTGACTTTTTTGTAGATCTTATTGAGATACATGTGTGTGTCAATTTTTGTGTCATTTTGACAAAGCGTACAGGCGTGACAGTGAATAGTGTGAATTTTCACCTTAGGGGGCGCTATGGAGCCATTTTGCATTTTCTTGTTTGGGCGACTTCGGAATATCAAATTTTTCACCAGGCCCGGTCGTCCTGCCAAATTTCATGAGTTTTCGCCAGTGGGAAGTGGGCCATTTTCCAGTTTAAAGGGGAGGAAAAATAATAACTAGGGCCCCGGTGGGGCACTGTCGGGCCCGAGCCGCGTCGCGCCGCCCCCAGCGCGACCGCCTCCCCCTCCTGATCGCATCACACTCAAGGTCCAAAGATGGTGTGCGCACTTGTCTGTGGTCATTTCCCATTATAATGAATGGGAGGCGCAGTTTCTACCAAAACGCTCGCTGCAGACAAACTACATGTCCTATTTGAAAAAAGTCTGGACCATGAGTGAGGGCACAAACACAGCTAGGATATATCCAAATGGCAAGTTGCTCCTCCTTACTGTGTTGCCAGGAGAGCGATGCGATTGAGCCATTGAGCGATGGGCAGGGTTAACTGGACTTTTTCTCCCTCCTTGGGGGGGGGGATGTGGATTCTTTTAAGAATGTGGATATTTGGGTCATCTTTGGCGCCCCCTAGAACGTAAACCATGGGGTGCAGCGGCATGATTTTTACAACTTTGAATGGCCATGGGATGTAGATCGGCTTGAGCAAATTTGGTGTCGGTGGGAAGAAAGCCTTAGGAGGAGTTAGCCACATTCCAATGTGTGCGAATCGGCAAAAAATGCGAAATAGCCCTTTAACCGTACATTTTACAGATACGTGCCCATTGACTTTTTCGTAGATCTTATTGAGATACACGTGTGTGTCAAATTTTTTGTCATTTTGACAAAGCGTATAGGCGTGACAGTCAACAATGTGTTTTTTCACCTTAGGGGACAAGAAAAAATGGACTTTTTTCTCCTGCCATGGGGGGGGCGCTCTTTTCGGGAGTAAAAATTCCTTTACAAATGTGTTGATGGCTGGACATTGCATCATCCTAAAAAACTTGGAGGCCAGTATGGAAAAAGATAAAAAGTTATAAGACTTTTAAGAATGTGGATTTTTGGGTTATATATGGTGCCCCCTAGAACCCAAACCGTGTGGTGCAGCAAGATGATTTGTACAACTTTTAATGGCCATGGGGTGTAGATTGGCCTGAGCAAATTTGGTGCCGGTGGAAAGATAGCCTTCGGAGGAGTTAGCGAAATTCCAATGTGTGCGGATCGGCAAAAAATGCAAAATAGCCCTTTAACCGTACATTTGACAGATACATGCCCTTTGACTTTTTTGTAGATCTTATTGAGATACACGTGATTGTCAAATTTTGTGTCAATATGACAAAGCATACAGGCGTGACACTCGACAATATGTATTTTCACCTTAGGAGACAAGAAAAAATTGACTTTTTTCTCCTGCCATGGGGGGGCGCTCTTTTGTGGAGTAAAAATTCCTTCACACATGTGTTGATGGCTGGACATAGCATCATCCTAGAAAACTTGGAGGCCAGTGAGGACAAAAATAAAAAGTTATAAGACTTTTAAGAATGTGGATTTTTGGGTTATCTTTGGCGCCCCCTAGAACATAAACCGTGGGGTGCAGCGTCATGATTTGTACAACTTTGAATGGCCATGGGGTGTAGATTGGCCTGAGCAAATTTGGTGCCGGTGGAACGAAAGCCTTCGGAGGAGTTAGCGAAATTCCAATGTGTGCGGATCGGCAAAAAATGCGAAATAGCCCTTTAACCGTACATTTGACAGATACGCCCGCAGTGACTTTTTTGTAGATCTTATTGAGATACACATGTGTGACAAATTTTGTGTCATTTTGACAAAGCGTACAGGTGTCAGGTGAGTTTTCACCATAGGGGGCGCTATGGAGCCATTTTTCATTTTTTTGTTTGGGCGACTTCAGAATATCAAATTTTTCACCAGGCCCGGTCGTCCTGCCAAATTTCCTGAGTTTTCGCCAGTGGGAAGTGGGCCATTTTCCAGTTTAAAGCGGAGGAAAAATAACGAAAGAAGAATCCATCAGGAACAAGAGGGCTCTCGCAGCTGCTTAGCAGCTACGCTCGGGCCCTAATAACTAGGACCCCGTTGGGGCACTGGCGGGCCCGAGCCGTGTCGCGTCTCCCCCCCCCCCCCCCCAACGTGCTGCCTCCCCGTCCCATTTGTGTCCTCTGGCCATCGCCCTCTCTGTTAACGCCCATCACTGCAAAGACCCTTTTCCTTCATCGGCGTTTGCTGTTCTTCCTGCCAGTGCGTGTTGCTTTCACTTACACTTGCCACAGCCAGCCTCGTGAGTGCCTAGCCTATTGGATATCACTGTCACCTACACAGGACAGTCATTACCTTTCTATTAATACTTTGTGTTTTAATTTCACATTAATTTCCATATTGTATAAACGACTGGAAAAAACTTGAGCCCCTGCCCCTGTATAATCATGTGCATGTCTCTGTTCTAGCTCCAAGGTGAATCTTCACTGCTCATGTTCTCCTCAGAAGCACTCACCTCACTCCCCTCAGGTTACTGTACACATGCACCAACTGCCTGCTTCAGGTTTGGATGGAGCTTCATGGTTGTCTTTTGGAGAAATGACCAGTCAAGTTGTGTTTGAAATTTGATTTTTTTCAGGGGCAAAAGGAGCCTCTGCATTCTTGTCAAATATGTAAATAGCATGTTTTTGCAGGTGCTAAAAACCAGACTCTGAGTGTGTGTGTGTGTGTGTGTGTGTGTGTGTGTGTGTGTGTGCGTGTGTGTGTGTCTATGTGTGCGTTCAAGTCACATGACATATTTAACCGGATGTAGCTGCAAGACAGAGCCTCGTTGACTCTCCGTTTCAACTTATCTCAAAAGTGAGGACCTCAACCTATATACCAGTTTTTAAATTGTGTTGATAGGCCAAATAAAACCAGAGTTATGATAAATTATGTCCGCGATACTTGTTTTCTGCTTATTTTGATCACGTTCGGCGCTCGATCGCGCTGTATGAGACAGGAAAACATAGCATGCAGACATTAGCGACAGGTCTTACAGGCGGAAAAGGCTTGCCAAAAGAAAAAAAAAACACACCACAACATCTCTCCTATTGGTGGAAAACTTCACCACAACAACCAATCCAAAATTATATGGTGACTGATTGACAAGGGGCGGGCGCTTACGTTCTTCCTGCAACATGAGAAGGGAGGGAGGGACTCTCAGCAGGGATGCAGTCTGGGACACGTAGTTGCAAACCTAGTGACTTTGTTGTTAGATTCAATGACTTTTCAGACACCCTAACGACTTTTTTTTAGAAAGAAAGGGACTTTTATCGACTTCTTCTGGAGTTTAGAGACTCTGACATGAAGCAGGCTTTCCTTACTGAGGAGTTAGCAACGCTGCTAAGGGTGCAGAGCCACACATGCGCTCAGAGCTCTGCATGGGAGACTGAAGCTGACAGAGCTGCAGCAGTTAGCAGGTTTCACCCTCAGAGACCACCAGGGGTTCATGTTGAGGCATTTTAATTTTTTTTTTTTTTTGTGCCATAGACACTGTCAGCACAATCTGCAGTTACACTAACAAAAATGCTGCAAAAAACAAAGAATTATGGAAAAATTACACATGGACTGACATAGAGGAGGATCTACACAAGTTTTTTACATCATGTTTTACATCATGCATCATTTACATCATGTTTTTTTTGTAGTGGCATAAATAAAAAGTGACATTTGTGAGACTATACAGTGTTTTGTAAATAATTTTACAAAGAACGCCTGGGCCATTGCCTGCATTTTGATGTAAATAGAGGTAAATTACTATGTTCTTTGTTAAAAATTTGCATATGTTTTGAAGTTTACAATTTTTATTTGAAGTTTAAGTTTTAAAAACAGTTCATCACACATATTTGTGGTTTAATTTCACATTAATTTCCATATTGTATAAATGACTGGAAAAAACTTGAGCCCCTGCCCCTGTATAATCATGTGCACGTCCCTGTTCTAGCTCCAAGGTGAATCTTCACTGCTCATGTTCTCCTCAGAAATAGTCACCTCACTCCCCTCAGGTTACTGTACACATGCACCAACTATCTGCTTCAGGTTTGAAATGGAGCTTCATAGTTGTCTTTTGGAGAAATGAACAGTCAAGTTGTGTTTGAAATTTGATTTTTTTCAGGGGCAAAAGGAAGCCTCTGCATTCTTGTCAAATATGTAAACAGCATGTTTTTGCAGGTGCTAAAAAACAGACTCTGAGTGTGTGTGTGTGTCTGTGTGTGTGTGTGTGTGTGTGTGTGTGTGTGTGTGTGTGTGTGTGTGTGTGTGTGTGTGTATGTTGGCGTGTGTGTTGGCGTGTGTGTATCCTGCAGTACTCTGTACTCCTGCAGTGGCCAAAAAGACTTTTAAGAATGTGGATTTTTGGGTCATCTTTGGCGCCCCCTAGAACTGCAGTACTCTGTACTCCTGCAGTGGCCAAAATGACTTTTAAGAATGTGGATTTTTGGGTCATCTTTGGCGCCCCCTAGAACGTAAACCGTGGGGTGCAGCGTCATGATTTTTACAACTTTGAATGGCCATGGGGTGTAGATTGGCCTGAGCAAATTTGGTATCGGTGGGACGAAAGACTTAGGAGGAGATAGCCACATTCCAATGTGTGCGAATCGGCAAAAAATGCAAAATAGCCCTTTAACCGTACATTATACAGATACGCGCTCTTTGACTTTTTCGTAGATCTAATTGAGATACACATGATTGTCAATTTTTGTGTCAATATGACAAAGCGTTCAGGCGTGACACTCAACAATGTGTATTTTTATGTAAGGGGACAAGAAAAAATTGACTTTTTTCTCCTACCATGGGGGGGCGCTCTTTTGGGGAGTAAAAATTCCTTCACAAATGTGTTGATGGCTGGACATTGCATCATCCTAGAAAACTTGGAGGCCAGTGAGGACAAAAATAAAAAGTTATAAAACATTTAAGAATGTGGATTTTTGGGTTATTTTTGGCGCCCCCTAGAACCTAAACCATGGGGTGCAGCATCATGATTTGAATAACTTTTAATGGCCATGGGGTGTAGATTGGCCTGAGCAAATGTGGTGCCGGTGGAACGAAAGCCTTCGGAGAAGTTAGCGAAATTCCAATGTGTGCGTATCGGCAAAAAATGCGGAATAACCCTTTAACTGTACATTTGACAGATACGCGCGCATTGACTTTTTTGTAGATCTTATTGAGTTACATGTGTGTGTCAATTTTTGTGTCATTTTGACAAAGCGTATAGGCGTGACACTCAACAATGTGTATTTTCACCTTAGGGGACAAGAAAAAATGGACTTTTTTCTCCTGCCATGGGGGGGCGCTCTTTTGGGGAGTAAAAATTCCTTCACAAATGTGTTGATGGCTGGACATTGCATCATCCTAGAAAACTTGGAGGCCAGTGAGGACAAAAATAAAAAGTTATAAGACTTTTAAATATGTGGATTTTAGTGTTATCTTTGGCGCCCCCTAGAACCTAAACCTTGGGGTGCAGCGTCATGATTTTGATAACTTTTAATGGCCACGGGGTGTAGATTGGCCTGAGCAAATGTGGTGCCGGTGGAACGAAAGCCTTCGGAGGAGTTAGCGAAATTCCAATGTGTGCGGATCGGCAAAAAATGCGAAATAACCCTTTAACCGTAATTTTGACAGAGACGGCCGCACTGACTTTTTTGTAGATCTTATTGAGATACATATGTGTGTCAATTTTTGTGTCAATATGACAAAGCGTACAGGCGTGACAGTCAATAGTGTGAATTTCCACCTTAGGGGGCGCTATGGAGCCATTTTGCATTTTATTGTTTGGGCGACTTCAGAATATCGAATTTTTCACCAGGCCCGGTCGTCCTGCCAAATTTCATGAGTTTTCGCCAGTGGGAAGTGGGCCATTTTCCAGTTCAAAGGGGAGGAAAAAGAAGAAAGAAAGAAAGAAAGAAAGAAAGAAACAAAGAAAAACCACTTGGGGAATAATAGGGCCTACGCCCGGCTGCTCTGCAGCTGGCTCGGGCCCTAACTAGGGCCCCGTTGGGGCACTGGCGGGCCCGAGCCGTGTCACGCCGCCCCCAGCGCGACCGCCTCCCCCACCCGATCGCGTCACACTCAAGGTCCAAAGATGGTGTGCGCACTTGTTTGTGGTCATTTACCATTATAATGAACGGGAGGCGCAGTTTCTACCAAAACGCTCGCTGCAGAAAAACTCCATGTCCTATTTGAAAAAAGTCTGGACCATGAGTGAGGGCACAAACACAGCTAAGATATATCCAAATGGCAAGTTGCTCCTCCTTTCGCTTTTGCCGAGAGAGCAGTGCGTTTGAGCCATTGAATGATGAACAGGAAAAACTTGACTTTATTCTCCTGCCATGGGGGGCGCTCTTTTAAAGAGAAAAAACTCCTTCACAAATGTGTTGATGGCTGGACATTGCATCATCCTAGAAAACATGGAGGCCAGTGAGGACAAAAATAAAAAGTTATAAGACTTTTAAATATGTGGATTTTAGGGTTATATTTGGCGCCCCCTAGAACCTAAACCGTGGGGTGCAGCGTCATGATTTGAATAACTTTTAATGGCCATGGGGTGTAGATTGGCCTGAGCAAATGTGGTGCCGGTGGAACGAAAGCCTTCGGAGGAATTAGCGAAATTCCAATGTGTGCGAATCTGCAAAAAATGCAAAATAACCCTTTAACCGTACATTTTACAGATACGTGGCCATTGACTTTTTCGAAGATCTTATGTAAATACACGTGTATGTAAAATTTTGTGTCAATACGACAAAACATACAGGCGTAGCACTCAACAATGTGTATTTTCACCTTAGTGGACAAGAAAAAATTGACTTTTTTCTCCTGCCATGGGGGGCGCTCTTTTGCCGAGTAAAAATTCCTTCACAAATGTGTTGATGGCTGGACATTGCATCATCCTAGAAAACTTGGAGGCCAGTGGGGACAAAAATAAAAAGTTATAAGACTTTTAAATATGTGGATTTTACGGTTATCTTTGGCTCCCCCTAGAACCTAAACCGTGGGGTGCAGCGTCATGATTTGAATAACTTTTAATGGCCATGGGGTGTAGATTGGCCTGAGCAAATGTGGTGCCGGTGGAACGAAAGCCTTCGGAGGAGTTAGCGAAATTCCAATGTGTGCGGATCGGCAAAAAATGCGGAATAACCCTTTAACCGTACATTTGACAGATACGCGCGCATTGACTTTTTCGTAGATCTTATTGAGATACATGTGTGTGTCAATTTTTGTGTCATTTTGCCAAAGCGTACAGGTGTTACACTCAACAATGTGTATTTTCACCTTAGGGGACAAGAAAAAATGGACTTTTTTCTCCTGCCATGGGGGGGCGCTCTTTTGGGGAGTAAAAATTCCTTCACAAATGTGTTGATGGCTGGACATTGCATCATCCTAGAAAACTTGGAGGCCAGTGAGGGCAAAAATAAAAAGTTATAAGACTTTTAAATATGTGGATCTTAGGGTTATCTTTGGCGCCCCCTAGAACCTAAACCGTGGGGTGCAGCGTCATGATTTGAATAACTTTTAATGGCCATGGGGTGTAGATTGGCCTGAGCAAATGTGGTGCCGGTGGAACGAAAGCCTTCGGAGGAGTTAGCGAAATTCCAATGTGTGCGGATCGGCAAAAAATGCGAAATAACCCTTTAACCGTACATTTGACAGATACGCCCGCACTGACTTTTTTGTAGATCTTATTGAGATACATGTGTGTGTCAATTTTTGTGTCATTTTGACAAAGCGTACACGCGTGACAGTCAATAGTGTGAATTTCCACCTTAGGGGGCGCTATGGAGCCATTTTGCATTTTCTTGTTTGGGCGACTTCGGAATATCAAATTTTACACCAGGCCCGGTCGTCCTGCCAAATTTCATGAGTTTTCGCCAGTGGGAAGTGGGCCATTTTCCAGTTCAAAGGGGAGGAAAAATAATAACTAGGACCCCGTTGGGGCACTGGCGGGCCCGAGCCGCGTCGCGCCGCCCCCAGCGCGACCGCCTCCCCCTCCCGATCGCGTCACACTCAAGGTCCAAAGATGGTGTGCGCACTTGTCTGTGGTCATTTCCCATTATAATGAATGGGAGGCGCAGTTTCTACCAAAACACTCGCTGCAGACAAACTTCATGTCCTATTTGAAAAAAGTCTGGACCATGAGTGAGGGCACAAACACAGCTATGATATATCGAAATGGCGGGTTGCTCCTCCTTACGGTGTTGCCTGGAGAGCGATGCGATTGAGCCATTGAGCGATGGGCAGGGTTAACTTGACTTTTTCTCCTGCCTTGGGGGGGGGGGGGGTGTGGATTCCTTTAAGAATGTGGATTTTTGGGTCATCTTTGGCGCCCCCTAGAACCTAAACCGTGGGGTGCAGCGTCATGATTTTTACAACTTTGAATGGCCATGGGGTGTAGATTGGCCTGAGCAAATTTGGTGTCAGTGGGACGAAAGCCTTAGGAGGAGTTAGCCACATTCCAATGTGTGCGAATCGGCAAAAAATGAAAAATAGCCCTTTAACTGTACATTTGACAGATACGCGCGCATTGACTTTTTTGTAGATCTTATTGAGATACATATGTGTGTCAATTTTTGTGTCAATATGATAAAGCGTACAGGCGTGACAGTCAATAGTGTGAATTTCCACCTTAGGGGACAAGAAAAAATTGACTTTTTTCTCCTGCCATGGGGGGCGCTCTTTTGGGGAGTAAAAATTCCTTCACAAATGTGTTGATGGCTGGACATTGCATCATCCTAGAAAACTTGGAGGCCAGTGAGGACAAAAATAAAAAGTTATAAGACTTTTAAATATGTGGATTTTAGGGTTATCTTTGGCGCCCCCTAGAACCTAAACTGTGGGGTGCAGCGTCATGATTTGAATAACTTTTAATGGCCACGGGGTGTAGATTGGCCTGAGCAAATGTGGTGCCGGTGGAACGAAAGCCTTCGGAGGAGTTAGCGAAATTCCAATGTGTGCGGATCGGCAAAAAATGCGAAATAACCCTTTAACCGTACATTTGACAGATACGCCCGCACTGACTTTTTTGTAGATCTTATTGAGATACATGTGTGTGTCAATTTTTGTGTCATTTTGACAAAGCGTACACGCGTGACAGTCAATAGTGTGAATTTTCACCTTAGGGGGCGCTATGGAGCCATTTTGCATTTTATTGTTTGGGCGACTTCGGAATATCAAATTTTTCACCAGGCCTGGTCGTCCTGCCAAATTTCATGAGTTTTCGCCAGTGGGAAGTGGGCCATTTTCCAGTTCAAAGGGGAGGAAAAATAATAATAACTAGGGCCCCGGTGGGGCACTGTCGGGCCCGAGCCGCGTCGTGCCGCCCCCAGCGTGACCGCCTCCCCCTCCCGATCGCGTCACACTCAAGGTCCAAAGATGGTGTGCGCACTTGTCTGTGGTCATTTCGCATTATAATGAATGGGAGGCGCAGTTTCTACCAAAACACTCGCTGCAGACAAACTTCATGTCCTATTTGAAAAAAGTCTGGACCATGAGTGAGGGCACAAACACAGCTAGGATATATCCAAATGGATCCACCTTTCGCTTTTGCCGAGAGAGCGATGCGATTGAGCCATTGAGCGATGGGAAGGAAAAACTTGACTTTTTCTCCTGCCATGGGGGGAGGGGGGGGATGTGGATTCTTTTAAGAATGTGGATATTTGGGTCATCTTTGGCGCCCCCTAGAACGTAAACCGTGGGGTGCAGCGTCATGATTTGTACAACTTTTAATGGCCATGGGGTGTAGATTGGCCTGAGCAAATTTGGTGTCAGTGGGACGAAAGCCTTAGGAGGAGTTAGCCACATTCCAATGTGTGCGAATCGGCAAAAAATGCAAAATAGCCCTTTAACCGTACATTTTACAGATATTTGCGCATTGACTTTTTCATAGATCTTATTGAGATACACGTGATTGTCAAATTTTGGGTCATTTTGACAAAGCGTACAGGCGTGACACTCAACAATGTGTATTTTCACCTTATGGGACAAGAAAAAATGGAATTTTTTCTCCTGCCATGGGGGGGCGCTCTTTTGGGGAGTAAAAATTCCTTCACAAATGTGTTGATGGCTGGACATTGCATCATCCTAGAAAACTTGGAGGCCAGTGAGGACAAAAATAAAAAGTTATAAGACTTTTAAATATGTGGATTTTTGGGTTATCTTTGGCGCCCCCTAGAATGTAAACCGTGGGGTGCAGTGTCATGATTTGTACAACTTTTAATGGCCATGGGGTGTAGATTGTCCTGAGCAAATTTGGTGCCGGTGGAACGAAAGCCTTCGGAGGAGTTAGCGAAATTCCAATGTGTGCGGATTGGCAAAAAATGCGAAATAGCCCTTTAACGGTACATTTGACAGATACGCCCGCACTGACTTCTTTGTAGATCTTATTGAGATACACATGTGTGTCAAATTTTGTGTCATTTTGACAAAGCGTACAGGCGTCAGGTGAGTTTTCACTATAGGGGGCGCTATGGAGCCATTTTTCATTTTTTTGTTTGGGCGACTTCAGAATATCGAATTTTTCACCAGGCCCGGTCGTCCTGCCAAATTTCCTGAGTTTTCGCCAGTGGGAAGTGGGCCATTTTCCAGTTTAAAGCGGAGGAAAAATAACGAAAGAAGAATCCATCAGGAACAAGAGGGCTCTCGCAGCTGCTTAGCAGCTACGCTCGGGCCCTAATAACAAAAGAAGGAAACTACAGGAACAAGAGGGCTCTCGCAGCTGCTTAGCAGCTACGCTCGGGCCCTAACTAGGACCCCGTTGGGGCACTGGCGGGCCCGAGCCGCGTCGCGCCGCCCCCAGCGCGACCGCCTCCCCCTCCCGATCGCGTCACACTCAAGGTCCAAAGATGGTGTGCGCACTTGTCTGTGGTCATTTCCCATTATAATGAATGGGAGGCGCAGTTTCTACCAAAACACTCGCTGCAGACAAACTTCATGTCCTATTTGAAAAAAGTCTGGACCATGAGTGAGGGCACAAACACAGCTATGATATATCGAAATGGCGGGTTGCTCCTCCTTACGGTGTTGCCTGGAGAGCGATGCGATTGAGCCATTGAGCGATGGGCAGGGTTAACTTGACTTTTTCTCCTGCCTTGGGGGGGGGTGTGGATTCCTTTAAGAATGTGGATTTTTGGGTCATCTTTGGCGCCCCCTAGAACGTAAACCGTGGGGTGCAGCGTCATGATTTTTACAACTTTGAATGGCCATGGGGTGTAGATTGGCCTGAGCAAATTTGGTGTCAGTGGGACGAAAGCCTTAGGAGGAGTTAGCCACATTCCAATGTGTGCGAATCGGCAAAAAATGAAAAATAGCCCTTTAACTGTACATTTGACAGATACGCGCGCATTGACTTTTTTGTAGATCTTATTGAGATACATATGTGTGTCAATTTTTGTGTCAATATGATAAAGCGTACAGGCGTGACAGTCAATAGTGTGAATTTCCACCTTAGGGGACAAGAAAAAATTGACTTTTTTCTCCTGCCATGGGGGGGCGCTCTTTTGGGGAGTAAAAATTCCTTCACAAATGTGTTGATGGCTGGACATTGCATCATCCTAGAAAACTTGGAGGCCAGTGAGGACAAAAATAAAAAGTTATAAGACTTTTAAATATGTGGATTTTAGGGTTATCTTTGGCGCCCCCTAGAACCTAAACTGTGGGGTGCAGCGTCATGATTTGAATAACTTTTAATGGCCACGGGGTGTAGATTGGCCTGAGCAAATGTGGTGCCGGTGGAACGAAAGCCTTCGGAGGAGTTAGCGAAATTCCAATGTGTGCGGATCGGCAAAAAATGCGAAATAACCCTTTAACCGTACATTTGACAGATACGCCCGCACTGACTTTTTTGTAGATCTTATTGAGATACATGTGTGTGTCAATTTTTGTGTCATTTTGACAAAGCGTACACGCGTGACAGTCAATAGTGTGAATTTTCACCTTAGGGGGCGCTATGGAGCCATTTTGCATTTTATTGTTTGGGCGACTTCGGAATATCAAATTTTTCACCAGGCCCGGTCGTCCTGCCAAATTTCATGAGTTTTCGCCAGTGGGAAGTGGGCCATTTTCCAGTTCAAAGGGGAGGAAAAATAATAATAATAATAATAACAAACTAGGACCCCGTTGGGGCACTGGCGGGCCCGAGCTGTGTCGCGCCCCCCCCCCAACGCGCTGCCTCCCCGTCCCATTTGTGTCCTCTGGCCATCGCCCTCTCTGGTAACGCCCATCACTGCAAAGACCCTTTTCCTTCATCGGCGTTTGCTGTTCTTCCTGCCAGTGCGTGTTGCTTTCACTTACACTTGCCACAGCCAGCCTCGTGAGTGCCTAGCCTATTGGATATTACTGTCACCTACACAGGACAGTCATTACCTTTCTATTAATACTTTGTTTTTTAATTTCACATTAATTTCCATATTGTATAAACGACTGGAAAAAACTTGAGCCCCTGCCCCTGTATAATCATGTGCACGTCTCTGTTCTAGCTCTAAGGTGAATCTTCACTGCTCATGTTCTCCTCAGAAGCAGTCACCTCACTCCCCTCAGGTTACTGTACACATGCACCAACTGCCTGCTTCAGGTTTGGATGGAGCTTCATGGTTGTCTTTTGGAGAAATGACCAGTCAAGTTGTGTTTGAAATTTGATTTTTTTCAGGGGCAAAAGGAGCCTCTGCATTCTTGTCAAATATGTAAATAGCATGTTTTTGCAGGTGCTAAAAACCAGACTCTGAGTGTGTGTGTGTGCGTGTGTGTGTGTGTCTGTGTGTGTGTGTGTGTGTGTGTGTGTGCGTTCAAGTCACATGACATATTTAACCGGATGTAGCTGCAAGACGGAGCCTCGTTGACTCTCCGTTTCAATTTATCTCAAAAGTGAGGACCTCAACCTATATACCAGTTTTTAAATTGTGTTGATAGGCCAAATAAAACCAGAGTTATGATAAATTATGTCCGCGATACTTGTTTTCTGCTTATTTTGATCACATTCGGCGCTCGATCGCGCTGTATGAGACAGGAAAACATAGCATGCAGACATTAGCGACAGGTCTTACAGGCGGAAAAGGCTTGCCAAAAGAAAAAAAAAACACACCACAACATCTCTCCTATTGGTGGAAAACTTCACCACAACAACCAATCCAAAATTATATGGTGATTGATTGACAAGGGGCGGGAACTTACGTTCTTCCTGCAATATGAGAAGGGAGGGAGGGACTCTCAGCAGGGATGCAGTCTGGGACACGTAGTTGCAAACCTAGCGACTTTGTTGTTAGATTCAATGACTTTTCAGACCCCCTAACGACTTTTTTTTTAGAAAGAAAGTGACTTTTATCGACTTCTTCTGGAGTTTAGAGACTCTGACATGAAGCAGGCTTTCCTTACTGAGGAGTTAGCAACGCTGCTAAGGGTGAAGAGCCACACATGCGCTCCGAGCTCTGCATGGGAGACTGAAGCTGACAGAGCTGCAGCAGTTAGCAGGTTTCACCCTCAGAGACCACCAGGGGTTCATGTTGAGGCATTTTCAGTTTTTTTTTTTTTTTTTTTGCCATAGACACTGTCAGCACAATCTGCAGTTACACTAACAAAAATGCTGCAAAAAACAAAGAATTATGGAAAAATTACACATGGACTAACATAGAGGAGGATCTACACAAGTTTTTTACATCATGTTTTACATCATGCATCATTTACATCATGTTTTTTTGTAGTGGCATAAATAAAAAGTGACATTTGTGAGACTATACAGTGTTTTGTAAATAATTTTACAAAGAACACCTGGGCCATTGCCTGCATTTTGATGTCAATAGAGGTAAATTACTATGTTCTTTGTTAAAAATTTGCATATGTTTTGAAGTTTACAATTTTTATTTGAAGTTTAAGTTTTAAAAACAGTTCATCACACATATTTGTGGTTTTCACAGTAAAAACGTTACTTTTTTCCACTCGGATTTTATGTTTTGTGTGTGAATTTGGGTCCAATGTGTAAATATAGTATGTCAAAATGATAAAATAACTGTAAATTGACACAGGTGAGGTTGTGCTGAAAAAAATGATACCAGGCAAGGCAAGGTAAAAATTTTGTAAGAGGAAATATAAAGGTAAAATCTAAAGTAGTCAAAAACGGCCAATAGTGACTCACAGACTCCACAGACAAGTCCCTTTGGCGCCACTCAGTGGGCAAAACTACTTTGTCTACTGTAATGTATATTTGGGTCATCTTTGGCGCCCCCTAAAACGTAAACCGTGGGGTGCAGCGTCATGATTTTTACAACTTTGAATGGCCATGGAGTGTAGATTGGCCTGAGCAAATTTGGTGTCAGTGGGACGAAAGCCTTAGGAGGAGTTAGCGAAATTCCAATGTGTGCGAATCGGCAAAAAATGCAAAATAGCCCTTTTACCGTACATTATACAGATACGCGCTCTTTGACTTTTTCGTAGATCTAATTGAGATACACATGATTGTCAATTTTTGTGTCATTTTGCCAAAGCGTACAGGCGTGACAGTCAACAATGTGTATTTTCACCTTAGGGGACAAGAAAAAATGGACTTTTTTCTCCTGCCATGGGGGGCGCTCTTTTAGGGAGTAAAAATTCCTTCACAAATGTGTTGATGGCTGGACATTGCATCATCCTAGAAAACTTGGAGGCCAGTGAGGACAAAAATAAAAAGTTATAAGACTTTTAAAAATGTGGATTTTTGGGTTATCTTTGGCGCCCCCTAGAACGTAAACCGTGGGGTGCAGCGTCATGATTTGAATAACTTTTAATGGCCATGGGGTGTAATTTGGCCTGAGCAAATGTGGTGCCGGTGGAACGAAAGCCTTCGGAGGAGTTAGCGAAATTCCAATGTGTGCGAATCGGCAAAAAATGCGGAATAACCCTTTAACCGTACATTAGACAGATACGCGCGCATTGACTTTTTCGAAGATCTTATTGAGATACATGTGTGTGTCAATTTTTGTGTCATTTTGACAAAGCGTATAGGCGTGACAGTCAACAATGTGTATTTTCACCTTAGGGGACAAGAAAAAATGGACTTTTTTCTCCTGCCATGGGGGGGCGCTCTTTTGGGGAGTAAAAATTCCTTCACACATGTGTTGATGGCTGGACATTGCATCATCCTAGAAAACTTGGAGGCCAGTGAGGGCAAAAATAAAAAGTTATAAGACTTTTAAAAATGTGGATTTTAGGGTTATCTTTGGCGCCCCCTAGAACCTAAACCGTGGGGTGCAGCGTCATGATTTGAATAACTTTTAATGGCCATGGGGTGTAGATTGGCCTGAGCAAATGTGGTGCCGGTGGAACGAAAGCCTTCGGAGGAGTTAGCGAAATTCCAATGTGTGCGGATCGGCAAAAAATGCGAAATAACCCTTTAACCGTACATTTGACAGATACGCCCGCACTGACTTTTTTGTAGATCTTATTGAGATACATGTGTGTGTCAATTTTTGTGTCATTTTGACAAAGCGTACAGGCGTGACAGTCAATAGTGTGAATTTTCACCTTAGGGGGCGCTATGGAGCCATTTTGCATTTTCTTGTTTGGGCGACTTCGGAATATCAAATTTTTCACCAGGCCCGGTCGTCCTGCCAAATTTCCTGAGTTTTCGCCAGTGGGAAGTGGGCCATTTTCCAGTTCAAAGGGGAGGAAAAAGAAAAAAGAAACAAAGAAAAACCACTTGGGGAATAATAGGGCTCTCGCAGCTGCTTAGCAGCTACGCTCGGGCCCTAAAGAAGGAAACATGCAGGAACAATAGGGCTCTCGCAGCTGCTTAGCAGCTACGCTCGGGCCCTAATAATAATAACAAAAGAAGGAAACTACAGGAACAAGAGGGCTCTCGCAGCTGCTTAGCAGCTACGCTCGGGCCCTAATAACAAACTAGGGCCCCGTTGGGGCACTGGCGGGCCCGAGCCGTGTCACGCCGCCCCCAGCGCGACCGCCTCCCCCACCCGATCGCGTCACACTCAAGGTCCAAAGATGGTGTGCGCACTTGTTTGTGGTCATTTACCATTATAATGAACGGGAGGCGCAGTTTGTACCAAAACGCTCACTGCAGAAAAACTCCATGTCCTATTTGAAAAAAGTCTGGACCATGAGTGAGGGCACAAACACAGCTAAGATATATCCAAATGGCAAGTTGCTCCTCCTTTCGCTTTTGCCGAGAGAGCAGTGCGTTTGAGCCATTGAATGATGAACAGGAAAAAATTGACTTTATTCTCCTGCCATGGGGGGGCGCTCTTTTAAAGAGAAAAAACTCCTTCACAAATGTGTTGATGGCTGGACATTGCATCATCCTAGAAAACATGGAGGCCAGTGAGGACAAAAATAAAAAGTTATAAGACTTTTAAATATGTGGATTTTAGGGTTATCTTTGGCGCCCCCTAGAACCTAAACCGTGGGGTGCAGCGTCATGATTTGAATAACTTTTAATGGCCATGGGGTGTAGATTGGCCTGAGCAAATGTGGTGCCGGTGGAACGAAAGCCTTCGGAGGAATTAGCGAAATTCCAATGTGTGCGAATCTGCAAAAAATGCGAAATAACCCTTTAACCGTACATTTTACAGATACGTGGCCATTGACTTTTTCGAAGATCTTATTGAAATACACGTGTATGTAAAATTTTGTGTCAATACGACAAAACATACAGGCGTAGCACTCAACAATGTGTATTTTCACCTTAGTGGACAAGAAAAAATTGACTTTTTTCTCCTGCCATGGGGGGCGCTCTTTTGCCGAGTAAAAATTCCTTCACAAATGTGTTGATGGCTGGACATTGCATCATCCTAGAAAACTTGGAGGCCAGTGGGGACAAAAATAAAAAGTTATAAGACTTTTAAATATGTGGATTTTACGGTTATCTTTGGCTCCCCCTAGAACCTAAACCGTGGGGTGCAGCGTCATGATTTGAATAACTTTTAATGGCCATGGGGTGTAGATTGGCCTGAGCAAATGTGGTGCCGGTGGAACGAAAGCCTTCGGAGGAGTTAGCGAAATTCCAATGTGTGCGGATCGGCAAAAAATGCGGAATAACCCTTTAACCGTACATTTGACAGATACGCGCGCATTGACTTTTTCGTAGATCTTATTGAGATACATGTGTGTGTCAATTTTTGTGTCATTTTGACAAAGCGTACAGGAGTTACACTCAACAATGTGTATTTTCACCTAAGGGGACAAGAAAAAATGGACTTTTTTCTCCTGCCATGGGGGGGCGCTCTTTTGGGGAGTAAAAATTCCTTCACAAATGTGTTGATGGCTGGACATTGCATCATCCTAGAAAACTTGGAGGCCAGTGAGGGCAAAAATAAAAAGTTATAAGACTTTTAATTATGTGGATCTTAGGGTTATCTTTGGCGCCCCCTAGAACCTAAACCGTGGGGTGCAGCGTCATGATTTGAATAACTTTTAATGGCCATGGGGTGTAGATTGGCCTGAGCAAATGTGGTGCCGGTGGAACGAAAGCCTTCGGAGGAGTTAGCGAAATTCCAATGTGTGCGGATCGGCAAAAAATGCGAAATAACCCTTTAACCGTACATTTGACAGATACGCCCGCACTGACTTTTTTGTAGATCTTATTGAGATACATGTGTGTGTCAATTTTTGTGTCATTTTGACAAAGCGTACAGGCGTGACAGTCAATAGTGTGAATTTTCACCTTAGGGGGCGCTATGGAGCCATTTTGCATTTTCTTGTTTGGGCGACTTCGGAATATCAAATTTTTCACCAGGCCCGGTCGTCCTGCCAAATTTCATGAGTTTTCGCCAGTGGGAAGTGGGCCATTTTCCAGTTCAAAGGGGAGGAAAAATAATAACTAGGGCCCCGGTGGGGCACTGTCGGGCCCGAGCGGCGTCGCGCCGCCCCCAGCGCGTCCGCCTCCCCCTCCCGATCGCGTCACACTCAAGGTCCAAAGATGGTGTGCGCACTTGTCTGTGGTCATTTACCATTATAATGAATGGGAGGCACAGTTTCTACCAAAACACTCGCTGCAGACAAACTTCATGTCCTATTTGAAAAAAGTCTGGACCATGAGTGAGGGCACAAACACAGCTAGGATATATCCAAATGGCAGGTTGCTCCTCCTTACGGTGTTGCCTGGAGAGCGCTGGATTGAGCCATTGAGCGATGGGCAGGAAAAACTTGACTTTTTCTTCTGCCTTGGGGGGGGTGTGTGGATTCTTTTAAGAATGTGGATATTTGGGTCATCTTTGGCGCCCCCTAGAACGTAAACCGTGGGGTGCAGCGTCATGATTTTTACAACTTTGAATGGCCATGGGATGTAGATCGGCTTGAGCAAATTTGGTGTCGGTGGGACGAAAGCCTTAGGAGGAGTTAGCCACATTCCAATGTGTGCGAATCGGCAAAAAATGCAAAATAGCCCTTTAACCGTACATTTGACAGATACGCGCCCATTGACTTTTTCGTAGATCTTATTGAGATACACGTGATTGTCAAATTTTGTGTCAATATGACAAAGCGTACAGGTGTCACACTCAACAATGTGAATTTTCACCTTAGGGGACAAGAAAAAATGGACTTTTTTCTCCTGCCATGGGGGGGCGCTCTTTTGGGGAGTAAAAAATCCTTCACAAATGTGTTGATGGCTGGACATTGCATCATCCTAGAAAACTTGGAGGCCAGTGAGGACAAAAATAAAAAGTTATAAGACTTTGAAATATGTGGATTTTAGGGTTATCTTTGGCGCCCCCTAGAACCTAAACCGTGGGGTGCAGCGTCATGATTTGAATAACTTTTAATGGCCATGGGGTGTAGATTGGCCTGAGCAAATGTGATGCCAGTGGAACGAAAGCCTTCGGAGGAGTTAGCGAAATTCCAATGTGTGCGGATCAACAAAAAATGCGGAATAACCCTTTAACCGTACATTTGACAGATACGCGCGCATTGACTTTTTCGTAGATCTTATTGAGATACATGTGTGTGTCAATTTTTGTGTCAATATGATAAAGCGTACAGGCGTGACAGTCAATAGTGTGAATTTCCACCTTAGGGGACAAGAAAAAATTGACTTTTTTCTCCTGCCATGGGGGGCGCTCTTTTGGGGAGTAAAAATTCCTTCACAAATGTGTTGATGGCTGGACATTGCATCATCCTAGAAAACTTGGAGGCCAGTGAGGACAAAAATAAAAAGTTATAAGACTTTTAAATATGTGGATTTTAGGGTTATCTTTGGCGCCCCCTAGAACCTAAACCGTGGGGTGCAGCGTCATGATTTGAATAACTTTTAATGGCCATGGGGTGTAGATTGGCCTGAGCAAATGTGGTGCCGGTGTAACGAAAGCCTTCGGAGGAGTTAGCGAAATTCCAATGTGTGCGGATCGGCAAAAAATGCGGAATAACCCTTTAACTGTACATTTGACAGATACGCGCGCATTGACTTTTTCGTAGATCTTATTGAGATACATGTGTGTGTCAATTTTTGTGTCATTTTGCCAAAGCGTACAGGTGTTACACTCAACAATGTGTATTTTCACCTTAGGGGACAAGAAAAAATGGACTTTTTTCTCCTGCCATGGGGGGCGCTCTTTTGGGGAGTAAAAATTCCTTCACAAATGTGTTGATGGCTGGACATTGCATCATCCTAGAAAACTTGGAGGCCAGTGAGGACAAAAATAAAAAGTTATAAGACTTTTAAATATGTGGATTTTAGGGTTATCTTTGGCGCCCCCTAGAACCTAAACCGTGGGGTGCAGCGTCATGATTTGAATAACTTTTAATGGCCATGGGGTGTAGATTGGCCTGAGCAAATGTGGTGCCGGTGGAACGAAAGCCTTCGGAGGAGTTAGCGAAATTCCAATGTGTGCGGATCGGCAAAAAATGCGAAATAACCCTTTAACCGTACATTTGACAGATACGCCCGCACTGACTTTTTTGTAGATCTTATTGAGATACATGTGTGTGTCAATTTTTGTGTCATTTTGACAAAGCGTACACGCGTGACAGTCAATAGTGTGAATTTTCACCTTAGGGGGCGCTATGGAGCCATTTTGCATTTTATTGTTTGGCCGACTTCGGAATATCAAATTTTTCACCAGGCCCGGTCGTCCTGCCAAATTTCATGAGTTTTCGCCAGTGGGAAGTGGGCCATTTTCCAGTTCAAAGGGGAGGAAAAATAATAATAATAATAATAACAAAAGAAGGAAACATGCAGGAACAAGAGGGCTCTCGCAGCTGCTTAGCAGCTACGCTCGGGCCCTAATAATAATAATAACAAAAGAAGGAAACTACAGGAACAAGAGGGCTCTCGCAGCTGCTTAGCAGCTACGCTCGGGCCCTAAAGAAGGAAACTACAGGAACAAGAGGGCTCTCGCAGCTGCTTAGCAGCTACGCTCGGGCCCTAAAAACCACTTGGGGAATAATAGGGCTCTCGCAGCTGCTTAGCAGCTACGCTCGGGCCCTAATAAAGATATGAATAAAATATAGTGGGAATGTTTCGCAATCCCACTCAATAAAAAAAAAAAAATAATAATTTGAAGTGAACATGTGGTACGGATATGCAAAAATATCTAGCAAAAATGTAGAATCAGTCTAACTTCTATGTCTGTACTAGGAATTCCCTAACCTTTACAAACCTGTACGTGTTTCTGTAGCTGTACCTGAATGACAGCAGACTGATAACAGGGCCTTAGTGACTTTAATCCTAACTGTTGTAACTTTCCAGACCAGTATGGCAAATTTAACCTCTGCAGTTAGTCTTATTCCTTTGAGCCACTCCAGAGTAAAAAGAAATTAGCAAACAGAGTCAGACCCGACTTATATAGATAGTTCCTCGTGAGGTACCAGATGAGTATAAACTAGTAAATCAAGTTGCTGCAGGCTTTGAGTCTCTCGTCTGTCCTTGGTGTACAATGAACAAAAATATAGATCAAATCAGAATCAATTACATCCATTTCAACGTTCAAAAGCTAGGTAATTGGACTGAGGCTGGTATTTAGGACCGGTCACTCGCAGTTATCTGCAACATCCCTGATGGCTTTCCAAAACCGTATAGCCCTTGACATGCTGCTGGCAGGAACAGGAGGTGTATGTGCCATGTTTGGAGAAACGTGTTGCACGTTCATTCCTGATAACACTGCTGCTGATGGCAGCCTCACTCGAGCCATAGAGGGCCTAAAAACGCTTCACAGCAAAATGAAAGACCACTCAGGAATAGATAACTCCTTTTGGGATGATTGGATGAATGTATTTGGAAAATACAAAAATCTTGTAGATTCAGTCCTAATCTCTGTTGCTGTTTTTGCAGCTAATTTGACCTTGTGTGGATGTTGTTGTATTTCTGTATTTGTTTTCTTCTTAACCGTCTTATCACCACAGCGTTGTCCCCTGTGGAGCAGCAGATGCAGGAACTGTACCCGCTGCTCCATCAGCAGGACGAGGAGGACAGACTTGATGACACTCAATGGCCTGACCTGTGCCCCAATCCGGATGATGAGTATAATTCTGACTAAAGCAACATCTTGTACCTCCGTGTGTAAATTCTTTGTAGTCATAAACATGAACTCGCAGCTGAAAATCGAGAGAAGTGGCTGAACTAGAGGGATTATGAGAATTTGAGCAAAGTAATGATAAACAGGAGGGAAATGTTAGAATAATGTGCATAAATGTATATAGAAGTTATCATTATTCCTCATATTCTTATGTAAGAGTTTATACTACAAATATAAACTCTTTGACATCTTTTTATACATTATATTAGAGTATTTTTATCATATAAGAGTTTTCCTAACTTCTCTCTTTTCAATAGCTTTACTACACAGTACACAATGTTTTTTCTGTTTGCTATGACCATGTTTCTCCTATCAGCAGGTGTGGGTGTGGGGGTGACGTATTCTCCGCTGAATCGTGGGAAGCTCCTGAGAAGGATCCATCCTTATCAGAAGGAGCTCGTTAGATGCCGCCTTGACCTTCAGCTATTCATAAATTGTTCATTATTAAATGCTTACTTTGCAGCACATTTACTCCCACCTTTTTAGAAACATTGTGTAACCAGGGACAACTGTGAATAAAAGGGGCAGACAGAGAAAGTATCCTGAGTGTGGTACTGAGATAGCTAAAACAGATCTCTGTCCATTACTCAAACATATCCATTGTCTTTCTCCTTTTTATTTCAGGTAAATGCAAGCAGGTTTTAAACCTAACAGACATGCTCGGTGTAGCTGCAACCCTCCTGAGCATCAGCCTGGGACAGGACCAGTCAGAGCTGTGCACAAGGACCGAGGTCCATGTGCAGCGTCAGCTGGTCTGAAGACAGAAACAATGCAGACATTCAAATTAAACAAGCTGTAACATTTGACTGTGTGGTCAAGGTTATGAAGGAAGCATCTGTAACACCAGTATCATCAAGAGGAAAAAGTCAATACATTTTAATTTGTATTTAGTCTCTAATCAGCAGGTTAGTTGTGCAATAGAAATAGATAAACATCAATGCAACGCCTCCCGTTAAGAATCGAAATTTTTGATCTATTTGAGTCATTTTATTTTATTGAGGAAAAGGCTGCACATTCTCAGGATTCAATAATAAGAAAATCCTCAGTTTTCAGTTTGATAAAAATTGATTTCTACAAAAGGACAGTGTATCAATTACACTTCAAGTGTAATTGATACACTGTCCTTTTGTCCTTGTGTAATCGCCGGAGACGTGCCACAGGCACGGCGTAAGTCAGGTCCGCCGTGCCGACAAGGCGTTCCCAAGCACAATTTGGTATTTTGGTGAGTGGTGCAGCCTGGCATATGTATCCCCCCTCCCTAACTCAGCTCCTCCCAGCGGCGTAAGTCGTAGCGAGGGAGAAGAAAGGGCGTGGAGTGGGTTTAACACAGCCGAGACCAGTATTTACCAATCACATAAGCTCCTCTCCTTGCCTTTAAATCCGCCACCGGCAAGGCGTATTACTATTTTCATGAAGTAGTCAAAGAGACCAAGAGATGTCATAATTTGAGATTATTAATCTTCAGACATTTATTATAAATTCAAATCGCTACACCTAGAACCGCTACTGCTTTGGGATCATCATACAATGTCAATGCATCGCTAACTATTCCCGAAGTCTCGACAATAACACAGGTTTTTATGAGAATACTTTAATTAAATCTTACGGTCTCCATGTCGTCGATGTTTCCCTCTCTGTTCAGATGTTTTTCCACTTGATATCAGTCGTCTGGGGAGGTTTTATCTCAGATGAAGCCGTCAAAAGGGGAAAGTTTGTGAGCCAAAGAAGTTTTTTGTGCCGATCTTCAGATTGTATCTTCAGAAATGACCGTTCTTCATCGACTTGTAATGATTTCAAGTTTTTACATCATCACAGATTACCATGTGGATTTAAAATGCTGTTTACTTTAGAAAAACACTTATACTGGTAGGTTATATCTAAAAGTTTAATATTAACTATAATTGACTTTAATCTGAATGGAATATAAATATCTCTTGAAGTAAAGTGAAGGTTATTTTTGTCAACTAGTTTAAGAGTTTAAAAATCAAAAACCTCTGTTATTTCTAAACTACCCCTTTTTGAAAACTATAGCTTAGTAGGCCTATGCCTTATAGGTAATCCAATTAAAACTGGAAACTTTGTGTTTAATTATAATTTCCACTGAATATTTTCACTTATATTAAATTTTCATACCTTTAAATATGTTTTTCACAACATCTGAGGTCAGTAGGTTTTCTTTAAAAATATAGGCTACTAAAAATACCCTATATATTCCTATCATATCAATATTTTAGAGCAGTAGCACTCTGTAAAGCACTTTGTAACCCTGTTTTGAAAAACATTATAAGTTGATAATTGTTATTTTACATAGCCCATTATAAAGCATCAAAAAGGCCATAAAGATATCTAATTTTGAGCTTTAACAAATAAAAATATCACATTAGCTCTGAGCCAAAATATCTTCTTCACTTAAGTAGAAAGACTATTTTCCTGTGATGGTACTTCATACTAATTAACACATAGGGCTCTATTTTCGTGTCTCGCTGGAGACGTGCCGCAGGCACGGCGTAAGTCAGGTCCGCTGTGCCGACAAGGCGTTCCCAAGCACAATTTGGTATTTTGGTGAGCGGCGCAGCCCGGCATAAGTATCCCCCCTCCCTGACTCAGCTCCTCCCAGCGGCGTAAGTCGTTGCGAGGGAGGAGAAAGGGCGTGGAGTGGGTTTAACACAGCGGAGACCAGTTTTCACCAATCACATAAGCTCCTCTCCTTGCCTTTAAATCCACCACTGGCAAGGCGTATTACTATTTTCATGAAGTAGTCAGAGAGATCAAGAGATGTCTGAAGACAGTAATGCCACACGATGGCGACAAAGGGCAGCAGCTCAACAAGTGTCACTGTAAACGCTGCATTGGGCGTCCTCCACACTATCTCATATAAGTACAGATGGATTTGGTGTGTGTAATGTTGGAACTAGTGGTAAGAAAAACACCCTTTTCCACAAATAAAGACACTCACATAAAGTTGCTCATACTCAAACCTCACGTGACAAAGGTGGGTTGTGCGCACAGATCATAACATAAATTTCAAAAATGGCATTAAAATCGGAACCATCTGTGCGTAAATGACGCATCGCGCTCCGTGGCCTGGCTCTTTCTTTCATAGATGTTGGCATATAAAATAAATTTGACTCACAAAACTGAATATTATAATATCCGTATATAGGCTTAAAGTAGATAACGCATCTGAGCGCTGAAACAAACCATCTGTTCAGCCGCAGCTGCAGCAGGACGGAGAGAGGACAGGGAGACATGCAGGTCGAGCTGCACAAGAAATAAGAGGAAGAGGAAGACAGAAAAGGAGGGAGACAAATTAAATATCTTGTTAACTTCATCATGTGTGTTTATTTACTAGATGTTTAATTTTATTTAATGCGGTTTCAGCTGTGTTGATTCGGTCAGGTTGTGTGTCCAAACGCGTGCCAAACGTGCTCATCAGATCAGATATAGATCAGAATATATCGATTTAGATCTAAATGTATGTGCTGACTCAGATTAATAGTTGTTGATGATTATTTATTGCACTGAAATGTGCTGACACTGTGGAAACCTGCCGGTGAGGCATCAGTGACGTATGCCGATACACTGCCGGTCTACCAAAATACTACTAGACCAGCTGCGCTCCGCCTGCGCTGAAAGCTAACCAGGTTTGAATCGGCGAGCTTTCAGCACACTTTACACGCCACTGGCGAGCACGAAAATGTCACTGTGCCCGCTGATCTGTTCACACCTCCCCCTGCCACGCCACCACGCCCAGCTTGGCAGATCTCGGTTCGCCTCCGTGCGCCTCAGTCCACGAAAATACCTAAACTGGCTGTACGCCGGGCTCCGCCGGACGAAAATACAACTGTGCAGGGTCCGCCACCCTCCGTCGCCTCACCGGCGTAGACGAAAATAAAGCCCCACAGAGTGAAGTCATTACATGCTTTGATGAACTGAGAAATTCTTTCTAAACCGGCATAAAAAATAAAAGATATTTGTCTGAAAAAGAGATTTAACAGAATATGAAATATTATCTAAAATTACTTCAATGGAACCAGAGGGTGACAAAATACGTCCTTGTTTCACACAGTCCATGATTTTGACATATTTTGATTCTGAGGTAAAAAAAAAATAAATAAAAAAAAAGAGATAAAAAATAACAAATGCATCTATATTTCTATTTTTGGGTTTGGATGCAGGCAAAAGGACTGTGCTCAGCTGTGTGGTATTTTATTAATATCCCCTTAAAACTGCTTTAACAGCTGTCGTTCATAATCTGATGACAGCTCTGGATGGTCAGGGCCAATTTTTATGAATCATCCATCAATATTATCTGCAAAACGAATTATTCATCACTGCAAAGTAAAGCAGGATTTTTATAAAAAACAGCCTCTTATCAATGTGCATTATTACCTCTGCCAAGGAGGTTATGTTTTCGGTAACGTTGGTTTGTTTGTTTGTCTGTTAGCAACTTTACGGAGAAAGTAACAGACGGATTGACCTGAAATTTCCACCAGAGGTGCGTCTCAGCCCCAGGAGGATCACATTACATTTTGGTGGTGGTACGGAAAAAATTCTGGATACTGTGATCCAGAACACACAAAAATAAGGGTTTCGTTTGAATTTTCAATGCTGAAAGATAACCAATGGGCGGCACAGTGGTGTAGTGGTTAGCACAGTCGCCTCACAACCAGAAGGTCCTGGGTTTTAATCTGGGTCAGGGCATTTCTTGTTTTAGGAACATTATGAACAGTGAACATACCAGTTTAAACACAAATAAATGTTAATAAAAGACACGTAACAGTAAAAGTTTTAGTGTGAATCACAATATAAGGGGGGACATGAGCTGCTTGGCGGAGGTCTGCGCTCTCTGAGTGCTTTTCTAGTTTTAGTTGCAACCCCTTGTCCAACTTTAAAAATAAAAATGTAGAAGTGCAGTTTTTGTGTCGCTGGGTTCTCAGTTTAATTTGATGCAGCAGAAGAATGAACAAAAGATGGATATCTAATAAATTTTGAAAATCTGGATGTCTTCACTATCACCTTAAAGATTTCAGCATTCATCAAGGCAGAAGCCTGGATTGCAGGTCAACATCTTGCTCCACTTCTCCATCAGAAGATGCTTTTCCACCACAGAAACTTTCTCCAGGACATCTGTGCACCTTCACCCAGGGACCAGGGTCCTCCGGGGAGAAAGAGCTACCCCTTACAAAGCCCCTTCTTAGGGAGTAGTATTTTCCAGGGGCCCAGGAACTTTTGGAAGCAGGTCCTGATGTTTTAATTTACATAAAAAAACAGGTGGTTCATTTACATGTAAAATACTGATAACAGACGCACACACAGAGGAGGGAAGAGAAATTCTGGTTAATATCCTACATAACCCAATGTTATAGCAACAGCAAAACTGTGTCCATACATGACTTTTTCAATTCAATCACAGACCTGATATATCATCAGACAGCTTTCACATCTGTCGAGTCACTTTCATTATTTACCAAGGACTAAGAAGAGATGGAAACAGTCTTTGCCACAGCAGAGGAGAAATGTGCTGGACTCCTTCTCATGGATTGATTGAATATGATTGGTTTTCCTTAAAGTCACTTTTGCTGGAAAAAAAAAAAAAAAACTTACAGAGTTTTGACCAATCAGAATCAAATATTTAACACATTTGGGTACTGTTGACTTTTATAAACTTGGATTTACAACAATTTTATCAAATTAAAATCTGAGCTCATTTAATTTAAACAGTTACAAAGTTGTCAAATGTTATCAAAATATATGGGGGCATTAGGCATTAGCTTCAACTCACACATTTTATGGATGGTTAATCAATTTATATACTGTATTTTACCCATTTGAAGGAATACTGATATTGCTTCTATTTGTTTTCAGAGGAAAGGAAATGTTGATGACTGCTGAAAATAAGTATACGCTATAAGTGATATAACCAAAATACTGTATTAGTCTGCAGGTCACATACTTTGAGTTTAGGCTTTAGCCTTGAGCTATAGATGATAACTAGAGATGCACAGTGCTGTCTGCATCAATAGACATATAACTGAATAGTTATTCTTAAAAAAGTATGTTGAGTTTGAATCAAATGTCTTGATTTATGTCAGTTATTTAAAAAGACTGTCACAATAAGAGTAACAGATATATTCGATTACAGGAGAAACATTGGGTTCTTATTTTATTACAGTCAATATTCGACACGTGATTCTTGATTTAGTGATTTAGTGTGAAATGTCAATATTGTGTACATTATTTGGTGTTGTCATGACTGAATAAATGACTATTACTTCTACTACTATATCAATATTGATATCTGGATCAGCCATCATGACTTTTTTTATCTAATACATCCACCATTGTGCATCCCTTGTCCTAGATAGAAAGGGTCATTATGTTGGCCACTGTTCATTTGTAAGAGTGTGCACATCATGCCAATCCAGCAAAACTTGCCCCCACTTTGTCAATACACGACTCATAACAGAGGTGGGATATAACCTGAAAATATTCTCTGTGTTGTCAAAACACCCATCTGCAAACTTTAGTTGGAGAAAAATACAAACAATTTCAAACAATATTTTGACAAATATGTTGGTAATTCTCAAATAGCAGAAAACAGATTTTAAGTCTTTGGACACTGAACTCGAGGTAGTTGACTATGTCGATCGGGTGTCCGCACTAAGTTCGGTATCGATATGCTGCTCCACCTGACTCAAAGTCATGCAGTCTAATCCAGCAGTCCTGTCATAAATCCTGAAGGTTGTAATGTTGACTTTGAACTCAGTCTCAGTGTAGAGCATTAAACAGAGAGCTGGTTCTGGTCTTTGGTCGGCCCTCATTGATAGAAATGTGCTGGACTAAAGACTCCAAACAGTCTGCTGTGTCAGTGATCCCTTTACTCACTCTGGAGACAATCTGAGGTTCAGACTGAAGCTGAAGGACACTGAAGGACACATGTTGGACAGAAGGAGTCAGGGATCGAAGCAGAGACCCTGTGATTAATGGATGATCTTTGCTAATATGAGCTGATTTGATGTCATGTTTTCTGGACTGGTACACTTCTCTTTATTCACACTGAAGTCCTCCAGATCATCAGACCTGCTGAAGTTTAGAGTTTTACTGTGAGTCACAATTTAGGAGAAGAAAATCACAAACATTTACTTCCATTCTTCACTCTCAGCCTGTCAGATTCAGACTCTTTCTTACATGCAGCACAAGGGTTCTCACTATTTTACACCCGATGCGCTCATCAGTTTAAGGTCCAGCACCCACATTGTGTAAACAGCAAACAAACTTGTACCCATAGGTGTGTTGGTCTCATAATGAGGTGTGATCAGGTGCACAGCTGCTATCTTAAGGACCCAGAAAGTGACAAAACCGACAAAAACCTGGTCTGAAGAGTCCATGGCACAGTTGTTTCCTGCTGTTTTAGAGCTCATACGTAGGTGAGATGGTTACACACACAATTCTGCTTGTTACACACAAACACACAGTGGTGGATGTCTATGAAATAACTTTAACCCTAAAGAGGTTGATGTGAGCTGTGTGAAAATCAACACCCCTGCCTTCAGGATCACTTAAAAGGTAATGAGAGCAGACACTCTGATTGGTTTAATTCATGTTATGCCCAAAACATAACTCTGAATAACCAAACGGGACTTAATCCAACCTCTTGTGTCTCACTTAGTGACTAGACTGTGTGCTGCTTCACTTCCAAACTTGGTCAGACACAGCTGAATTCACTGAGAGCCATTCACACTAGTCTGTTCAAATGGAGCTCTATGAGTTCAAGATTTCACGGCAAAACTCTGCAGACATTTTATCTTCCTCTGAGCTGAGCAGCCTCTTTTGGTTGGAGCTCCTCAGATTTAAACACTTTAATCAATCTAACTCTATTTTGAAGTTTATTTTAATCATAGTGTTCATAACTTCCTGTAAATCAAGTCCTTGAATCCCAACTCAGTTAAACATATTTTCCAGATGATGTTATGATTATATAAGTATTTTTCACCAGTCAAGTAACAGTTGTTTGACAATCAGCAGGAAGTGGAGTTGAGGTAGCAGCCAAAACAGCAATAAAGTTACAAGGAGCAAAAATCAAAGTATCTCATCTAAAATTGATGAAATTGAACAGATCATAAAAATTAACTCAGTTTGAAGCTACACTTGATCTTTGGAGTAAGAGAGTTTAGATAAACAAACAGATTTAAGTTACAGTGTTTGTATCTTATGCCAAAAAGTACAAAATGACCCTCTGTGAGCACACCTGACTTCATGCAGGTAGAAGTCCTGATTCAGTTTCTTTGATGGTCTCTCTCTTCTTCTCATCTGCAGGAAGCAAAAGAACATGATATTAAAAAAATTACAACTCCATCTGACTATCAATTAAAATACAATACATAACAAAGTAGATCAATAAAATAAAATGTCCTTTGTTCATTGTTACCTTTGCAGTGAAGTCTGATGTGACTAGTGGAAACAAGAACTGCCAGGAGAACAATAACAAAAATAAAAACAAGGAGACCGCCCAAAACAGCTGCAGTGACAACCCAACCAGTAGGGAACTCTGAAAGATAAAAACATGTCGGGTCGAGTTCATTCGTTTGTATGGAACCTGTTGATAAAATCAGATTTTGTCAAAGAAATTATTACAGACACAAAAAATAAAAAGCTTTTTTTTGGTTCAATGAACACAAATGTATTCATCAGTCAAATATGTCACTATAAAGTAAATTCATGAAGTCAGTCCAACATCACTGATTCAGTCTGGATCAACTCAAATATCTCCTTTGTTGGAAAAAATGATTTTTAGTCAGATCAACTAACAATGAAGTTACTTTAACAGGAGTTATTTTACTGGAGTGAACCTGATAGTTTTGCTTTGAACTGAATACGAACATATGGAACTTGTTGACCGAATAAACTGAACTAAAGTCTGTGTTTCAGTTTTTGGAGTGAGGGGAAAATATTCCAGATGCTGTTTGGATTTTTTTCAAATATCTTTGAATCAGATTAATCTGAATTATTTGGTTCAATGTTGTAAAAATCAAAACATCACGTCTCCCTTCACTTAAAGGATCAGCAAGAATGTTTTTAATAATTTTATGAGGTTTATTTTTCCTCATGAACTTGAAGAGGACATTATCTGATGGAGATCAACTTGATTTGAGGACATCTAGAGACACAAACATGTCAGAAGCTCTTGACCATCCTTCTGCTTAACTGAACTCGACCATGTATTGATGAATCTCTGACCAATCAGCTCTGACGTTTCTTCTTGACTGCATCAATAACTGGAGGAAAACAGTCATTTATAATCTCTTTAGGATCTTCAGAAGTTTGAATGTTGAGATAAGCTCCACAGATTTCAGTCAGGTTAACATGATTTCACAGAAGTCCTTCACAGTTTTCAAAGTGAGTTTTAACCTGAAACATCAGAGAGCTGAGAGAGAGCAGATACAGCCACAGGACCTTCGTCAACACTTCTCCAAAATATCATCCTGCCATCGCAAACTTTTGATATTTGGACTTCTTGACCAAAAATCTCAGTTCCTGTTAAAGAGTTTTGAAACATTAGAAAGTTCAAGACTTGAACAAAGAGCATGAAGATGTTCATGAGAAGCAGGACAACCTCGATGCTCACCTTTGTTTCTATCAAATCTGTGGGATGTGCTGCATTCAAGTTTCTCTGAACTCTTGTTGTTCATGTTAAGAGTTTTGACTGCACTAATAAAACGACTCCCAAAGTGAAGGACAGACAGGGTGTCAAAAATAAATGTGTGACTGACTGTATCAAACACCGTCTGGGACTCTAAAAACAGAATAATAGAGTCACCGTGGATAAAACTTCTGTAGTTCACTCAATCTCAAACTAATCTGATCTGCTGATGATTATTGATTATTGTGTTATAATAGAGTTAAAAGAAATCTGAAAGAGCTGATTAAAGAGAGTTTGAGACAAAATCAAAGATCTCTAAGAAATATCAAAACTGTGTCTCTGAATGTGTCTTTTACTCCCTCATGTCCTCAGAGCTCCACTCAGACTGGATTTTAGGATTCATTTTTCATCTTAACTCCTAAAATCTTTAAATAATTAAACTCTAAATCTCATCATTAAAGATCAGTGACTGTTTTCAGAGTGAGACATTAAACAGTGACAATCAACCTGACAGCGCCCTCTAGTGGACAAACTCTGAAATACAGACACTGTTTCTGATCCACAAACTAAATGTTGGTAAATGTGGAGGTGAAGACGTTTGTGAACTCCTGGTTTCAGATTCATAAATCTCAACATGTCCCTGTTGTTTTCATCTCTATTTTTACTAGAAGTGTCAACTTAAATCTGTTTTTCATTTAGTTCAGCTTGTGGTCCACCAACACTCTGCTGCAGTGAATAAACAAAGAGTGAAGAAGAAACATTTACAGCAACATGTTTATCATCCGGGACCCTCACTGTAATGTCATCAGTATGAATAAGATGTTTGTTAATGTGGAGGAAAAACTGCAGTTTAGAGTCTGAGAGTGTCAAATTATTATCAGAAAATATCATTAAATTCAGTCAGAGTTGAAGTTTGGTCCTAGTTTGTAGTTTCAGGTCAGTTTATCCTTCAATAAAGTAATTAAATATAATTTATTTGAATCTTTTTACATCTAAAATAAGTCCTTGTTGTTGTTGTTTGAGTTGTGATTCATGTTTGACTCAGCTGCTGTGATTCTGTCATTTCCCTCCTGGATTAATGAAATACTGTCTCTGTCTGATCTGAATATTTAGTGTATTTAAGGTAAACAAACATTCAGAGAGTGTTTATGTGTATCTGGAGGTACATGATAGATAATGACTGATCAGTGTAAAACATTTTTCTTTCACAGAAAATTAAATCGAGTCTCTTCTTGTAACGCCCTCAGTCTCTCATCCGACCTGAGGTGTTTTCTGTGGATGTCCTCAGGATCAGGGGTTTACTACAAGGCAAGATTTGCAGTTATGTCGGTAACTTCAGGTTTAAATCTGAGTTTTCAGAGCTATGAAGGTGATTATCTTCCTGTCAGGACAGATCAGAATAGATCAGGTAAGTTCAGCTGAACACTGAACCTGCTCAGCAGTAGAAAAGTCATCTGACTGACCATAAATCTGCAGTATCATGAAGCTGAGTGAGTGCAGATGAAGAAGGTAAAGATGGAGAAATAGGCCATGAGCCAGGGGGGTTGGTCGGTATCAACTGAGGGGAATAATGCTCATAGTGATTTTTGACATTGTATACATGTATAGAGTTAGAAAATATGTGATAGCATTGCAGCAGTGGTAGCTAAATGGGTGCTATCATGCATTTTATGTTATAACACTAGACGAAAATTACAAGGGTCAATATATGAAAACATACAACTTAACCCCCCAAAAAACCTATAGAAAGGGTTTCTTTTCACCATACATCATTTCTATAAGGTGTCTAGACTAACATAATATAAAAGTCCTATGAAATCCTAGTTGGAAAAGTATGTTAATTTCGCCAGACAACAATACGCAAATGAGCTCAAAACTCATTAAAATTTGCCCAAAATACTCCTTTTCCCCTGAACTATTATCATGGTGAAACTATTATCACAGTGAAAGCACATTGAAAGAGGGTGATGGCAATGCTGCTTTTGGACTGGCCTCTAACCTGAAAACTGCCCAGCTTTGTTGTACCTACCAGGGGTATAACCCCGGCCGGTGTAGTCTTCAGGGTCACTGAGGCACACAAGCCTCCCCACCCCGACAAGGTAGCAACAATTGGGGAGGGTGTTTTTTTTGTTTGTTTGTTTTTTTTGGTATGTTTATTTTTGCCTGGATCCTCGCCACCTTCTCTACATGTCAGTTCCTGGCTTGTTCTTTGCTTTGTTCTGGGACAGAGTTAAACCAAGAAAGGTGGTTTTGGTGTATATCCCCACGTTTGCCATTCAGGAATAGTGTAGGCCTGAATCTCTCCAATTCTCAATTATACAGATCATTCCTTTTACTTCTATACGTTCACAACCTAATAATCAAAATCATTTTCATCAACTTCTTCCATGTCTTCTTCATCTGAACTTTCCACACTGTCTGAGGTGGATGCTTGGTTCTCACAGTCTGCCAGTCTACACATGTCAGTACACTTGAGGCCATTTGCAATACAGACACATTTTGGGAGTGAACATTTCTTTGGACAGTTACAGGCCAGTAGATCCAGGACCGCATCAGGTGCTGGCTGGCCGTCCATCCAGTGCACCACCAACTGTTCAGATTCACCCTCTGTCTCCATTTTCCACCCTCAGCTCTGAGTTATACAGCTTGTGTAAGCTTTTCACGTGACTTGGAGCCCTTGAAAAACTTCTCTTTCTTACAAAAAATGCAGATATGATCATACACCCTTGATGCTGATGAAGATCTCCTTCTAGGCCTTTTTGATACACAGCCGTACTCAACATCTTCATCACCAGTAATGCTTTCCTTGGCTTTCTTTTTCAACGACTCCAATTCCCTCTTCATGGTGAAGAGGCTTTGGCATTTTCTGTGATAATAAATTGTAGGCACATCCTTTTCTCCAAGTTTTTTAGCAATGTCTAAAATAGGGGCATGGTTTCTCACTTTGGCTGCTTCAAGTAATGTTTCCCAGTATTTATAGTCTTGGGGACTAACTAAATGTTCACCATCACCCTTGGACGTGTTATTGTGTATGATGTTTAATCGATTCTGTCTGCTTAGGACCCTCCATCATAAAGGAAAGTGATTCAGCTCCTTGACATGAAAACACTGCTGTTCTCTGAATTGTGTTGTACAGGACTACTCCACCACCACTGACTGGCCTATTTATACTGTGTGCCTCAATTAACTCAATGCACAGCATGTGTGTGTTGTGCACACCCAGCTCCATCCATTTAGACTGACTCAGGCCAGGTGTGAGTGTGACAACTTAAATCAAAGCAAGAATAAAGTAGACATATCTAGCTTATGCATTACTTACCATGTTTTATGTATGAACATGTTTAGGTTGTGTACAAATTAAACATTTGTGTTACATCTTTCATGAAAATGGAAGACATATATTGTCACTGCTTATAAGAGAAAAAAACATCTAGAGATGCTGATTCCAACAACTCTACTGAACAATATATAGCCTGGGCTTTATTCTGACATTTTTTCACAGAGATAGGGTCAATTAATAAGAGAGAACCATCAGTTTGAAGTAGAATGATTAATTCGGATTTTGAAAACTCTGTTTTGGCATGTGGTCATAAACTGAGTGATAACACACAGAAAGCTACCACAGATGCAATGCTATCACATTTTTTCTAGTACTAGAGGTGTATACCTTCCCAAAAATCACTATGAGAATTATTCCCCCCAGTTGATACCAATGACGCCATATTTGAAGCCTAGCTCAAGGCCTAAAAGCGGAGAAGAGTGTATGGATAAACTCAGCTGTAACAACGTTATATACACCTGGACCATTAAATACAACAGTTCTATCATCAATTCTCCTCTTCATAAAGCTTTACATTTTCAGATTTCAGAAGGACAGAATTAACTTAAATGCCATAGACAGTATCTCACCATTCAGAGGGACATAAATCTCAGCTTCAGTCTGGTGGTTGATCTCCTCCTGTGTAACTACACATCTGAAAGTGTCAGCTCTGCTCACTGTAGTTTGGAGGATGATGTCGTAGCTGCCTCCTCTTTCTGTGACCTTTGGCTCTTTAGCAGGAAGGATCTTTCCAGAACTGTCCCTCCACTCCACTTTAGGTTCAGGAGAAGCTCCAGAAACTTCACACTGAAGCAGAGCTCCACTCTCTGTTTTAATTATGGTGACAGACGGCTTTGGCGCTGCACCTGAGAACAGAGATTTGACAGACAGTGACATCTGAATTAAATTACAGCAAAAATTACAGTGATACAAATATAACAAAGTGATAGATTCTAATTCATCCCTTTTCTGCTGGTAAGTGAGGACTGCAGGGTGTTAATGGAAAAAATATAGAAAGAGTGCAGAGAAACTAAAAGGATAAAATCCTTTCAGTTTATCAAGCCTTGTTTAACACAGGATTTTAGTCTGTTCTACTTATAGTTATTCAGGTCTACAGCAAATCCTCATTCATGGAGGTTTCAATTTCTGTTTAACTGAATCTGAAAAAGAGGGGTGTTGTTTCTTGTTCACTAAATAGTCTGCAGACAGTGATATTGTTGAGCTGTGTTGAGCTGAATAAACAAGTTTCAGTAATTTTCTGCTTCTGTTATATCAGGAACTATACAGACAAAAGCTTCATCAAAGTGTCTGACTTGTGTCATTGAAAGCACGTGAACCTTTGGACTGGTATCATCCACAACAGGCCAGAGCACTTCATTTACGTTTTAAGGTCAACAAAATGGACATTTTCATTAAACTTCTATGTTTGAAACTTGTGAACTGAAATGATATCGTATTTATGTTGTAAGTCGTATTTGTTGAGTTAAAGAACCGATATGAAGATCTACAGATCGATGGTATCATCAACATGAACACTAACCTGGAATGTTTTCCTCCGACCTGTCCTTTAATCTTTTAACACGTGGAGGTTGAACGCGACCCAAAATTTGTGTTCAGAAATATCAAATAAATTAACTTTATATATTTATAACGACCACTGCTGTCAATACACACACTTAACACGTTATTTAAAAGCTTAAAAGTTCGTTGTTTCAACGGATCAGACAAAATAGCTTTTAAGGTCGCTGCTTCATAAACTGATCGTCTGAATTAACACTAAGAAAAAGTAACAACCTTTTCAGTTATCCTGTCAAACCACCGTTCAGATGTTTTTAAAGGTCCAAAAACTGATAATTACAAACGAACAATGACTGTCGCTTCAGGTTGAAATCCCATTGACTCACCACAACTCATCGATATGCAACCGGAGGTCAGATTAAACCGAATAAACCCAATTTGTGACTCATCAATTATTTTTTGACTGTTGTCAAACTTTTAGAACAACATGACATTGGTCAACTTTTGCATTCCGACAGAACTTTCCATCGACGTTGCTCAGTATCTCTGAAATAAGTGAACGCCCACCAAGAGAACGAGCCAATCAGCAGCTTAATACGACCTACAGTTCCTGTTCTACGACAGTTTAATTTTATTAGCCAATCAGAGAACAGCAACATTTCAGGAGCAACTATTAAATCTGAATGACAGATATTGTCAGCCAATAGGAGGCCAGCACCCTGAAACCACCCGGAGGTTGTAGTCAACTAAGTTACCTGATTTAACATTTAGGAGGCTCACAAGGTTCGTTGATCTGTAGGAGTGGCACACTCATAAAATAATAAAACTTATTTTTTCATGTTCAAAGGAGCTTAATTCAGTTAAATAAACATTAAAATATAAGGAAACACTGAGAAACTCTTTTCACAAAAACATAAAACCCTTGTGGACAATTTGCAGAATTAAAAGGACATAAATTATCCACTTTTGAAAACTTTGGGAAAGTTTTAGAGATCTCTGTAGACACCTGCTGGACGGACTGTGTACTACACTTGCTCAAATATCTCAGAGAAACTTCAGTCTGTTAACATGAAATGTGCTGCATAAGTCGAAGACAAAACGAGGAATAAATCCTGTGAATTTCAGTCTGATGGACAAAACTAAGATTATTTTTTCTGTGTTTGGAACATTAAACAAACTAAATACAACAAATAAACTTTGATTCGTTTTTCTATTTAATTCTTTGCTTTTTCAATCATGTTATAATCTGAATGACCATGAGCACAGCTGATGAAAGCTCAGAGTTTTTGCTTTGAAATGATATCATAGACATGTATCAGCTCTTCATGATGTTGGTATTATACAGTTTATAATGGAGAGGAAATAAGAGACTGAAAATGAACCAAAATAAACTGAACACTAAGAGGTTAAGATGACATCTGAAAGACAAAAAAGAAATCAAACATTAGAGTGGAAAATAGGATCAACTTGTCTGAGTGTGTCAAATCTAAATGAGCTCTCTTTATAAACTGTGGACTGCTGAAATGTCACTGTGCAGAGGGACTTTATGAGTTTCATGTCTGATAGAAACAGGATCTCTCCAGATGTGGCTGCAGCTCTGTGGGGATGAGGACCTGTCAGATGTTGATCTTACACTATCTAGGACTCTTCAACCATCTCTGAGTGTTTCATGAAAGAACTCACCAACAACAAGCTGAATGTTGAACATCTGACTGGGCTGAAGACGTGGAAAAATACAGCTGTAGTTTCCACTGTCAGACACCTTGGTCTTTGAGATCTTTATGGAGGCGTTGCCGTTCTTCAGTTCATCTCCAAAATGTGAGACTCGACCTTCAAACTGTTTATCTTGACCTGAAATGCCTTTACCATAAATAAGGCCACCATCATACATGAACACCTCCATGTGACCGTCTTTCTTCCAGTCAAACAGCTTTGACTCAATGTTCTCCTGAGAGCTGAGGGAACAGGGTAAAACCACATCACTGTCTTCTTTCACCACCACTGGACCTGAAGGAGGACAAAACACAGGGATTAACCTGTCTCTGAATCAGACAATAAACCTCTCTGACTCTTAAACTGAAGAGAAGAAGAAGAAGGTGAAACTTTCTCTCTGGTCCTTATTTCATGAACATTCAGTCTGACTGATAATTCAGAGTCATTCAAAACTCCATATAAACTCAGTTTGACCCACAAACAGTCAGCTCACAGCCCTTTTCTCTGGAGTTTCTCCTGGTCCACATCAGAGTGATGCTGCACTTTAGTGTCTGTAGGATGGAGGAGACGCCCCGAACATGAACTCTGAATCTATCGTCATCATCATCACACTGCGCATGTCTGATAAACGTCTGAATGAAGCAGGAGGAGGCTGTGATTTAGTAAAATCACTTGTTTTATGGAGGCTGATGTTTAAATATTCATTACTGATCATTGTTTCAAGACTTTTTGTTCGAACATTTTCAAACATTTACAACCGAAATAATTCAGAGCCTTTAGTTTTCTTACCGTTTTCATCAGCAAACGTTATTCCAGACCGAGTCACGAGACACAGACACACACACACACACACGAGAGGAACGAGCTTCATAGTTGTTGATGTCTCCTGAAGATACACCATCACTGTTACAGCTCTGTTTAAGAGATTCAGGCTGAGAGTCTGAGCTCAGGGACCAAACCGCTGAAACACATGACATCTACAACTGAGTAATACTTCCTGCGAAGACCCTTCACAATAAAAGCTCAATGTCAAGTTTAACTTAATCATGACTCAAAAACTGTCAAGAAAACTCAATATTTAAGTACACGTAGTGAAAAATGAGACTGCCTCTTTATTTCACTGAAAATATTCGTAAATCACGATCGGAGCCCTTCAAAAATAAAAGTAAAAGTATGTAGATGCTGAATACAACAAAAGCAGTAGTTTAAGTAGTTAAAATGAAAAGCTAATGCTTCACCCCTTGTTCACTTGTCTATAATGTAAAACTGTTTTCGTTTTATTTCTATAATGTCAAAGATTCACTTGTATTAAACAAAACTGTCACCTCAGTTCTAAAAATTAAATGCATAAACAGTGAAAACACCAGCTGACGAGAAATAGACCGACCTGAAGATGGACCGTCATTTAAAGACTACCGGTAAAAATGATGAGATAAAAACTTAGTCAACGGTGACCAAATTATTTTTAGTCGTTATTTGTCAAAAGATATCCAAATTATCTCTTCTATTCTACAGTGTTACTGATAAAATTTAACCAAAAATGAAGTAGACTGAGAATTATGGTGTAAAGCCTATGCACATACTTTGAAACATGCTTGGAATAACCACACATAACTGTCACAAAAGAAACATCAGTCAGCAGCACAATTACATTATCCAATAAAGTAGTAAATTTGTATATATTTTTATTATTATTGTTATTTTAACCACATAAACTCAGTCAGTTTCTATCTGAAGCTTAATTCAGTTGAAACAGCGTCTGAACTGTCCTTGGTGCTGAACATGTTCAGTCATGCCTTTTGAATAGGTCAGAGACTTCCGTAACCACCAGGGGGAGATGCAGACCGAGAAGCCCTCTACTTCCACTGTCTCCAGTGGAGGGGGAGGTTGAGGGGGAGGGGGAGGAGAGGTGCTGCACAGGATTGCTCACCACGGGGGGGGGGGGGGGGGTTGGGTCTAAAACCTGCCCAAATACCTGAAAACACATAAAAAAGGAGAAAGACAATGGAATATACTCGAGGAGAATGGACAGAGATCTTTTTTTTAGCTATCTCAATACCACTCTGAGGGTACTTTCTCTGTCCGGCCTCTTTTATTTAGGGTTGTCCCTGGTTACACAATGTTTCTAAAAGGTGGGGGAAAATTGGGCAGCAAAGTAAGCACTCTCATAAAGCATAATAATGAACAACTTGTGAATATGTGAAGGTCAAGGCGGCACCTAACGAGCTCCTTCTGATAAGAATATCCTCCCCTTATTTCCTTCCCACGATTCATAGTGGAGGATACATCACACACACCTGCTGATAGGAGAAACGAGTTCACAGAGAAGTTAAGAAACATTCATGTGCTGTGTAATTAAGCTATTGGAGAGAGAAGTTAGAAAACACTCTTATATGATAAAAATACTCTTATATGATGTATAAAAAGATGTCAAAGCAGTTTATACTTGTAGTATAAACTCTTACATAAGAATATGAGGAATAATGATAACTTCTATATACATTTATGCACATTATTCAAACAATGTGTGAGGGAGACAGACGGCTGTGAGCTGAACCTGTTAAAGAAAGTGTTCAGCTCGTTGGCTCTCTCCAGGCTGCCTGATGGTTGCCCTTGTCTCCCTTTACAACCTGTGATGTGCTTCATCCCAGTCCACGCCTCCCTCATGTTGTTTTGCTGGAGTTTGGCCTCCAGCTTCCTCCTGTCGGTGTCTTTACACCCTCTCAGTTTCTCCCTGAGTTCATGCTGCACTCTCCTCAGCTCCTCTTTGTCACCAGACTTGAAGCCCTCTTCTTCTTATGAAGGAGGGCTTTCAGGTCACTGGTGATCCATGGCTTATTGTTGGGGAAGCAGTATACAGTCCGGTTTGGGATGGTGGAGTTCTCACAGAACCTGATATATTCTGTGATGCAGTCTGTCATCTACAGTAATGTATCATGTTTAATAAAAACAATTAAAGCATTTTTCCACCAATACTGATATATTTGACAAAATAAATGAAAAACAGTCCCAGCAGCACACAGTTTGACAGTTTGTTTAGAAATAATGAAGAATAAACAGACATGAACTTTCAGATATGGAGCACAATTCAAATGTCCCAGTCAACAACAGCACAGAGTAAGAGTCCAGTTTCTACACCTGCTCCACCTGACTCAAAGTCATGCAGTCTAATCCAGCAGTCCTGTCATAAATCCTGAAGGTTGTAATGTTGACTTTGAACTCAGTCTCAGTGTAGAGCATTAAACAGAGAGCTGGTTCTGGTCTTTGGTCGGCCCTCATTGATAGAAATGTGCTGGACTAAAGACTCCAAACAGTCTGCTGTGTCAGTGATCCCTTTACTCACTCTGGAGACAATCTGAGGTTCAGACTGAAGCTGAAGGACACTGAAGGACACATGTTGGACAGAAGGAGTCAGGGATCGAAGCAGAGACCCTGTGATTAATGGATGATCTTTGCTAATATGAGCTGATTTGATGTCATGTTTTCTGGACTGGTACACTTCTCTTTATTCACACTGAAGTCCTCCAGATCATCAGACCTGCTGAAGTTTAGAGTTTTACTGTGAGTCACAATTTAGGAGAAGAAAATCACAAACATTTACTTCCATTCTTCACTCTCAGCCTGTCAGATTCAGACTCTTTCTTACATGCAGCACAAGTGTCCTCACTATTTTACACCCGATGCGCTCATCAGTTTAAGGTCCAGCAGCCACATTGTGTAAACAGCAAACAAACTTGTACCCATAGGTGTGTTGGTCTCATAATGAGGTGTGATCAGGTGCACAGCTGCTATCTTAAGGACCCAGAAAGTGACAAAACCGACAAAAACCTGGTCTGAAGACTAGAGTCCATGGCACAGTTGTTTCCTTCTGTTTTAAGAGCTCATAGGTGACACAATTACTCACATTAGTCTGCTTGTTACACACAGACACACAATGGCGGATGTCTATGAAATGACTTTAACCCTGAAGAGGTTGAAGTGACCTGTGTAAAAGTCAACACTCCTGCCTTTAGGATCATTTTAAAGGTAATGAGAGCAAACACTCTGATTGGTTTAATTCCTGTTACGCCCAAAACATAACTGAATGACAAAACAGGACTTAATCCAACCTCTTTGATTCTTGTGTCTCACTTCGTGTCTAGACTGTGCACTGCTTCACTTCCAAAATTTGGTCAGACATGTCTGTATTCACTGAGAGCCATTCACTTTGGTCTGTTCAAATAGAACTGAGTTCAAGATTTCACAACAAATCTCTGCAGACATTTTATCTTCCTCTGAACTGAGCAGCCTCTTTTGGTCTGAGCTCCTCAGATTTGAACACTTAAATCAAACTAACTCTGATCTGAAGTTTATTTTTATCACATTGTTCATAACGTCCTGTAAATTCAATCCTTGAATCTTAACTCAGTTGAACATATTTCCCAGATGATGTTACAATTATATGAGATTTTTTAACCAGTCAAGTAAAAGTCATTTGACAGTCAGCAGGAAGTGAAGTTGAGGTAGCAGCCATAACAGCAATAAAGTTACAAGGAGCAAAAATCAAAGTGTCTGATCTAAGATTGATCATAAAAATTAACTCAGTTTGAAGCTACACTTGATCTTTGGAGTAACAGAGTTTAGATGAACAAACAGCTTGAAGTTGCAATTTTGGTAGATTATACCAGAAAGTATGAAATAATCCTCTGTGAGCACACCTGACTTCATGCAGGTAGAAGTCCTGATTCAGTTTCTTTGATGGTCTCTCTCTTCTCCTCATCTGCAAGAAGAAAAAGATCATGATATCAGAAAGTGTGTAAAATCAAGCTTAACACTGAATGTCTGACGAAATAAAACAACTGAAAAGACTTTAAACCAAAGATAAAATTGCAAGACTTTGTTGTGTTTATCTTGAATATGTTGATAAAATATTTTACTCACCCTTTTTACAGTTGATGCGACCAGTGGTCGACAGCACAAGGAGAACACTTACAACAAGGAACAGGAGGCAGAAAACAGCAGCAGTAACAGTCAATCCAGTGGGGAACTCTGAAACTGAAAACAGAGAGTTAGTGAATCAGTCAGAGTGTTGAAATGTCAGACAGCAGGTAGGAGGTGACACACAGAGAAGAGGAGTGTGTGTGTGTGTGTGTGTGTGTGTGTGTGTGTGTGTGTGTGTGTGTGTGTGTGTGTGTGTGTGTGTGTGTGTGTGTGTGTGTGTGTGTGTAGCTCTGGGACGACTGTGATCAGCAACAGTGATGCTCAGTTTCTCAGTTTGCTCGGCTGCTCAGCTCACAGCTTGGTTTGGGTTTTGCTCTCAGTAGTGAGGAGGAGGATGTTGGACCTTCATCCTGTTTCTGAGACCAGCTGCTCTTCATGAACAAAGTCTGAATTTGAGACAACTGCAGCAGAAGATCTGGATCTATGTGCTCATTTTATCTGAACTTTACTGAACTGGAGGAGGAAATACTTTGACTTTATAAAACTTTACAATCACTACATATAACCTGCTCTGATCTTAGAATGTAAAGATTTAATAAACATTTAAAAAAACAAACTTTTAAAGGATGGTGAACTACTTTAGACAGATTTTGCTGACTTTGAGGTTTGGTTTTTATATTAGCTGCTGTAAATTCCGGCAACAACCAAAACACTCTCTTTATATATAATCTGAGTTATTACTGAAGTGACCTCAATATGAGACAGTTTCTATTCACGTATTTAAATATATAAATATGATGTTACGATGTTGGAAGTCTTCACTAAACCTCTATAAAGTTTGAAAACACACAGACGTTGGTGTGATTTACAGACGTGTGTCTCGTCTTCTCTGATCAGCTGTTTCAGAAACTCTGCCAAACCGGTCCTGAAACATGACTTCAGGATCTGTGGTCCTATCAGGACAATGTTGGAGGACATGTCCACCCAGCAGCTCCTTTAAATCTTCCCTCACATAGAAAGTCCATGTCAAAGCTCCTCTCTGCTCTTTGCTGACTCAGTATGTCTCTGAACGTTGATCCAAAGTGTTTTTGTGGTTGTGAAGGAAAGTCTGAGCTGTTTTCTCTTCCCAAAGATAAAAACTCCAGAAAACAGCCAAAAGATTCGATGTTTTCAGGACAACAATGAAGCTGTTTGTGCTCACCACTTCACTGATGACTCCTTAGTAAACAAAGACCAGTACGAGTTGGATTTGAGGTTCAGCTGTTCCTGAAACCTGCTGGAGCTGTTCATCTATAAAGACCTTCATGAAGAGACTAAACACAAACATTTACAACAGCAGATAATGGAAGAACAGCTAACCTATAATGGGGAGCTAGTGTGAGCTTCAACAATATAAAGACATAACTTTCAGGTTGTTTAATGACTACAAAGCTGTGTAAAAAGTAACACCCACATGCTGTGTCTAACTTTATATCAGTGGAAAAGCAGCAAAGATAAATAAAGACTTTTCATGATCTGCTTATCGAGCAGCGCTGCTCTACAGGTGTCCCAGACTGACAGAATCAAAGGTGAAAATGAGCGTCATAGGTCTCCTTTAATGAAACACTGATAATCATCACAGCAGAGGATGGAGACACTCATCTGCAGAGCAAGTTTACCCCTCATGACTCAAACCAACCATCACAGCTACAACACCAGGGGGATGAAAGATGGAGAGACACAGAGATCAGAGCAAAGACGTCCCAAAGTAGGAAGACTTCTTCAACAGCTGAGGTGGAGTTATGATGCATTAGTGCAGAAAACGGTTATGAACGCAGCAGAGACACTAAACAACTGTCCGACAGTAACAAGATGTGGAGTAATCAAATGTAATGAGCACAAAGAGATCATCTTCAAAGACCTGTGAGCTGAAAAACTGAGCAAAGACACACTTTGACCAAACTGTCCACCATCCAACAGACTGTGGGTTATTATTTCAACTTTGAGAGTCTCTAAATATTATGACCACAGCTGCTCCATTTACACATGTGGACTTTATGAATTTATTCAAATGTGACGATTTCATTTCAAAAGAAACTGAAAACATGATTTTATGTAAAAGGTGTTTAAAACAACCAGGGTTGATGTGCACTTTTTAAAATCAGATTTAGGACTTTTTAAGACCCTCACAGAGAAAAGGAGACCAGTTTACAGAGCAGAACAAACTTTGTGTTCAAACTAAACTCTGAATCAAAGTTTTTAAGATCTTTTCTCACATGTTGTCTCTTCATCGTTGTTTCCTCCTGACTTTTATTCTTTATGTTTTTCATCCTTCAGACAAATTTCCTTGAACTTATATTTTCTCTTCTTCCTCTCTCTTCCTCTTTTTCTTTGATTCATGAATGTGAACATTAAACACTGCTGGATGTGCTGTGAACTGTCATGTGAATATTAATAAGGAAAGATTAATATATAAAATAATAAAACACTGATTAAAGGATTTCATGAGGTTTTCAGGCATGTTTCAAAGTGTCATCTAAAATTTAAGACTCATCAAAAAAAAAAGACTTTTTCAGACATTTTACAGCTTTAAATTCATAAAATCTACTTTTTAATGATTTTTAAGGGTCTGAACCCTGATCAGCCTCTCGTTTTATTTATTGAGTTTGTTTTATTATAATTATCAGTTCGATTTCGAGTTTCTCCACAAAAACAAGACTTGGTCCTGATGGAGTCTAAAAGTTAGTCTTGAGAAGGGGGTCTTCTTATATTCAGGTCCATATGAACATATCTACTGAACTCTCAGAGAACCTCAGTGTGTTTTAGAGACAAATATTGGATCATGTTTCTAACTTCATCCTGTTTTTCTCTCTAAGACTCCAGAAGTCGCTGCTCTGACGTCTTCAGTCTCTAAATTCACCTCAAAGGTTTTCACATGTGGGTCTTCAGGATCAGGATCACAACAGCTGATTATGAATGAAGCTCAGCAGAAGTTCAAGAAGCAGACTGGGTTATATTTATTCATTCATTCATTCACTGAGTCTTCAATAAGTCATCTCTCTCTCTCTCTTTCTTTTTCTCTTCCTGCTGCAGTGATCAGCTGATCATGGGTGTTTCCTCTATAAGCACTTAACCAATCAGAGCGACCTTCATCAACCAATCATCCTGCTTCTCTCTCTCTCTCTTTCTCTGTCATTGTTTCAGTTTGATCCCTGAGGTACTCCTCAAATCGATTCCTCCTCCTCCTCAGTTTCAGTCCAGCTCCTCAGCTCATCCTGCATCCTCCCCTCAGCACCACCAGAGTCCAGACTCCATCAGTGGATCATTTTCAGCTTTCAGCCTCTCAGTCTCTCCAACCACATCAAGATGGAGTCAAATCACAAACACATTCAACACTTTTGATCCTTTTCTAAAAATGTGAAATCCTTTTTGTTCTCTTCTGATAAAATCTCTACAGATTAAATAATAATCCTGGTTTTGTGTGTCTGATCAGATTAATTATCATAAACTACAAATCTCTCTGTTAGTTTCCTCTAGTCTATTAAACTCTTCCTCTTTTCTCTGTCATTTCACAAAGTTCAGTCAGTTTTGAAATTAAACTTTTACTGAGACTGAAAAATACTGAACAGTGTCTTCATCACACTTTGCTTTGCTTCAGTCTGAACACAATTTAAATGTTAAATAAACAAAAACACACAGAACATGAATCACTTTAACTAGGTGGCTCTGTAAACACAAAGAAAGAACAAAAACAACAATACACCTGTAAATATGTGTGTTTAAAATTCAGTTTAACATTATCAAGATTAAGTATCATGTAAACATCAATTACATATTGGAACTATATTTGAGTTTACGTCACATCTAACTTACAGTTCATAAAGATTTACGACTGTAAAGACTTTTCTGACTCGTATAATTAAGAACCAGGAACCATGATGAAGTTTGGACAACACCTGAATCTTTACACTTTCAATGTCAGAAAATATCATATTTACATTAAATCAGATCAAACTTACTGATTCACTCATCACTTCAAGATCATCGATTAATGTGAGATTATTTGACAGCTAATTAAAGCTCCAGCTGACTTCATCAAAATGTTGTTATAAACACAGTCATAATACTCAGGTCTCCTCAAGTTTAATTTGATTTATTGAGTGGAAAACTTCCACTTTGTGTTCAATCGATTTATTCAGTTCATGGTTGTTTCTTTTTGGTTTCAGGTTTTTCTGCTGCTGCATTTTCTTTACATCATCTCAGATAGAAACTACACTTTCTCTCCTCTACAGTTAATAGATACATCAAGTGAATTAATAAATTCATCTTACACAAAAAAGCTTAATAAACTTTAAAAATATAATGTAATCTTTCTACTTTGTGAACATATTTTGTGGTAACTTACCTTTATTCAATTTAATTTAAGAATACACTGTTGTTATATTTTTCTCTTGTACCCAGTTTGAATAAAACTACAGAAATAAGTTGACAAGTAAAATACCATTAACAGTTCTGACACTGAGTCATGGAGCAGCAGGTGTTTTTCTTTTCAGATTAATGTCTGCAAGAATGAGTAAATTTGACCATTATATGTATTCATGCTGTCTACACTGAGAGGACAACTGAAGACAGGACCGAACAATTCTGAGTAACAGCATTAATGCATTAGTGACACATTCCTCAACAAAAAGGATTCAATTATACTTTAGTCATTATGTTAACAATCCTCTATCTTTATTTTAATGTAACCAGGTCATATTTTGTGTTTTTGGTACTTGGTGTGAGGTAACTTTTCGTTAAGATCTTCTACCAGCAAAAAGATGTTTGGTGTAGCTCACATTAGTGCAGAAATTGTAACTCATTATCACGTAAACCTGGTATAGAAAAATAGAGGAGACTTGTATCAGGAATCACATCCAGAGGACAAGGCAGTGAAGAAACTGTGGAGTCACCTGAGGTTACATGTGCTTTTTATGGTTTAATATAAATGATTAAATAAGGTGTTGAGATGTTATTTAATACTGATCAACACTTCTCTGTTCATCATTTCTGTCTTCATACTTTTGAGAGAATTGTAAAAAACAAACCTTATTCTGGAAATGTCACTGCAGGTCATTAACAGCTCATTTAGTGTGAGTGTAAAATCACTGAGGTTCATCCAAACAGACATTAATGATGCTCATTACTCTTTAATGGGGACTTCCAGCTGAATGAGAACTAATCTATGTCTGTATTGGATTCTGAGAAGTTGAATATTTTTAATCATGAACGTATTGTCATCAGAGTAGCACTGAAGTTAAACTGCAATTATACAGCTGTGCAACACTCTGTCTTTAACATTATTTTTATACTGATCATTTATCAATACTGCTCTGCAATAGTCATTTATACATTTCCGTCATTCACATTTAAATCATCTGATAAATCCAATTTCTAAGCATTTTCATTTTTAATAAAATCTCTATTATGCTCTATTTCCCTGGGGTCATATACTGTAAAGACATTTTTTTTTTTTTTTGTTTAATGGTTTCAAACATTTTTGTGGTTGGCCAGATTAACTTCATCTCTTGAAACACCTTTTAAATTGAGTTGATCCTTCTTAAATAATAAACCAGAAATTGGAATAACCTACAAACATTGTAACCTTAAAGAAAGGGTACAATAATTTTGGAAGATAAAAGTTGTCTCCATATAACTGGCAACTGAACTCAAGCAGCTTGTAGTGTTTTGTCTCAATACATGAAAATATTCAAAAGTGTATTGACATGTTGTTACAGGGAAAAAAAAACTCACCAGGTATGAGCACAGCCACCTCATCAATGGCCTCATGACAAATTCCCTCTTGTGTAACCACACAGCTGTAAATGCCGGTCTTGGTCACAGTCGTTCGGAGGATGATGTTGACACTGTTTTCTTTTCCTGTGACCCCTGTCTCTTCAGCAGGAAGGATCTGTCCAGAACTGTCCCTCCACTCGACTTTAGGCCTAGGAGAAGCTCCCCCGACAACACACTGCAGCACAGACCGATCATCTGATGCCTCAATTGTCTTGGCTGATGGTGTCCGACATGCACCTTTGTATGAAGTATAAATAACAGATCATTAAGATTGTATAAAGCATTACATGACTAACACCCCACCCCCTCAAAAAACATATATCTCTGCTCATACATGTGTATTATGATACCAAAATTAAATTCAAAGGAAGATCACAGCATTTTTCAAGATGAGGTGACATTTTAAGAGGTCATTGTCAAAGGCCAGTCAGTATGGATGGAGCCCCCTCCATCAACTGTTGTTCTGCACTCAAATGTATTTATAATAACAAATAAATAATGTACAAAAAAGGTAGGCTTTTAAAATTACCTCTTAGTTTGGAGCGTTTGCACTCGGCTATATCCCAGTTTGAGAATTGTTTTTTCAAGTTAAAAACTGATGACTCTGACCTGGTGAAAGGTTTTTTTTTTCCTAAAAGAAAATAGATGACCCCATTTCTTCAGCATCTGAACTGATACAGTTTCTCTTTTTATTTCCCTAATGAATTTACCACCCAGGCATTTATTTACTTCTTTATCATAGATATACACTTAACAATGCACCATTAAAACTTGACACAGGTGCCGCCAGTGCTGGTGAATTTGGTCACTGTCCTTATGTGCAAATGTCCATACCTTTATATCTAACTTTTTATATGTAAATAATTTAAAAACTTAGATCTTTATTCTTCATTTACATTATATTGCAATTTTTATTCCTTTCTTATTTGACCATACTGTGTCTTTTTTTCTTCTTCTTTTTTCTGTAGTATATACTAATGCTACTGGAATTTTTTCCCTCAGGGAACCTTCCTATCACCAAATCGTTCAGTTTCTCAAATTAAACAGAAAACTATTCGTTTCTTTGGTTTGGGATGATGTGTGATGAGTAGCATATAAATAATTCTGTGTATTAAGGGGTGGTGCCCTAAACAGCGGGTCCTTAAAAATGTAAAGTCTTATAAATGATCTTATACCTGTGAGGTCACACTCCGCACACACCTGTTCAGGTAGATGATGACATCATGACTCACCTGAGCAGTTTTCAGCTGTTCTGTCCTTTAAGATGCACTCTGAAAGGAAAAACAAAATATAACAAAGGTTAGCATGTACACAGATATCACTGCAATAAAAATGAGAATTTCAATACATGATATGAGAAACATCTAAAACTGAATACAAAGTCTCTGATTTAATAAACCGTCTGATCTTGAAAGATTTAACTCTGAGAGCAGGAGTCTCCTCTAATCCAGTTATCAGGATGTCTCTGAGTTTTAACTTCACTGTCAGCTCTGCACAGTTTATCTTAAAAACCTGATCCTCATCTTCTTCTGTTGTCCTCAGACATGTTTGAAAGTGAGGCTGTCCTATTTACTTTACAGTGCAGAGTAAAATAAGAAATCACTACACATTCACAGTATCTAAGCATCGTATACAGGACAAAGAGCAAACAGTGAAACATATTCAGCTACCTGACACTTTAGACTTCTTTCTATAACATGTTACATCTTATTTATTAAATCTGTTCATAAAAATAAGAAAGAAAATACAAATTTGTGTCATCTGTTACTGTAAAGATTTGAATGGTCATCTTAAAGTTGTGTGTTATTAATTTTGACTAAACAATAGATTGATCCAGAGCTGCACATATATTAATTAACATGATTTAATTACAGAAAACTTCTCCATTAGACAGACTTTCATCCATGAACATGACTTCATCTTATCTGAAGCTCTTCAGTCCATCTGTTCATCAGCTTTATTTATATAGTAGAGTAGATCATAGATAACTGTTAAAAAAATATGTGAATCTTTATTTAAATGTCAAGAATGTACGTGAATGGTCAAATTTACCACAAAAGGATATTTTGATTAGTATCATAATGAAATTTTAACTTGTATTTACTTTGGAAAAGTCAGAGAGAGCTCTGTGGACACCTGCTGGATATTTTCTGTACTGCACTTTGTAAAATATCTCAGAACAACTTCACTGTCATTAATCTGTCATGTAAAATAAATGGCTGCTTAATCATTTATTAATAAGCTGAAAAAACATAAATACAATGTTGTTGTTCTTTTCCTGTGTGATACTTTTCCAATTTAACTTTTATATCCTTTATGATAAACAACACAACTGATGATTCTAAGTGTTTGTATCAAACAGTTTTAAATACAGAGATTTCAAGAGGACAAATGTACATAGACTAAAATGAATCTCAAGTTTATGATACTATCTGAAACACCAAACAAACATCTGTCAAGGAGGAATATTATCAACTTAGTTACACGTTGTTCAAGTTTTATCTAGACTGTCTCCTGAAATTTGGATGTGCAGTTTAATAAAATCTGTAATGTGTCAAAAATGTCAACCCAACATTTTCTGACGAGTTAAAAAGTCTTTCTGTGACTCTCAAACCAGTCCTGATAGTGAAAGTGTGTCAGACACATCTTCAAGTGTTTCATGAAAGAACTTACTGACAACCAGCTGGATGTTGAACGTCTGACTGGGCTGAAGATGTGGAAAATCACAGCTGTAGATTCCACTGTCAGACACCGTGGCCTTTGTGATCTTTATGGAGGCGTTGCCGTTCTTCAGTTCATCTCCAAAATGTGAGACTCGACCTTTAAACTGTTTATCTTGAGTTGCACTGTCTTTGCTATAAATTTGGCCACCATTATACATGAACACCTCCATGTGACCGTCTTTCTTCCAGTCAAAAAGCTTTGACTCGATGTTCTCCTTAGAGCTGAGGGAACAGGGTAAAACCACATCACTGTCTTCTTTCACCACCACTGGACCTGAAAAATAACAAAAATTCATCTGTATGTTTCCAAACAAATGAAATAAATGAAAATGTCACGTGAAATTATGTTTAATTTTTTTATTTCATTATTGGACTGTTTTGTGTACATGACCTCAGCAGATTCTTCCAAACACCATCCTGTCAGCAGATTAACACTTTTTATTTCCTGGATTTTCATCTTTTGTTCCAGACTGACTGTCTCTGAGTTTCAGAGAAATCACTGAAGACCTGATGTGACTCACAAGCTGCTAATCTTGCAGCTAAACCGATGTCCAGTACATCACCTGAGCTTTGATTTGTCATTTCTTTTCTTTCATTATTTCTTCAACCATGTATTGAGTCAATACAATCAGCATGAAACAGAAAAAAGAGCAGACTTTCTTGAATTAAACAAATTCTGAATTCAGTTACTTGAAGCTTAATGCACACCACAAGCCAAGGCTCCACCTGGTGTTCAGTGTCAGAACTACAGTCTAAATATTCACAGCAGTCTGACTCCTACAGAGAATGCTGAAGTCTATTAGAAGACTTAATAACTATCTGAGAACAGTTGATTTAATTGTGATGACATGAAAATTAAGTACAATAAGTGAATAAATGTGTATGTTTTGTTGTCAAAAGAAACACATTTTGTCTCCAGCAGCTGCTGTGAGGGTTTTTCACTGGGTGTGAAACAGACTGAAACTGATGCTTGATGGTTCTTTATGACCTTCAAAAGCAAACAAGACCAAATACAGCAGACCGACTGTTTTATATTGTTATTTTTATTGCCTTTCATTGCTGTTGTAGAGGAGATGACCCACAGCAGGATGAAGAAACAGCCTTTACTGACATTTTCTTTAATGAACTAACTTAATAACACATTATAGGAAGATATGAGTTTAGCCTTTTCCTCCTTTTTCAAAAGTTCCTCCATGTTGATCACAGATGTTTCACAGATTTTTACCACATTGTCAACAGGGAGAGCTGAGATCATAAACTTTATGAGTGTGCTAAACTGACTGATCAGAATAAACTATTCATTCAGCCGAGTGAGTAGCACTGAAGAAGAGATAACAGCGCTCATATTTTTACTAATGATTAAACTTTTATCACACCTGTTGGTCCAACAGCTTTTATTAGACAATGTCTCTGCAGCCTGATGAGTCAAACCACACTAACAGGTATCTCTGCATGGCTATGATAAAGTAGTAGTAGTAGTAGTAGTAGTAGTAGTATATAAGTATATCTTTCTCCTGTCTACATTCAATTACAAATTGGTCTGCTGTCAATCCTTACAGTTTTTGTCCCTTCCAGCTATATCACGCTGAATTACTGAGCACACCTTAACCTTCCTGAGCCTTCCTGAGAACCAGCTGGCACACCGACAGAGATAACTAACGCTGTGTTACTTTCTGATACGCTGACACTTCAGTAGAGAGAGGACAAACCTGAACTTCACGTCTTGACTCAAATGAGAAACATGAACTTTCAGGTGTTTCATCCAGATTTAATCTCAGCTGTCTGTTAGTGTTGATGGAGTTGCTAAGCCCCGCCCCCAACCCTCCTCACCTTAAACAACCTCACACAGACTGACACCACAAACAGGCCGGACAGCTTTTTTTCTTTGTAAGGATAAATGATTAACAGAATTAACAACGGTGCACAAATTTATAGAGCTCAGAGTTTGTAACCAGAGCGCACTGAGTGATAAATATGTACGTTTTCTACCAATGATCAGGACTTAGAGAAAGTAAATTACATGCAAATGCACAATCACTTTTTGGTCTAATACCTGCATGAGGGAAGTTTTCAAAAGTTTAATCTGCTGCACATAATGAATATTGATGAATTTACAGTGAACTCAAACTGGGATTAAAAGGTTGATTTGTGTTTAAAAAAAGACTGAAATCAGGTTGAAGGTTCTGGTCCTAATAATGGATGACCATGATCTTTGAAAGCACTGCGTTAAAAACAGACAGGACTCTGTAGTGGAAACCACAGAAACCACTGTCAGGGATCACAGAGGGACCCTCTGGCTCGTTTTAGGTGCACAGTTCATGAACATGGGTTCTTCACACTTCTGTGAAGGCTCCTTTAATGCTGAATCATATCTACAGGTTTAGGAGCAACATCTGCTGCCATCCAGACAAAGAGTTTTTCAGGGAAGACCTTCATATTTCAGCAAGACAATGACAAACCACATTCTGCAGAGATTATAACAGCATGGGTCATTGGCTCATGTATCAGCAAAAATGGGACAAGATTTCTCTTCCAAAGTCCAGAAACTGGTCTCCTGGGTTCACGAAGGTAAACAGAGGGTTAGTAAAAGAAGAGCTGATGACACACAACAGTAAACATGTCTCTGCACTAACTCTACATGACACTTGTTGATGGCTTCAAGGTCAGAAAAAGACTTTCATTAATCACATTATTTTGTCTTTGTAGTATTTTATATGAATAATTGTGTGTAAATGAATCACAAACCATCAAATTATCTTATTATTAACATTTCACACAGTCTGCTGACTTTGTTGGAGCTGGAGTTGTACTTTACTTGTTTCTGCCACTCTTTAAAATCTCTGTGCCACCCCCTGGATATTTTTCTAGGTCTGCCCCTGCTCGAAACTTTTTGTTGGCCTTGTCCTGTAAATGTTGAAAAAGTGTTTGTAGATGAAAAACCTCCTCATGCAAATAAAAACACAGTTTTCCTGCCTGCTGCTCTTTGTTTGACACCTCCTCCCTCTCAGCAGTTACAGGCTTCAACAACAGGAAATGTCAGTCTTACTACAGTTAGTCCTGTTTCAGATCATAAAGAAGCATCAGCCTTATATCAGCCTGTTTAATCACTCCTCACAGAAACTTTGACAGGAAACAATCAATAAATATGACTTTTTAAAAATACTGTGGATTCAGCTTCAGCTAATGTGAAACACATCATCAGGCAGCAGATACACACCCAGATCCTTCATTTATCAAAACCTCAAACTGATGCAGCAGCCCTCAGGTTACACAAAGAGATTACACACACACACACACACACACACACACACACACACACACACACACACACACACACACACACACACACACACACACACACACCTGCAGCAGTCTGACAGCTTGTAATGATGATGCTGCAGGTTTCAAATGGATCTGTGCTCAAAACCGGAAAATCATCACATCTTACCGGCAGGATGAGATGAACATCAAGCATATTAAACTATCAAACTTTGCCTTCATGCTGCTGTATTTTTAGCTCATTCATCCATTCATTCAAAAATATTCCCCCTTAAAACTCGGACATCTTACTGTTTCCATCAGCTGCTGTTATCAGGAGGCCGCAGACGACGAAGAGGAGGAGGAGGAGCTCCATGGTTTCCTTCTTCTTCTTCTTCTTCAGCACAGACCTCTCTACACGCTGATCTCTCTTTATAAAGACGCTTCAGACCCTCCCAACGACGACACAGTGCTCCGTCTCAAACTACTTTCAGTTTCGAAAAGGGAAAAGCTGCGCCCACTCAAATCCTTCAAAATAAAAGCCTCGTTTTAACTCTTTAACTCCACCAAGTGTTGGCCAAGAGGGATGGTTTAGTGACCTTTTATTTTCTTGATTTCACACAATAAACCGACGTAATACATCAGCAGAAAGTAAACAGCATGAGTGCAAAAAAAGAAATGTTTACAGCTTTTCAATCAGACTTATTTATCAAATAATAAACCTGAACTTTACTTTTTTAAAACTTTACTCTGAACAGTTGGTGAAAGATCCTCAGGGGCTCATGTCTTCAAAAGTTTCATCTGTTTTTGTGAAAAGGATCATTTTGAACTTCAGTTTCAGGATTACTGCTGCTCCTATATCCTGTTTGTTAAGATTCCTGGTAATAATCTTCCTCTAAAAGAGAGCTCTTCTTCCTCCAAACCAAACAGGATTGTTGCAACACGTCCCTGATAACAGCTTCTCTCTGTGCTGCCTGAGGAAATGACAGACGTGGGCGTGACATTCCTTTACTGCTACATTTGAACTCTGTTTTTATAAAAGCCTTTACAAATCATGATGTACTGAATTCATGTAAAAATAAGAAATGTGGACATGCAATAATAAAAATAATAGCCGCACTCATCATCACACTCTGTATCTTACATTAAATCAGCTTCAACAAGAACTATCAACAGTGAATTCAATGGAGAGACAGAGGAGCGATCAAAGAGTGTCGTCACTGGTGCTCTTTAAAAAGACAAAACATGACAGAAATGTCCTCTAAGCATCTACATCAGTAGATCTTATTTTGTTGCTAATGTCTTCTTGCCCTGCACCAGCCAGGATGATTGTATATTGAGTTCCTGCATTGAAAATATGTCAGTGTCATATTAAGGTTGTGTTATTATAATGCTATTAGTCTGCATTTACTTTACTTCTACTTCTAAGTAAAAAAATATCTTTAATTTAGACCTTGATTTAGACCTGACAATTGGCTAATTGAAGCTTATATATACACACCTGTATTAGGTAAATTACTTGAAATACTACTTAGGGGGTTATTACAAGTCTCTATGGCTAGCCAATAGTTCAAACACACCTAAATGAGAGGTTAAAATGAAAGAAAACTCATTTTGAAGGAAGGCGATTTTTCGTTTTTGAACAGCTGCACTCTATTACTTCAATGAGTGATAACTACAATAAAGCTACCAATTACCAAGGTCTATCATATAAAAACTTATTGTAGGGATGTATAGCAATAAAAAAATCACAACTAGAATTTGCCCACCCAGGTGGTACCGATATGTGAAATTTTGGTTCTTGGCTCAAGGACTAAATATCAGGATCTGACTAAAAACTTGAAGATTACATTTCTTCCTCAGTTGGTAAAAGATCCTCAGGGGCTCATGTTTACAAAAGTTTCATCTGTAATAATCCTCCTCTAAAAGAGAGCTCTTCTTCCTCCAAACCAAACAGGATTGTTGCAACACGTCCCTGATAACAGCTTCTCTCAGCTTCTCTTACTCTAAAGGAACTGAAACTCTGTCTGTAGCTGAGTCCTGCTGAAAGACAGAGGACACTTTTGACAGAGATTTATTGACTGCACAGAGGACTACGATCACCTTCAGAAGAGGATCAACAATATTGATCATTTGTTTGAAATATTGAAATTATGTTTATATAAACTTACTGTTTAAAAAAAAAACAGTATTTGATAAATGTAATCTATCTATCTATCTACCTGCAGTTAGTTGTTCATCCCCAGCTGATGAACTTAATGATCTTCAGTTGTGTGGGAAAGTTAAACAGGAAGTGAGCGTGGAAACTGACAGTAAACCACAAGAAACATAGAAGATATGAAACATTTTTGTTACATCTTATCTTTCCCCTGCAAATGTCTCTACATGTTCGTTCAAGATGTTTTTTTAAAAGTTATAGACACAAAGATGAAGAATATCTATTATATTCTGTTCTTTTTTATTACTGGTGGTTTGTGTTAATTACCTATCTATCTATGAAATTGTGAATCTACATGAGGTTCTATCTCAGTTCAGTAACAGGGTGTGGATCAGACAGCTCCTCTGACTTTGGGCTCTTACTGTGTGCATGAGGCCCTAAAGTTGTGGCAGCAGAAACAGGCTGAGCTGCTAAAGGAGCTGTCGGTCCTTCACCACGGAGGTCTGACAGCTTCACCTCAGGAGGTAAGGTCAGGAAATTTGGGATTCAATGGATTATTTTTTTGAAGGCAGCTCTCTAAGTGAAAACTTCTCAGGGTGGAGAACAAAGCTTTGATGACCACACTGTGTGTTTATTTTACTTCTCAAGGCTCCAAAAATCTACAATTAAAGACAACAAAGACCATGTTCCACACAATCCCTGCAGCAACATTTATATGGTCAAAAAACTGTCTTCCTTTCTGGGCGGAGCACCATCCTCGATACAAAGGTTCCTAGAAAAATCCCACGTCCTCATGGGAAAACAGTGATACCACAACTTTGTTATTTCCCATTATCTGCTCTGACATAGTGTGTACCAAGAGGGGAAGAGGAAGAAGAGGCCAAGTACATCGACAGATTCCTGATGAAGTTAGGACTACAGTTGTGGACCATGTCGTCAATCCCAGCCTCATAATGACTGAAGCTGGTTGAAGGGTGCAGCTAAATGTTGAGAGAAACACTGTAAATTCAATTATTCAAACATTTGGTCAGGAGAACAGGTGTGTCTATTGGACAGTAAATCACCACTAAACAATCTACACTGTACGACTGTCATTGTGTTAAACATGAAACTCACAGTGAGACAAGAACTTTTTCACTTTTTCACATTGAGACTTACAGCTTTACTGCAGCACAGACTCATTGTGTTGTAGTGTACAGTAGTGTTACAGTAGAGATTTGTCATATTTACAGTACGGTACTTTCCTGCAGTGTTTTACAAGTGGGAAATATTGTTATTGTACACTACAGTAATAAGAGTTAACATATTATTCATGTTTACTGTACATTACTGTAGTTTTACTCTGCACCACAAAGTACAAGTATTCAGTGTCTTGTACTCAGTTAACTCACTAAATACAGTCATGTGTAACTTTACTGTAGTTTTCAAATGGCTGTGTAAATAGTGTATAGTGCTGTCCTGAGAATTTTCAGGTGGTTTCACCAAAATCTGACTTTGTTGCATTTGAAAACATTTACAGAGTAAACTGTCTTAATGAAAACATGACAAAGCCATTTGACTGTTGTGTTCATAAACAATGGAGTCAGGACTTTTCATTCTGATGACACTTTCATTGACATGAATACTTGCTTTTGAGGGACGAACCATCCATTTTAAGCAAATGTCATGCTTTTGCAGGATTTCAGCTAGGTTCTGCAGTTTGAACCAAATTGTTGTGAGAAATTTACTAACTGTTGTGCAACAGTTAATAGTGATGTGAGAAATGCACCAAAGCGACTGAGAAAAACTATCTCTGAACTGTCCTTGGTGCTGAACATGTTCAGTCATGTCTTTTGATCAATGCAGAGACTTCAGTAACCACCAGGGGACGCTGCAGACCCAACAGACCTCTACCTCTAAAATCATCAGAGGCATTTTTGTAAAAATTGTTTCTCTAGAGCAGTTTTGTTTACAATTTTGTAACAGTGCATTTTCAGCTCTTCTTAAAGTTATAAAATACTAAATCCTGTTCTCACCTCTCAGAAACAAGGTCTGTAAGTGAAGGAGAAGGAGGCTCACTTTAGTTTGTTTAAAGTTTGACCACAGAAACTAAAAACAGTCCCAGCAGCACACAGTTTGACAGTTTTGCTGTTTTATTCAAATGTTTGTTTAGAAACAATAAAGAATAAACAGACATGAACTTTCAGATATGGAGCACAATTCCAATTGTCCCAGTCAACAACAGTACAGAGTCAGAGTCCAGTTTCTACACCTGCTCCACCTGACTCAAAGTCATGCAGTCTAATCCAGCAGTCCTGTCATAAATCCTGAAGGTTGTAATGTTGACTTTGAACTCAGTCTCAGTGTAGAGCATTAAACAGAGAGCTGGTTCTGGTCTTTAGTCGGCCCTCATTGATAGAAATGTGCTGGACTAAAGACTCCAAACAGTCTGCAGTGTCAGTGATCCCTTTACTCACTCTGGAGACAATCTGAGGTTCAGACTGAAGCTGAAGGACACTGAAGGACACATGTTGGACAGAAGGAGTCAGGGATCGAAGCAGAGACCCTGTGATTAATGGATGATCTTTGCTAATATGAGCTGATTTGATGTCATGTTTTCTGGACTGGTACACTTCTCTTTATTCACACTGAAGTCCTCCAGATCATCAGACCTGCTGAAGTTTAGAGTTTTACTGTGAGTCACAATTTAGGAGAAGAAAATCACAAACATTTACTTCCATTCTTCACTCTCAGCCTGTCAGATTCAGACTCTTTCTTACATGCAGCACAAGTGTCCTCACTATTTTACACCCAATGCTCTCGTCAGTTTAAGGCCCAGCACCCACATTGTGTAAACAGCAAACAAACTTGTACCCATGAAATCTTCTTTAGGAGTCAGCTGTTCAACAAAGATGGACTGTTGCTCTCTCACAGCGAGTTCTTATCTCCAGACAACTTTCCAGTAACTCCTGAAGAGTTTGCTGTAGTATTTGACACTGTTCCCTCTGGTATTTTAGGAGTTTTTGGGGTGGAGCATTTGCAGTTTTATTTGCTGTTTCTTTGTTGTTGTTTTTAGATTGTCAATAAAGTATAAAGTTGATTTTGTTTGAGTCAGAATGGACTAATATTTTGTGTTATCTTTTTGTCAGAAAAAAGTTTGTGTCAAAAATCAATTTCTAAAAGAGACTTGGTTTACACTTGTAGGTGAAGGTGATGAATTCAGAAGTCACTGTGATATTCATATATAGTAGTAATATGCCAGTTAATGAAACAAATTAAAGTGTTTAAGTTGAACAATAACTAGGATAATTTCACAAATCTGTCAAGTTCAATTAAAAACTACAACTGTCTTGTTCAAACTTTTGTTTGGTCTGGATTTGACTCCTTACTTTCACACTTGACCTCTGGACTATTTCTGGACAAGTTCAGGACATTCAGGTCCTTTAGTTGACTTTAGAGATGCCTGCTCAGTCAATGTCGGGAAACAAGTTTCAGTTTATTAGAGGGAGTTCAGAAGATCCTGGAGGAGTCTGATCTAAATTCCTCCTTATACTCCAGAGTGAGTCTCTCCCTCTTCCTATGACAATGCCAGTAAAACTCAGCAATAGTTAGAAATATCTGAGTCAACTCTTCAAATGTGAATTTGTTATCTTAAATTTATTCTTATTGGTTCCCAGAACTTTTCTCATTCACTCACAGACTCTTCATCGTTACAGTCTGATCTCAACAGTTTTCCATCTTTTCATTTATTTGTTAACAAAAGTTTTTCATCATCACACAAAAGTATGTTTTCCTTTCAGCACATTTCGAACATGAAATCAGAGTATAGATGGTTTTGTTCACATGTTTTATTTTCACTTGCAGTCTTGCGTTTTTGCTCTTGAATATTTCTGTTACACATCAAAATAAAGACACTACAGTCACCTCACAGAAGCGCTCCATCTGTCTCCAGATCATCAAACCTGCAGCTGCTCAGACGTGAACTCTTTATAAGAGGAGAAAACACAAACTTCATTTCTTCACTCTCTGTCAGGTTTCTCCTCAAAGTTTCACATTTGGTTCTTTTCATTATCCTGAGCAGGTTCCTGTTGGTCCACTCCTCTCAGCTTTGAAATGTTGTTTTTTAAACTGTTTTTTATTGGAGGTTGAAATTGAATCAGGTACATTTAACTTGGTCCATTTTCATCCAAATACCATCCTCCTCCAGCTTTCATATCAACCATGAATACTTAAAAATCAACTCCATGGGTTTTTATCGACCTCTACTTTTAGCGGGCGCATATATTTCCCTGTCTCTACATTATGGGGGTCTCTGTTGAAGTTCATTCACAGTTTTCGCAGAGCCAAATTTAAAGTTTCAAGGAGCAAAAAAACTGAGAGAAAAATCCTGAACCAGAAACACAAATATTACAAATTATTATTTTCAGTTTTCAGCTGCTCACACTTCATAACAACAGGAAAAAAAAATAAAATTAAGACAAAAAATACAAAATATCAACAAAAATGAACAGAAATAAAAAAGCAGAATATAAGAGACATTCATAATTTGAGAATGCACATGAAGGTTTTGTATTCATTCACATCTACTGTGGATATCCACAAATATCTGTATATGACATCAGCTGTTTACAAAGGCCTGTAATAATTACATTAATGTAATAGAATCATATTTGGAGTATTGATCAGCAGTTAAAGCACATGCTCGCTCTCACACACACACACACACACACACACACACACACACACACACACACACACACACACACACACAGTTGTGAGTTTTTTTTCTCCATCCAGAGTCACATTATCAGCTGCTCTCTGGACTTGACTGAATAATTTGACAGATTCATGGTTCATGATTTTACACAAATCTGATGATGAGTTATAAAAAACAGTTTGATCTGAGTTTGAACACAAGTAAAGTTATCTTTGATGATCCACCTGCTAAGATTGAGGGATAAATCTTGGGTCCACTTTGACAAACTTATTTTTTTAATAGTTTACCCAGTAAGTGTCCAGATGGCTGAAATAATGAACAGAAATCAAACAGGAATCCTATTTTATTACAGACTTGTTAGAGTCTGATATGTAATAATGACCCCAAATGTAAAAAAAAAAAAAAAATGTAATAAAGCCTGAATTGTAACAACTTAGCAAACTTATTACGTTTTGGGATCAGCATGTTGTAACATTATGGACCAGTTTTCACATTTTGGGTTCTATTACATTTTGGGTCATTGTTACATATCAGGCTCTAACAAAGCTGTTTCTGCAGTTTATAATAATAACTTTGTACAAACCACATTTCCTACCGCAACCTAATCCTTGAAGTTTAACCTGAGAAGCTGATATGAACTCTCACTGTGGCTGAAATAATAGAGGAGCAGTTCACTCAAATCTAACACAAAGACACACTCTCCATCAGTCCACTTCACAGCTCATGTAAAACTGGATGAGTTTCCTGATCTCCTGGTTTCTGTTTATTTTAATGTTCTCCTTGGGGGACTGCTGTTCTTCCTGTAGGTTTAAAAGAATAAAAGTCAGTTACATTCAGGAAATTCACAGCTGAGCAGATCTGACTCTGAATCTAAATAATATTACATGACTCAGAAAATAAGACTACTGGATACTCTCAAAAAGAGATATTAGCAAAGACAGTTTTTCACATTATTCTTAGTGCCTTGATACAATAAATTATTTGAATTTACCTTCAAGTTTATTTTTGAAGTAACATACAGCAACAAATGATGCAAAAAGAGCAACAGCAAGAACTCCAACAGTAACAATCCATCCATAAGGGATTCCTGAAACAGAAAACAGAGGGTTAGTGTATCAGTTAGTGTACTGATTTGATAGAGAGCAGGTTGGAGGTGACACACGGAGAAGAACTGCAGGAGCGTGTGTGTGTGTGTGTGTGTGTGTGTGTGTGTGTGTGTGTGTGTGTGTGTGTGTGTGTGTGTGTGTGTGTGTGTGTGTGTGTGTGTGATCAGCAACAGTGATGTTCGCTCTGATCTAATGCTCAGTTTCTCAGTTTGCTCGGCTGCTCAGCTCACAGCTTGGTTTGGGTTTTGCTCTCAGCAGTGAGGAGGAGGATGTTGGACCTTCATCCTGTTTCTGAGACCAGCTGCTCTTCATGAAGTCTGAATTTGAGACAACTGCAGCAGAAGATCTGGATCTATGTGCTCATTTTATCTGAACTTGACTGAACTGGAGGAGGAAATACTTTGACTTTATAAAACTTTACAATCACTACATATAACCTGCTCTGATCTTTAAATGTAAAGATTTAATAAACATTTAAAACTTAAACTTTTAAAGCATGGTGAACTACTTTAGACAGATTTTGCTGACTTTGAGGTTTGGTTTTTATATTAGCTGCTGTAAATTCCAGCAACAACCAAAACACTCTCTTTATATATAATCAGACTTACTACTGAAGTGACCTCAATATAAGACAGTTTTTATTCATGTATTTAAATATATAAATATGATGTTAGGATGTAGGAAGTCTTCACTAAACCTCCATAAAGTTTGAAAACACACAGACGTTGGTGTGATTTACAGACGTGTGTCTCGTCTTCTCTGATCAGCTGTTTCAGAAACTCTGCCAGACTGGTCCTGAAACCTGACTTCAGGATCTGTGGTCCTATCAGGACAATGTTGGAGGACATGTCCACCCAGCAGCTCCTTTAAATATTCCCTCACATAGAAAGTCCATGTCAAAGCTCCTCTCTGCTCTTTGCTGACTCAGTATGTCTCTGAACGTTGATCCAAAGTGTTTTTGTGGTTGTGAAGGAAAGTCTGAGCTGTTTTCTCTTCCCAAAGATAAAAACTCCAGAAAACAGCCAGAAGATTTGATGTTTTCAGGACAACAATGAAGCTGTTTATGCTCACCACTTCACTGATGACTCCTTAGTAAACAAAGACCAGTACGAGCTGGATTTGAGGTTCAGCTGTTCCTGAAACCTGCTGGAGCTGTTCATCTATAAACACCTTCATGAAGAGACTAAACACAAACATTTACAACAGCAGATAACGGAGGACATGAAACACCGATAATCATCACAGCAGAGGATGGAGACACTCATCTGCAGAGCAAGTTTACCCCTCATGACTCAAACCAACCATCACAGCTACAACACCAGGGGGATGAAAGATGGAGAGACACAGAGATCAGAGCAAAGACGTCCCAAAGAAGGAAGACTTCTTCAACAGCTGAGGTGGAGTTATGATGCATTAGTGCAGAAAACGGTTATGAACGCAGCAGAGACACTAAACAACTGTCCGACAGTAACAAGATGTGGAGTAATCAAATGTAATGAGCACAAAGAGATCATCTTCAAAGACCTGTGAGCTGAAAAACTGAGCAAAGACACACTTTGACCAAACTGTCCACCATCCAACAGACTGTGGGTTATTATTTCAACTTTGAGAGTCTCTAAATATTATGACCACAGCAGCTCCATTTACACATGTGGACTTTCTGAATTTATTCAAATGTGACGATTTCATTTCAAAAGAAACTGAAAACATGATTTAATGTAAAAGGTGTTTAAAACAACCAGGGTTGATGTGCACTTTTTAAAATCAGATTTAGGACTTTTTAAGACCCTCACAGAGAAAAGGAGACCAGTTTACAGAGCAGAACAAACTTTGTATTCAAACTAAACTCTGAATCAAAGTTTTTAAGATCTTTTCTCACATGTTGTCTCACCATTGTTGTTTCCTCCTGACTTTTATTCTCTGTGTTTTTCATCCTTCAGACAAATTTCCTTGAACTGACATTTTCTCCTCTTCCTCTCTCTTCCTCTTTTTCTTTGATTTATGAATGTGAACATTAAACACTTCTGGATGTGCTGTGAACTGTCATGTGAATATTAATAAAGAAAGATTAATATATAAAATCATAAAACACTGACTAAAGGATTTCATGAGGTGTTCAGGCATGTTTCAAAGTGTCATCGAAAATTTAATACTTTTTACACATTTTTTTTTACAGCTTTAAATTTGTAAAATCTACTTTTTAATGAATTTTATGGGTCTGCAGAAACCCTGATCAGCCTCTCTTGTTTTATTTAATGAGTTTGTTTTATTATAATTATCAGTTAGATTTAGTTTCTTCACAAAAACAAGACTTGGTCCTGATGGAGTCTAAAAGTTAGTCTTGAGAAGGGGGTCTTCTTATATTCAGGTCCATATGAACATATCTACTGAACTCTCAGAGAACCTCAGTGTGTTTTAGAGACAAATATTGGATCATGTTTCTAACTTCATCCTGTTTTTCTCTCTAAGACTCCAGAAGTCGCTGCTCTGACGTCTTCAGTCTCTAAATTCACCTCAAAGGTTTTCACATGTGGGTCTTCAGGATCAGGATCACAACAGCTGATTATGAATGAAGCTCAGCAGAAGTTTAAGTAGCAGACTGGGTTATATTCATTCATTCACTGAGTCTTCATTTAGTCATCTCTCTCTCTGTCTCTTCCTGCTGCAGTGATCAGCTGATCATGGGTGTTTTCTCTTTAAGCACTTAACCAATCAGAGCGACCGTCTTCAACAACCATCTTGCTGCTGCTCTCTCTCTGTTTCTCTCTCTCTCTCTCTCTGTTTCTCTCTCTCTCTGTCATCGTTTCAGTTTGATCACTGAGTTACTCCTCAAATCGATTCCTCCTCCTCCTCAGTCTCAGTCCAGCTCCTCAGTTCATCCTGCATCCTCCCCTCAGCACCACCAGAGTCCAGACTCCATCAGTGGATCATTTTCAGCTTTCAGCCTCTCAGTCTCTCCAACCACATCAAGATGGAGTCAAATCACAAACACATTCAACACTTTTGATCCTTTTCTAAAAATGTGAAATCCTTTTTGTTCTCTTCTGATAAAATCTCTACAGATTAAATGATGATCCTGATTTTGTGTGTCTGATCAGATTAATTATCATAAACTACAAATCTCTCTGTTAGTTTCCTCTCGTCTATCAAACTCTTCCTCTTTTAATTCACAAAGTTCAGTCAGTTTGAAATTAAACTTTTACTGAGACTGAAAAATACTGAACAGCGTCTTCATCCCACTTTGTTTTGCTTCAGTCTGAACACACTTTAAATGTTAAATAAACAAAAACACACAGAACATGAATCACTTTGACAGGAAACAAAAGGAAGAGTCTTACCAGGTGTCTTTTCTGGCCCTGTAAACACAAAAGGAAGAACAAAAAAACATTAGACCTGTAAACGTGTGTTTAAAATTCAGTTTAACATTATCAAGATTAAGTATCATGTAAACATCAATTACGCATAGGAGCTATATTTGAGTTTAGGTCACATCTAACTTACAGTTCATAAAGATTTACAGCTGTACAGACTTTTCTGACTCATAAAATTAAGAAACACAGAAACCATGATGACGTTTGGACAACACCTGAATCTTTACACTTTCAATGTCAGAAAATATATTTACATAGAATCACATCAAACTTACTGATTCACTCATCACTTCAAGATCATCGATTTATGTGAGATTATTTGACAGCTAATTAAAGCTCCAGCTGACTTCATCAAAATGTTGTTATAAACACAGTCATAATACTCAGGTCTCCTCAAGTTTAATTTGATTTATTGAGTGGAAAACTTCCACTTTGTGTTCAATCGATTTATTCAGTTCATGGTTGTTTCTTTTTGGTTTCAGGTTTTTCTGCTGCTGCATTTTCTTTACATCATCTCAGATAGAAACTACACTTTCTCTCCTCTACAGTTAATAGATACATCAAGTGAATTAATAAACTCATCTTACACAAAAAAGCTTTATAAACTTTTAAAGTATAATGTAATCTCTCTACTTTGTGAACATACTTTGTGGTAACTTGTCTTTATTCAATTCAATTTAAGACTACATTGTTGTTATATTTTTCTCTTGTACCCAGTTTGAATAAAACTACAGAAATAAGTTGACAAGTAAAATACCATTAACAGTTCTGACACTGAGTCATGGAGAAGCAGGTGTTTTTCTTTTTAGATTAATGTCTGCAAGAATGTGTAAATTTGACCATTATGTGTATTCATGCTGTCTACACTGAGAGGACAACTGAAGACAGGACTGAACGATTCTGAGTAACAGCATTAATGCATTAGTGACACATTCCTCAACAAAAAGGATTCAATTATACTTTAGTCATTATGTTAACAATCCTCTATCTTTATTTTAATGTAACCAGGTCATATTTTGTGTTTTTGGTACTTGGTGTGAGGTAACTTTTCGTTAAGATCTTCTACCAGCAAAAAGATGTTTGGTGTAGCTCACATTAGTGCAGAAATTGTAACTCATTATCACGTAAACCTGGTATAGAAAAATAGAGGAGACTTGTATCAGGAATCACATCCAGAGGACAAGGCAGTGAAGAAACTGTGGAGTCACCTGAGGTTACATGTGCTTTTTATGGTTTAATATAAATGATTAAATAAGGTGTTGAGATGTTATTTAACACTGATCAACACTTCTCTGTTCATCATTTCTGTCTTCATACTTTTGAGAGAATTGTAAAAAACAAACCTTATTCTGGAAATGTCACTGCAGGTCATTAACAGCTCATTTAGTGTGAGTGTAAAATCACTGAGGTTCATCCAAACAGACATTAATGATGCTCATTACTCTTTAATGGGGACTTCCAGCTGAATGTGAACTAATCTATGTCTGTATTGGATTCTGAGAAGTTGAACATTTTTAATCATGAACGTATTGTCATCAGAGTAGCACTGAAGTTAAACTGCAATTATACAGCTGTGCAACACTCTGTCTTTAACATTATTTTTATACTGATCATTTATCAATACTGCTCTGCAATAGTCATTTATACATTTCCGTCATTCACATTTAAATCATCTGATAAATCCAATTTCGAAGCATTTTCATTTTTAATAAAATCTCTATTATGCTCTATTTCACTGGGGTCATATGCTGTAGAGATAATTTTTTCTTTTTTTTTTTTTTTGTTTAATGGTTTCAAACATTTTTGTGGTTGGCCAGATTAACTTCATCTCTTGAAACACCTTTTAAATTGAGTTGATCCTTCTTAAATAATAAACCAGAAATTGGAATAACCTACAAACATTGTAACCTTAAAGAAAGGGTACAATAATTTTGAGAGATAAAAGTTGTCTCCATATAACTGGCAACTGAACTCAAGCAACTTGTGGTGTTTTGTCTCAATACATGAAAATATTCAAAAGTATCTTGACATGTTGTTACAGGAAAAAAAAAAACTCACCAGTGATGTGCACAGTGACCTCATCAATGGCCTGATGACAAATTCCCTCTTGTGTAACTACACAGCTGTAAATGCCGGTCTTGGTCACTGTAGTTTTGAGGATGATGTTGACACTGTTTTCTTTTCCTGGGACCTCTGTCTCTTCAGCAGGAAGGATCTGTCCAGAACTGTCCCTCCACTCGACTTTAGGCCTAGGAGAAGCTCCCCCGACAACACACTGCAGCACAGACCGATCATCTGATGCCTCAATTGGCTTGGCTGATGGTGTCCGACATGCACCTTTGTATGAAGTATAAATAACAGATCATTAAGATTGTATAAAGCATTACATGACTAACACCCCACCCCCTCAAAAAACATATATCTCTGCTCATACATGTGTATTATGATACCAAAATTAAATTCAATGGAAGATCACAGCATTTTTCAAGATGGGGGGACATTTTAAGAGGTCATTGTCAAAGGCCAGTCAGTATGGATGGAGCCCCCTCCATCAACTGTTGTTCTGCACTCGAATGTATTTATAATAACAGATAAATGATGTACAAAAAAGGTAGGCTTTTAAAATTACCTCTTAGTTTGGAGCGTTTGCACTCGGCTATATCCCAGTTTGAGAATTGTTTTTTCAAGTTAAAATCTGATGACTCTGACCTGGTGAAAGGTTTTTTTTTTCCTTAAAGAAAATAGATGACCCCATTTCTTCAGCATCTGAACTGATACAATTTCTCTTTTTATTTCATAATGAATTTTCCACTCAGGCATTTATTTACTTGGAACGATGTCCTTATCATAGATAGTACACTTAATAATGCACCATTAAAACTTGACACAGGTGCTGCCAGTGCTGGTGAATTTGGTCACTGTCCTTATGTGCGAATGTCCATACCTTTATATCTTACTTTTTATATGTAAATAATTAAAAAACTTAGATCTTTATTCTTCATTTACATTATATTGCAATTTTTATTCTTTTCTTATTTGAGCATTCTGTGTCTTTTTTTCTTCTTCTTTTTTTCTGTAGTATATACTAATGCTACTGGAATTTTTTCCCTCAGGGAACCTTCCTATCACCAAATCGTTCAGTTTCTCAAATTAAACAGAAAACTATTCGTTTCTTTGGTTTGGGATGATGTGTGATGAGTCTAAATAATTCTGTATATTAAGGGGTGGTGCCCTAAACAGCGGGTCCTTAAAAATGTAAAGTGTTGTAAATGATCTTATACCTGTGAGGTCACACTCCACACACACACCTGTTCAGGTAGATGATGACATCATGACTCACCTGAGCAGTTTTCAGCTGTTCTGTCCTTTAATCTTTTAACGCGCGGAGGATGGACGCGACCCGAAATTGACACGTCAGTATTCATATATATTTATACCAAAGATCTTCTAATGTACATGGACATCACTGCACTAAGGTAATACCAAATATGAAAGCTTGGGTGTTGGTTTTCTACGTGGATTTACACATTTCCATCACGGGATCAGGGACTTTACAACAGTTGGGTCTTACTTTACGGCTGTGGACCGTGACAAACTTTCTAGTCAACCTGTAAAGCCACCGATCAAATGTGTTTGTAGGTAGAAAAACAAACATCCATGAAGTAAAAATGCTTTAATTTTAGGGACAACACTGCGTTCTTATTTTCCAGAGTACTTATGATCGACCGCAAACATGTGATAATTAAATAAAAAAACGATCCTGTATGAAATATTACATCAAAGCCGTTTATCAATCTTCCAGAACAATCGATTTACCGTCCATAATTATTTACTGAACAAGTTTGGACCGATGATGTTCAGTATTTCCAACATCAGTAAACGCCCAGCAACCGAACGAACCAATTAGCATTTTTCTATGACCCGAAGAGACGAATCTGTCAGAGTTTAGAACCAAACAGCCAATCAGAAAACAGCATATTTGTGCAACTGCCGCTTGGGTCTGATTGACAGCTACTTTTAGCCAATGAAGAGCCGGAACCAAAAAAACATCGTGAGTTCGTTGCCAATTAAAATACCTGTCTTGCTGTATACGGGAAGTAACGATGACAGTCTTTCTGACATCGCAGGGCGCTTACAAAAGGGAAGAAGTGGATAAAATGTTTGATTTAAAGTTTTTCATGTACACCAATCAGGTCACTCCTTATTCAAGCACAAAATCTATGTCTATAAATTAAAGTCAAACTCCTTTACAAACTTTCATTCACTTTTTTCACTACCTCAGAGGGTTAATTATCTTCTTTTGGTAACTTATAGTAAAGTTTCGCAGAGGTCTGTAGACACCTGCTGGAGAGGATCTGTACTGCACTTTCTAAAATATCTCAGACAAACTTCAGTCTGTCAACATCAAACTTTTAGCACACATTATAGACACACTGAGTAAAATATTCAGCGAATTTCAGCATGATAGCTCTTATTATGATTTTTTTAACACTGTTTAAAGGAATAAAATAAACAAAAAGAATAAAAAACTTTTTGTTTATGTTCATTAAATTATCAACCACCCTGACTGTGTTGAGGATTCAGTGAGGGCATACACGCTAAATAAACCTCACAAAGTTCAGTTTCACAGTGACACAATCAACATGTTTAGTGTCTTTGAGGTAAAATGATCATAAACCAGTTTAAACTGGTAAGAAGAGAGACTAAAAATACATTAATGTGACAAATCCTAAGAGGTTAAGATGCACTCTGAAAGGAAAAACAAAATATAACAAAGGTTAGCATGTACACAGATATCACTGCAATAAAAATGAGAATTTCAATACATGATATGAGAAACATCTAAAACTGAATAGATAGTCTCTGATTTAATAAACCGTCTGATCTTGAAAGATTTAACTCTGAGAGCAGGAGTCTCCTCTGATCAAATTATCAGGATATCTCTGAGTTTTAACTTCACTGTCAGCTCTGCACAGTTTATCTTAAAAACCTGATCCTCATCTTCTTCTGTTGTCCTCAGACATGTTTGAAAGTGAGGCTGTCCTATTTACTTTACAGTGCAGAGTAAAATAAGAAATCACTGCACATTCACAGTATCTGTCTGTTCAGAAATAAGTCTACAGCACCAAGATTGTACACAGGACAAAGAGCAAACAGTGAAACATATTCAGCTACCTGACACTTTAGACTTCTTTATATAACATGTTACATCTTATTTATTAAATCTGTTCATAAAAATAAGAAAGAAAATACAAATTTGTGTCATCTGTTTCTGTAAAGATTTAAATGGTCATCTTAAAGTTGTGTTTTATTGTTAATTTTGACTAAACAACATGTGGATCTAGTTAAAAATGAGTTTGAGCTGCACATATATTAAATAACATGATTTAATTAAAGATAACTTCTTCATTAGACAGACTTTCATCCATGAACATGACTTCATCTTATCTGAAGCTCTTCAGTCCATCTGTTCATCAGCTTTATTTACAGGATCATACAGGTATAGTTAATTGTTTAAAATGTGAATCTGTATTTAAATGTCAAGAATGTATGTTAATGGTCAAATTTAATAAAAAGGATATTTTGATTAGTATCATAATGAACTTTAACTACTTCGGAAAAGTCAGAGAGAGATCTGTGGACACCTGCTGGATATTTTCTGTACTGCACTTTGTAAAATATCTCAGAATGACTTCACTGTCATTAATCTGTCATGTAAAATGAATGGCTGCTTAATCATTCTTGAATAAGCTGAAAAAATGTAAATAAAATGTTGTTGTTCTTTTTCTGTGTGATACTTTTCCAATTCAACTTTTATATCCTTTATGATAAACAACACAACTGATGCCTCTAAGTGTTTGTATCAAACGGTTTTAAATAGAGAGATTTTAAGAGGAAAAATGTACATTGACTAAAATGAATCTCAAGTTTATGATACTATCTGAAACACCAAACAAACATCTGTCAAGGAGGAATATTATCAACTTAGTTACATGTTGTTCAAGTTTTATCTAGACTGTCTCCTGAAATTTGGATGTGCAGTTTAATCAAATCTGTAATGTGTCAAAAATGTCATCCCAACATTTTCTGACGAGTTAAAAGGGCTTCTGTGACTCTCAAACCAGTCCTGATAGTAAAAATGTGTCTGACACATCTTCAAGTGTTTCATGAAAGAACTTACTGACAACCAGCTGGATGTTGAACGTCTGACGGGGCTGAAGACGTGGAAAATCACAGCTGTAGATTCCACTGTCAGACACCTTGGCCTTTGTGATCTTTATGGAGGCGTTGCCATTCTTCAGTTCATCTCCAAAATGTGAGACTCGACCTTCAAACTGTTTATCTTGACCTGAAAGTCCATTCCCGTAAATAAGGCCACCATCATACATGAACACCTCAATGTGACCGTCTTTCTTCCAGTCAAACAGCTTTGACTCAATGTTCTCCTTAGAGCTGAGGGAACAGGGTAAAACCACATCACTGTAGGACTCCACCTTTACGAGAGCTGAAAAACAAAAAATTAATCTGTATGTTTCCAAACAAAGTTACAAAAAACGCCACATGGAAGTATAAACATACTGACTTAATATAGGAATGTTTGGTGTATCTCTACAAAAATGTCCTCAGCAGATTCTTCCAAACACCATCCTGTCAGCAGATTAACACTTTTTATTTCCTGGATTTTCATCTTTTGTTCCAGACTGACTGTCTCTGAGTTTCAGAGAAATCACTGAAGACCTGATGTGACTCACAAGCTGCTAATCTTGCAGCTAAACTGGTGTCCAGTACATCACCTGAGCTTTGATTTGTCATTTGTTTTCTTTCATTATTTCTTCAACCATGTGTTGAGTCAATACAATCAGCATGAAACAGAAAAAAGAGCAGACTTTCTGAAATTAAATAAACTTAACAGTCAAAACTTTTTGCCTCATTCACATCTGAATTTAGTTACCTGAAGCTTAATACACACCACAAGTTAAGGCTCCACCTGGTGTTCAGTGTCAGAATTACAGTCTTAATATTCACAGCAGTCTGACTCCTACAGAGAAAGCTGAAGAGGTACCTGCACACCAACTGAACCGGACTAAGAAGCAGCAAAAGTGTACAGGCTGAGATAAATGCAAAAATAGTCTCTGAAACTGAGACTGAAGTGGTCAAATCAACGAGAGGTCATGCTGCAAAAAAGTGAGTGAAAACAGCAGCAAAGGTTTCAGTCCTTGACTATCATCAGAGCTGCTGGCATGAGTGTTTCACAGAGCCGATAGAGACAAAAATAAAGGCAGATATTTGTCCAGGTGTGCTCAGGAGGCTGGAGTCTATTACAGCTGTCAATATTTCAAAGGCACCATGGACAAGTTACCAGTCTATAAGACGACTTAATAACTTGCTTAGAACAGTTTATTTAATTGTAATGACATGAAAAATAAGTACAATTAGTGAATAAACATGTATGTTTTGTTGTCCAAAGAAACATATTTTGGCTCCAGCAGCTGCTGTGAGGGTTTTTCACTGGGTGTGAAACAGACTGAAACTGATGCTTGATGGTTCTTTATGACCTTCAAAAGCAAACAAGACCAAATACAGCAGACCGACTGTTTTATATTGTTATTTTTATTGCCTATCATTGCTGCTGTAGAGGAGATGACCCACAGCAGGATGAATAAACAGCCTTTACTGACATTTTCTTTAATGAACTAACTTAATAACACATTATAAGAAGATATGAGTTTAGCCTTTTCCTCCTTATTTTAAAAGTTCCTCCATGTTGATCACAGATGTTTCACAGATTTTTACCACATTGTCAACAGGGAGAGCTGAGATCATAAACTTTATGAGTGTGCTAAACTGACTGATCAGAATAAACTATTCATTCAGCCGAGTGAGTAGCACTGAAGAAGAGATAACAGTGCTCATATTTTTACTAATGATTAAACTTTTATCACACCTGTTGGTCCAACAGCTTTTATTAGACAATGTCTCTGCAGCCTGATGAGTCAAACCACACTAACAGGTATCTCTGCATGGCTATGATAAAGTAGTAGTAGTAGTATATAAGTATATCTTTCTCCTGTCTACATTCAATTACAAATTGGTCTGCTGCCAATCCTTACAGTTTTTGTCCCTTCCAGCTATATCACGCTGAATTACTGAGCACACCTTAACCTTCCTGAGCCTTCTTGAGAACCAGCTGGAACACCGACAGAGATTACTAACGCTGTGTTACTTTCTGATACGTTGACACTTCAGTAGAGAGAGGACAAACCTGAACTTCACGTTTTGAATCGAATGAGAAACATGAACTTTCAGGTGTTTCATCCAGATTTAATCTCAGCTGTCTGTTAGTGTTGATGGAGATGCTAAGCCCCGCCCCCAACCCTCCTCACCTTAAACAACCTCACACAGACTGACACCACAAACAGGCCGGACAGCTTTTTTTCTTTGTAAGGATAAATGATTAACAGAATTAACAACGGTGCACAAATTTATAGAGCTCAGAGTTTGTAACCAGAGCGCACTGAGTGATAAATATGTACGTTTTCTACCAATGATCAGGACTTAGAGAAAGTAAATTACATGCAAATGCACAATCACTTTTTGGTCTAAAACCTGCATGAGGGAAGTTTTTAAAAGTTTAATCTGCTGCACATAATGAATATTGATGAATTTACAGTGAACACAAACTGGGATTAAAAGGTTGATTTGTGTTTAAAAAAAGACTGAAATCAGGTTGAAGGTTCTGGTCCTAATAATGGATGACCATGATCTTTGAAAGCACTGCGTTAAAAACAGACAGGACTCTGTAGTGAAAACCACAGAAACCACTGTCAGGGATCACAGAGGGACCCTCTGGCTCGTTTTAGGTGCACAGTTCATGAACATGGGTTCTTCACACTTCTGTGAAGGCTCCTTTAATGCTGAATCATATCTACAGGTTTAGGAGCAACATCTGCTGCCATCCAGACAAAGAGTTTTTCAGGGAAGAAATTCATATTTCAGCAAGACGATGACAAACCACATTCTGCAGAGATTATAACAGCATGGGTCATTGGCTCATGTATCAGCAAAAATGGGACAAGATTTCTCTTCCAAAGTCCAGAAACTGGTCTCCTGGGTTCACTAAGGTTAACAGAGGGTTAGTAAAAGAAGAGCTGATGACGCACAACAGTAAACATGTCTCTGCACTAACTCTACATGACACTTGTTGATGGCTTCAAGGTCAGAAAAAGACTTTCATTAATCACATTATTTTGTCTTTGTAGTATTTTATATGAATAATTGTGTGTAAATGAATCACAAACCATCAAATTATGTTATTATTAACATTTCACACAGTCTGCTGACTTTGTTGGAGTTGGAGTTGAACTTTACTTGTTTCTGCCACTCTTTAAAATCTCTGTGCCACCCCCTGGATATTTTTCTAGGTCTGCCCCTGCTCTAATCTTTTTGTTGGCCTTGTCCTGTACATGTTGAAAAAGTGTTTGTAGATGAAAAACCTCCTCATGAAAATAAAACTGCAGTTTTCCTGCCTGCTGCTCTTTGTTTGACACCTCCTCCCTCTCAGCAGTTACAGGCTTCAACAACAGGAAATGTCAGTCTTACTACAGTTAGTCCTGTTTCAGATCATAAAGAAGCATCAGCCTTATATCAGCCTGTTTAATCACTCCTCACAGAAACTTTGACAGGAAACAATCAATAAATATGACTTTTTAAAAATACTGTGGATTCAGCTTCAGCTAATGTGAAACACATCATCAGGCAGCAGATACACACCCAGATCCTTCATTTATCAAAACCTCGAACTGATGCAGCAACCCTCAGGTTACACAAAGAGATTACACACACACACACACACACACACACACACACACACACACACACACACACACACACACACACACACACACACACACACACCTGCAGCAGTCTGACAGCTTGTAATGATGATGCTGCAGGTTTCAAATGGATCCGTGCTCAAAACCGGAAAATCATCACATCTTACCGGCAGGATGAGATGAACATCAAGCATATTAAACTATCAAACTCTGCCTTCATGCTGCTGTATTTTTAGCTCATTCATCCATTCATTCAAAAATATTCCCCCTTAAAACTCGGACATCTTACTGTTTCCATCAGCCGCTGTTATCAGGAGGCCGCAGACGACGAAGAGGAGGAGGATGAGCTCCATGGTTTCCTTCTTCTTCTTCAGAACAGACCTCTCTACACGCTGATCTCTCTTTATAAAGACGCTTCAGACCCTCCCAACGACGACACACTGCTCTGTCTCAAACTACTTTCAGTTTCGAGAAGGGAAAAGCTGCGGCCACTCAAATCCTTCAAAATAAAAGCCTCGTTTTAACTCTTTAACTCCACCAAGAGTTGGCCAAGAGGGATGGTTTAGTGACCTTTTATTTTCTTGATTTCACACAATAAACTGACGTAATACATCAGCAGAAAGTAAACAGCATGAGTGCAAAAAAAGAAATGTTTACAACTTTTCAATCAGACTTATTTATCAAATAATAAACCTGAACTTTACTTTTTTTAAACTTTACTCTGAACAGTTGGTGAAAGATCCTCAGGGGCTCATGTCTTCAAAAGTTTCATCTGTTTTTGTGAAAAGGATCATTTTGAACTTCAGTTTCAGGATTACTGCTGCTCCTATATCCTGTTTGTTAAGATTCCTGGTAATAATCGTCCTCTAAAAGAGAGCTCTTCTTCCTCCAAACCAAACAGGATTGTTGCAACACGTCCCTGATAACAGCTTCTCTCTGTGCTGCCTGAGGAAATGACAGACGTAGGCGTGACATTCCTTCACTGCTACATTTGAACTCTGTTTTTATCAAAAGCCTTTACAAGACATGATGTACTGAATTCATGTAAAAATAAGAAATGTGGACATGCAATAATAAAAATAATAGCCGCACTCATCATCACACTCTGTATCTTACATTAAATCAGCTTCAACAAGAACTATCAACAGTGAATTCAACGGAGAGACAGAGGAGCGATCAAAGAGTGTCGTCACTGGTGCTCTTTAAAAAGACAAAACATGACAGAAATGTCCTCTAAGCATCTACATCAGTAGATCTTATTTTGTTGCTAATGTCTTCTTGCCCTGCACCAGCCAGGATGATTGTATGTTGAGTTCCTGCATTGAAAATATGTCAGTGTCATATTAAGGTTGTGTTATTATAATGCTATTAGTCTGCATTTACTTTACTTCTACTTCTAAGTAAAAAAATATCCTTAATTTAGACCTTGAATTAGACCTGACAATTGGCTAATTGAAGCTTATATATACACACCTGTATTAGGTAAATTACTTGAAATACTACTTAGGGGGTTATTACAAGTCTCTATGGCTAGCTAATAGTTCAAACACACCTAAATGAAATTATGTTTATATAAACTTACTGTTTAAAAAAACAGTATTTGACAAATGTAATCTATCTATCTATCTATCTATCTATCTATCTATCTATCTATCTATCTATCTATCTATCTATCTATCTATCTATCTATCTATCTATCTATCTATCTATAGATTTATTGACTGCACAGAGGATTAACATCACCCTCAGACGAGGATCAACAATATTGATCATTGATTCTGTCTCTTTCTGAGTGACCTGCAGTTAGTTGTTCATCCCCAGCTGATGAACTTCATGATCTTCTGTTGTGTTGGAAAGTTAAACAGTAAGAGAGCATACACATTTTCACATCCGCCCAACAGTTACTTCCTCTCTGATTTCTCTGCGGTGGAAACTGACAGTAAACCACAAGAAACATAGAAGATATAAAACATTTTTGTTACATCTTATCTTTCCCCTGCAAATGTCTCTACATGTTCGTTCAAGATGTCTTTTAAAAGTTATAGAAACAAAGATGAAGTATATCTATTATATTCTGTTCTTTTTTATTACTGGTGGTTTGTGTTAATTACCTATCTATCTATGAAATTGTGAATCTACATGAGGTTCTATCTCAGTTCAGTAACAGGGTGTGGATCAGACAGCTCCTCTGACTTTGGGCTCTTACTGTGTGCATGAGGCCCTAAAGTTGTGGCAGCAGAAACAGGCTGAGCTGCTAAAGGAGCTGTCGGTCCTTCACCACGGAGGTCTGACAGCTTCACCTCAGGAGGTAAGGTCAAGAAATTTGAGATTCAATGGGTAAATTTTTTGAAGGCAGCTCTCTTAGTGAAAACTTCTCAGGGTGGAGAACAAAGCTTTGATGACCACACTGTGTGTTTATTTTACTTCTCAAGGCTCCAAAAATCTACAATTAAAGACAACAAAGACCATGTTCCACACAATCCCTGCAGCAACATTTAGACGGTCAAAAAACTGTTTTCCTTTCTGGGTGGAGCACCATCCTCGATACAAGGTTCCTAGAAAAATCCCACGTCCTCATGGGAAAACAGTGATACCACAACTTGGTTATTTCCCATTATCTGCTCCGACATAGTGTGTACCAAGAGGGGAAGAGGAAGAGGAGGCCAAGTACATCAACAGATTCCTGATGAAGTTAGGACTACAGTTGTGGACCATGTTGTCAATCCCAGCCTCATAATGACTGAAGCTGGTTGAAGGGTGCAGCTAAATGTTGAGAGAAACACTGTAAATTCAATTATTCAAACATTTGGTCAGGAGAACAGGTGTGTCTATTGGACAGTAAATCACCACTAAACAATCTACACTGTACGACTGTCATTGTGTTAAACATGAAACTCACAGTGAGACAAGAACTTTTTCACTTTTTACATTTAGACATACAGCTTTACTGCAGCACAGACTCATTGTGTTGTATACAGTCATGTGTAACTTTACTGTAGTTTTCAAATGGCTGTGTAAATAGTGTATAGTGCTGTCCTGAGAATTTTCAGGAGGTTTCACCAAAATCTGACTTTGTTGCATTTGAAAACATTTACAGAGAAACTGTCTTAATGAAAACATGACAAAGCCATTTGACTGTTGTGTTCATAAACAATGGAGTCAGGACTTTTCATTCTGATGACACTTTCACTGACATGAATACTTGCTTTTGAGGAATGAACCATCCATTTTAAGCGAATGTCACACTTTTGCAGGATTTCAGCTAGGTTCTGCAGTTTGAACTAAATTGTTGTGAGAATTTTACTAACTGTTGTGCAAAAGTTAAAAGTGATGTGAGAAATGCACCAAAGTGATTGAGAAAAACTGTCTCTGAACTGTCCTTGGTGCTGAACATGTTCAGTCATGTCTTTTGATCAATGCAGAGACTTCAGTAACCACCAGGGGGAGATGCAGACCCAACAGACCTCTACCTCTAAAATCATCAGAGGCATTTCTGTAAAAATTGTTTCTCTAGAGCAGTTTTGTTTACAATTTTGTAACAGTGCATTTTCAGCTCTTGTTAAAGTTATAAAATACTAAATCCTGTTCTCACCTCTCAGAAACAAGGTCTGTAAGTGAAGGAGAAGGAGGCTCACTTTAGTTTGTTTAAAGTTTGACCACAGAAACTAAAAAAAGTCCCAGCAGCACACAGTTTGACAGTTTTCCTGTTTTATTCAAATGTTTGTTTAGAAATAATGAAGAATAAACAGACATGAACTTTCAGATATGGAGCACAATTCAAATGTCCCAGTCAACAACAGTACAGAGTCAGAGTCCAGTATCTACACCTGCTCCACCTGACTCAAAGTCATGCAGTCTAATCCAGCAGTCCTGTCATAAATCCTGAAGGTTGTAATGTTGACTTTGAACTCAGTCTCAGTGTAGAGCATTAAACAGAGAGCTGGTTCTGGTCTTTAGCCGGCCCTCATTGATAGAAATGTGCTGGACTAAAGACTCCAAACAGTCTGCAGTGTCAGTGATCCCTTTACTCACTCTGGAGACAATCTGAGGTTCAGACTGAAGCTGAAGGACACTGAAGGACACATGTTGGACAGAAGGAGTCAGGGATCGAAGCAGAGACCCTGTGATTAATGGATGATCTTTGCTAATATGAGCTGATTTGATGTCATGTTTTCTGGACTGGTACACTTCTCTTTATTCACACTGAAGTCCTCCAGATCATCAGACCTGCTGAAGTTTAGAGTTTTACTGTGAGTCACAATTTAGGAGAAGAAAATCACAAACATTTACTTCCGTTCTTCACTCTCAGCCTGTCAGATTCAGACTCTTTCTTACATGCAGCACAAGTGTCCTCACTATTTTACACCCAATGCACTCATCAGTTTAAGGTCCAGCACCCACATTGTGTAAACAGCAAACAAACTTGTACCCATGAAATCTTCTTTAGGAGTCAGCTGTTCAACAAAGATGGACTGTTGCTCTCTCACAGCGAGTTCTTATCTCCAGACAACTTTCCAGTAACTCCTGAAGAGTTTGCTGTAGTATTCGACACTGTTCCCTCTGCTATTTTAGGAGTTTTTGGGGTGGAGCATTTGCAGTTTTATTTGCTTTTTCTTTGTTGTTGTTTTTAGATTGTCAGTAAAGTATAAAGTTGATTTTGTTTGAGTCAGAATGGACTAATATTTTTTGTTATCTTTTTGTCAGAAAAAAGTTTGTGTCAAAGATCAATTTCTAAAAGAGACTTGGTTTACATTTGTAGGTGAAAGTGATGAATTCAGAAGTCATTGTGATATTCATGTATAGTATTAATATGCCAGTTAATGAAACAAATTAAAGTGTTTAAGTTGAACAATAACTAGGATAATTTCACAAATCTGTCAAGTTCAATTCAAAACTAAAACTGTCTTGTTCAAATTTTTGTTTGGTCTGGATTTGACTCCTTATACTTTCACACTTGACCTCTGGACTATTTCTGGACAAGTTCAGGACATTCAGGTCCTTTAGTTGACTTTAGAGATGTCTGCTCAGTCAATGTCGGGAAACAAGTTTCAGTTTATCAGAGGGAGTTCAGAGGATCCTGGAGGAGTCTGATCTAAATTCCTCCTTATACTCCAGAGTGAGTCTCTCCCTCTTCCTATGACAATGCCAGTAAAACTCAGCAATAGTTAGAAATATCTGAGTCAACTCTTCAAACGTGAATTTGTCATCTTAAATTTATTCTTATTGGTTCCCAGAAGTTTTCTCATTCACTCACAGACTCTTCATCGTTACAGTCTGATCTCAACAGTTTTCCATCTTTTCATTTATTTGTTAACAAAAGTTTTTCATCATCACACAAAAGTATGTTTTCCTTTCAGCACATTTTAAACATAAGATCAGAGTATAGATGGTTTTGTTCACGTTTTATTTTCACTTGCAGTCTTATGTTTTTGCTCTTGAATATTTCTGTTACACATCAAAATAAAGACACTACAGTCACCTCACAGAAGCGCCCCATCTGTGTCCAGATCATCAAACCTGCAGCTGCTCAGACGTGAACGCTTTATAAGAGGAGAAAACACAAACTTCATTTCTTCACTCTCTGTCAGGTTTCTCCTCAAAGTTTCACATTTGGTTCTTTTCATTATCCTGAGCAGGTTCCTGTTGGTCCACTCCTCTCAGCTTTGACATGTTTTTTTTAATACTGTTTTTTTATTGGAGGTTGAAATTGAATCAGGTCTCTTTTAACTTGGTCCATTTTCAAATACCATCCTCCTCCAGCTTTCATATCAACCATGAATACTTGAAATTTAACTCCACGTTTTTAATCAACCTCTGCTTTCAGTGGTCGCATATATTTCCCTGTCTCTACATTATGGGGGTCTCTGTTAAAGTTCATTCACAGTTTTAGCAGAGCCAAATATAAAGTTTCAAGGAGCAAAAAACTGAGAGAATAATCCTGAACCAGAAACACAAATATTACAAATTATTATTTTCAGTTTTCAGCTGCTCACACTTCATAACAACAGGAAAAAAAAATAAAATTAAGACAAAAAATACAAAATATCAACAAAAATGAACAGAAATAAAAAAGCAGAATATAAGAGACATTCATAATTTGAGAATGCACATGAAGGTTTTGTATTCATTCACATCTACTGTGGATATCCACAAATATCTGTATATGACATCAGCTGTTTACAAAGGCCTGTAATAATCACATTAATGTAATAGAATCATATTTGTGGTATAGATCAGCAGTTAAAGCACCTGCTCTCTCACTCACACACACACACACACACACACACACACACACACACACACACACACACACACACACACACACACACACACACACACACACACACACACACACACACACACACTCAAACAGTTGTGAGGTGTTTTTTTTCTACATCCAGAGTCACATTATCGGCTGCTCTCTGGACTTGACTGAATAATTTGACAGATTCATGGTTCATGATTTTACACAAATCTGATGATGAGTTATAAAAACAGTTTGATCTGAGTTTGAACACAAGTAAAGTTATCTTTGATGATCCACCTGCTACGATTGAGGGACAATTCTTGGGTCCACTTTGACAAACTTATTTTTTTTAATAGTTTATCCAGTAAGTGTCCAGATGACTGAACTATAGGACAGAAACCACACAGGAATCCTATTTCATTTCAGACTTGTTGGAGTCTGATGTGCAACAATGACCCCAAATGTAAAAAAAAAAAAATGTAATAAAGCCCAAAATGTGATAAAAAGTAAATAATGTTACAAAATGTTGAGCCAGAAATGTAATAAAAGAAATGTAATGAAGCCTTAAATGTAACACCTGACCTAAAATGTAACAACTTATTTTTTGGGATCAGCATGTGGTTACATTATCGACCAGTTTTCACATTTTGGGTTTTATTACATTTTTTTAATGACATTTTGAATCATTGTTACATATCAGGCTCTAACAAAGCTGTTTCTGTTGTTTATAATAATAACTTTGTACAAACCACATTTCCTACCACAACCTGATCCTTGAAGTTGAACCTGAGAAGCTGATATGAACTCTCACTGTGGCTGAAATAATAGAGGAGCAGTTCACTCAAATCTAACACAAAGACACACTCTCCATCAGTCCACTTCACAGCTCATGTAAAACTGGATGAGTTTCCTGATCTCCTGGTTTCTGTTTATTTTCATGTTCTCCTGTGGGGACTTCTGTTCTTCCTGTAGGTTTAAAAGAATAAAAGTCAGTTACATTCAGGAAATTCACAGCTGAGCAGATCTGACTCTGAATCTAAATAATACTACATGACTCAGAAAATAAGACGACTGGATAGACTGTAAAATGGAGATATTAGCAAAGACTGTTTTTCACATTATTCTTAGTGCTTTGATACAGTAAATTATTTGAATTTACCTTCAAGTTTATTTTTGAAGTAACGTACAACGAATGCAAGAACAACAACAGCAAGAACTGCAGCAACAATCCATCCATAAGGGATTCCTGAAACAGAAAACAGAGGGTTAGTGTATCAGTTAGTGTACTGATTTGATAGAGAGCAGGTTGGAGGTGACACACGGAGAAGAACTGCAGGAGTGAGTGTGTGTGTGTGTGTGTGTGTGTGTGTGTGTGTGTGTGTGTGTGTGTGTGTGTGTGTGTGTGTGTGCGTGTGTGTGTAGCTCTGGGACGAGTGTGAGCAGCAACAGTGATGTTCGCTCTGATCTGTTTCTCAGTTTCTCAGTTTGCTCGGCTGCTCAGCTCACAGCTTGGTTTAGGTTTTGCTCTCAGCAGTGAGGAGGAGGATGTTGGACCTTCATCCTGTTTCTGAGACCAGCTGCTCTTCATGAACAAAGTCTGAATTTGAGACAACTGCAGCAGAAGATCTGGATCTATGTGCTCATTTTATCTGAACTTTACTGAACTGAAGGAGGAAATACTTTGACTTTATAAAACTTTACAATCACTACATATAACCTGCTCTGATCTTTAAATGTAAAGATTTAATAAACATTTAAAAAACAAACTTTTAAAGCATGGTGAACTACTTTAGACAGATTTTGCTGACATAAGATTTTTTTCATCTCAGCTGCTGTAATTGTGCAGTTTGGCACAGCGACATCCAAAACACTCTCTTTATCTATAATCAGAGTTATTACTGAAGTGACCTCAATATGAGACCCTTTCTATTTATGTATGTAAATATATAAATATGATGTTAGGATGTAGGAAGTCTTCACTAAACCTCCATAATGTTTGAAAACACACAGACGTTGGTGTGATTTACAGACGTGTGTCTCGGCTTCTCTGATCACCTGTTTCAGAAACTCTGCCAGACTGGTCCTGAACCCTGACTTCAGGATCTGTGGTCCTATCAGGACAATGTTGGAGGACATGTCCACCCAGCAGCTCCTTTAAATCTTCCCTCACATAGAAAGTCCATGTCAAAGCTCCTCTCTGCTCTTTGCTGACTCAGTATGTCTCTGAACGTTGATCCAAAGTGTTTTTGTGGTTGTGAAGGAAAGTCTGAGCTGTTTTCTCTTCCCAAAGATAAAAACTCCAGAAAACAGCCAGAAGATTTGATGTTTTCAGGACAACAATGAAGCTGTTTGTGCTCACCACTTCACTGATGACTCCTTAGTAAACAAAGACCAGTACGAGCTGGATTTGAGGTTCAGCTGTTCCTGAAACCTGCTGGAGCTGTTCATCTATAAACACCTTCATGAAGAGACTAAACACAAACATTTACAACAGCAGATAATGGAAGAACAGCTAACCTATAATGGGGAGCTAGTGTGAGCTTCAACAATATAAAGACATAACTTTCAGGTTGTTTAATGACTACAAAGCTGTGTAAAAAGTAACACCCACATGCTGTGTCTAACTTTATATCAGTGGAAAAGCAGCAAAGATAAATAAAGACTTTTCATGATCTGCTAATCCAGCAGCGCTGCTCTACAGGTGTCCCAGACTGACAGAATCAAAGGTGAAAATGAGCGTCATAGGTCTCCTTTAATGAAACACCGATAATCATCACAGCAGAGGATGGAGACACTCATCTGCAGAGCAAGTTTACCCCTCATGACTCAAACCAACCATCACAGCTACAACACCAGGGGGATGAAAGATGGAGAGACACAGAGATCAGAGCAAAGATGTCCCAAAGTAGGAAGACTTCTTCAACACCTGAGGTGGAGTTATGATGCATTAGTGCAGAAAACGGTTATGAACGCAGCAGAGACACTAAACAACTGTCCGACAGTAACAAGATGTGGAGTAATCAAATGTAATGAGCACAAAGAGATCATCTTCAAATACCTGTGAGCTGAAAAACTGAGCAAAGACACACTTTGACCAAACTGTCCACCATCCAACACACTGTGGGTTATTATTTCAACTTTGAGAGTCTCTAAATATTATGACCACAGCAGCTCCATTTACACATGTGGACTTTATGAATTTATTCAAATGAGACGATTTCATTTCAAAAGAAACTGAAAACATGATTTTATGTAAAAGGTGTTTACAACAACCAGGGTTGATGTGCACTTTTTAAAATCAGATTTAGGACTTTTTAAGACCCTCACAGAGAAAAGGAGACCAGTTTACAGAGCAGAACAAACTTTGTATTCAAACTAAACTCTGAATCAAAGTTTTTAAGATCTTTTCTCACATGTTGTCTCTTCATCGTTGTTTCCTCCTGACTTTTATTCTCCGTGTTTTTCATCCTTCAGACAAACTTCCTTGAACTTATATTTTTTCGTCTTCCTCTCTCTTCCTCTTTTTCTTTGATTTATGAATGTGAACATTAAACACTGCTGGATGTGCTGTGAACTGTCATGTGAATATTAATAAAGAAAGATTAATATATAAAATCATAAAACACTGAATGAAGGATTTCATGAGGTGTTCAGGTATGTTTCAAAGTGTCATCTAAAATTTAAGACTTTTTACAAAAAAATTTACAGCTTTAAATTCTTAAAATCTACTTTTTAATGATTTTTAAGGGTCTGCAGAAACCCTGATCAGCCTCTCTTGTTTCATTTAATGAGTTTGTTTTATTATAATTATCAGTTAGATTTAGTTTCTTCACAAAAACAAGACTTGGTCCTGATGGAGTCTAAAAGTTAGTCTTGAGAAGGGGGTCGTCTTATATTCAGGTCCATATGAACACATCTACTGAACCCTCAGAGAACCTCAGTGTGTTTTAGAGACAAATATTAGATCATGTTTCTAACTTCATCCTGTTTTTCTTTCTAAGACTCCAGAAGTCGCTGCTCTGACGTCTTCAGTCTCTAAATTCACCTCAAAGGTTTTCACATGTGGGTCTTCAGGATCAGGATCACAACAGCTGATTATGAATGAAGCTCAGCAGAAGTTCAAGAAGAAGACTGGGTTATATTTATTAATTCACTGAGTCTTCATTCAGTCATCTCTCTCTGTCTCTTCCTGCTGCAGTGATCAGCTGATCGTGGGTGTTTCCTCTTTAAGCACTTAACCAATCAGAGCGACCTTCATCAACCAATCATCCTGCTTTCGTTCAGATCTCAGATCTGTCCTCTCTCTTTCTCTCTCTCCCTTCTCTCTCTCTCTGTCTTCCTTCTCTCTCTCTCGCGCTGTCTCCCTTCTCGCTCTTTCCCTCTCTCTCTCTCTCTCTGTCTCGAATCTCTCTCTCTCTCCCTCTCTTTCTCTCTCTCTCTCTCTCTCTGTCATTGTTTCAGTTTGATCCCTGAGGTACTCCTCAAATCGATTCCTCCTCCTCCTCAGTCTCAGTCCAGCTCCTCAGCTCATCCTGCATCCTCCCCTCAGCACCACCAGAGTCCAGACTCCATCAGTGGATCATATTCAGCTTTCAGTCTCTCAGTCTCTCCAACCACATCAAGATGGAGTCAAATCACAAACACATTCAACATTTTTGATCCTTTTCTAAAAATGTGAAATCTTTTTTGTTCTCTTCTGATAAAATCTCTGCAGATTAAATTATAATACTGGTTTTGTGTGTCTGATCAGATTAATTATCATAAACTACTAATCACTAAAGAAAGAACAAAAACCTCATCAGACATGTAAACATGTGTGTTTAAAATTCTGTTTAACATTATTAGGATGAAGGATCATGTAAATATCAATTACTGATATGAGCTATATCTGAGTTTACGTCACATCTAACTTAAAACTTATAAAGATTTACAGCTGTAAAGACTTTTCTGACTTGTATGATGAAGAAACACAGAAACCACGATGAAGTTTGGACAACACCTGAATCTTCACACTTTCAATGTCAGAAAATATCATATTTACATTAAATCAGATCAAACTCACTGATGTCAAAAACACTTTCTATAAATCACAAAAACCTGAAATTTTGAAGATGTCTAAATGAACTGTTATCTGATTATTTAATGACTCTAAATAAATCATTGTAATGAATTTTAAGCAATTTAATTATGTGTCAGATTGGAGAGTGTTGGGCTTGTTTTTATATAACAAAAAATTAACAATGGTCTGTTTTATAACTTTATGAGTTCAAGTGACTTTAAGCTGTTTTCCTCTAATAAAACAAAAGTGAACTCTGTTTATAACCAAAGTCAGTCAAATCAGACTTTCATCACTTAATGATCTCATACTAATCTGAGATTATTTGACAGCTGATTAAATTCCATCTGACTCCATCAAAATGTGTTTAAAAACACAGTCATAATACTCAGGTCATCATTTTACAGGTAAAATCATCAAGCTGAAGAAAACAACATTCAATAATTTACAAATTCATTGTGAGAAATTAAGATTTTTATGGTGTTTATAGCAAATTCAAGAGGAGATCAGACAGTAATGTTCCTTATTCTCTTCTAAACATTTGAAATTCACATTTCAATGAGTGCGCTTTATGAGTTTTAACTCATTTTATCAAATTTAACCCACTGTCAGATGAGTTTAACTAGCTCTGAATTTTAACTTGATGATAAACTTCTATTGAGTTTAAGTTTATTTCATTTTGTTGAACTCAAACTCATTTTCAAACTGACTGTTTTAGTATTTCTATTGATGCTCTGTTGTTGTAAATTCTGTTAACTCTTTTAACCTCATAGTTTTCTTGTCTCTGTGATGTGAAGCACATTGGAAGTCTGTTTTTAGAGGCGCTATTTTCATCGAGTTTATCGTATTTTATTCTCTTTTTTCATTTGCAATGTTGATAAATTTTCTTTTTATTGGGCAAAGAACAACTCCAAACTACTGATGTCTCCTAAGTAATTAAACCATAAGTGGTGATGATATTATCATCAGGGTTAAAATTAGTGATGTTATCCTCATTTTTGATTAAAGGTGTGTGAATGGCAAAGCTCTGAGGAGATGAGAAGCTAAATGAGAGAAAAAATGCTAACATAGATATTTCTGTAGAAGTTTCCTGCTCATCTTATCTGATGTTACCTTTTCATTGTTCTTTGAAGAGATCTCACAGTTCAAATAACATTGTCATGGTTGTATTAAATCGACAGTGTCATGCTGTCAGAATAAAAGCTGATCCAAAATGTGTTTTTTTTAATGATCTAAACTAGTTCAGGCAAGAGGACTTCTAAATTATTTCTGCAGAACAAAAAGTTCATCCAAACTTTTTCCCTGACAGTACTTGGTTGTGGTGTAGCAAAGTGAAACATATATTAGTGAGCAATCTCCAAAGCGGTTCAGACCTCTGATCTACAGTTTGGCTTCAAGTTTGCTATGCTGAGTACTCATGTAGTCTGTAATTTCATCTGAAAATGGTTAAAAGTTTGAAACCTCTGTAACAATCTTACCATGGATGTAAATTGAGTCTGTGGCATTGATTTGGTGGCAAATATCCTCCTGCTCCTGTGTAACTATACAGCTGTAGTTGTCGGTCTTAGTCACTGTAGTTTGGAGGATGATGTCGTAGCTGCCTCCTCTTTCTGTGACTTTTGTCTCTTGAGCAGGAAGGATCTTTCCAGAACTGTCCCTCCACTCCACTTTAGGTTTAGGAGAAGCTTCAGAAACCTGACACTGCAGCAGGAACGAGTACTGTGACCCCTGAAGTGATGTGATACCTAGCCTTGGACATTTACCTGTGTACAGAATATTTACAACATTAGAAACAGAACAATGTGATTCTTTTGTTCGTCACACATCTGTTATTATGAATGTTTAAAATTATAAAATCATACAAACATAGCCCAGTTTTCTTCACTTTGTCAGAGAGCTGGTTTGTATTCTGTAAGGTAGCTTGAATACTTCAAATCCAACAGGTGATTTACTCTGTCACACTGAATGATCTGTGCCACTGTTAACTGTTTCTCACATCTTTTTATTGGTTTTTAAACTTTGCTAATAAGTATATTGTCAAAGCTGCAAACACTGAAACATGCTAGGAGTGTTTTATTATTTGTTCAATACCATGGTTTTATTTCCCCAAGTGAAGCTCATATATGAGTTTCTGTGTCTTTTGTAAACTGATTGTTACTCTGGATTTTCATTTTTAATCACAAATCAGACTATCTGAAGGTCTTTATGTTGTGTTGTGTTTACATACTGCTGCAGATTTTGTAGTTCTCTAACTCAGTGCAATTTTGCTTTAGTTATGTGTACTCATTTATTAACTTATCCTTTATTATTTTACTTTTTAAGCTGTACTGGTTCAGTGGTAAAAGGCCTTACATCACTTGTGATGTTATTTCCCATCTGATTAATTAACACTATCTTTTTCTACAGACTTGTCTCACCGTTATTTACTCTGCCTGAAAAGAACAGTGAACTGACCAATGCAGTTTTACTTAGGGGTCACTTATGATGCCAATGAGAGCTGGCAATGTTACACTGCTGTACTTTGACATTTGATCAATAATATTTCTGCAAACTCAGTAGTCTACTTAATATATATATATATATATTTTAAAGTAAAGAATCCCGTTTTTGTGTGTTCTGAAAGCCTTTTCTTTAAAATAATACCTGTTGATTCTTAATGATGCCCTACACTTAAGGAGAATGTTAAAAACAGAGTCAGTGAAATGTCAAAGGTTTATAAATGATCTTATACCTGTGAGGTCACACTCCACACACACACCTGTTCAGGTAGATGATGACATCATTACTCACCTGAGCAGTTTTCAGCTGTTCTGTCCTTTAAGATGCACTCTGAAAGGAAAAACAAAATATAACAAAGGTTAGCATGTACACAGGTATCACTGCAAATCAAAATAAGCATTTCATTACATTATATGAGAAACATCTAAAACTGAAGAGAAAGTCTCTGATTTAAGAAACCGTCTGATCTTGAAAGATTGAACTCAGAGAGCAGGAGTCTCCTCTGATCAAATTATCAGGATATCTCTGAGTTTTAACTTCACTGTCAGCTCTGCACAGTTTATCTTAAAAACCTGATCCTCATCTTCTTCTGTTGTCCTCAGACATGTTTGAAAGTGAGGCTGTCCTATTACTTTACAGTGCAGAGTAAAATAAGAAATCACTGCACACTTAAAGTGTCTGTTCAGAAATAAGTCTACAGCACCAAGATCGTACAGACTTCTGTCAATAATATCATACATCTTATTTATTAAATCTGCTCATAAAAATATGAAAGAAAATACACATTTGTGTCATCTGTTTCTGTTAAGATTTAAATGGTCATCTTAAAGTTGTGTTTTATTGTTAATTTTGCCTAAACAACATATAGAACCAGAGCTGCACATATATTAAATAACATGATTTAATTACGGAAAACCTCTCTATTAGACAGACTTTCATCCATGAACATGACTTCATCTTATCTGAAGCTCTTCAGTCCATCTGTTCATCAGCTTTATTTATATAGTATATTAGATCATAGTTAATTGTTAAAAAAATATGTGAATCTGTATTTAAATGTCAAGAATGTACATAAATGGTCAAATTTAACACAAAAGGATATTTTGGTTTGTATCATAATGAACTTTACCTTCTTCTGTTATTTACTTTGGAAAAGTCTGAGAGAGCTCTGTGGACACCTGCTGGATATTTTCTGTACTGCACTTTGTAAAATATCTCAGAACGACTTCACTGTCATTAATCTGTCATGTACAATAAATCGCTGCTTAGTCATTTTTGAATTAGCTGAGAAAACACAAATACAATGTCGTTGTTCTTTTCCTGTGTGATACTTTTCCAATTGAACTTTTATATCCTTTATGATAAACAAAACAACTGATGCCTCTAAGTGTTTGTATCAAACGGTTTTAAATAGAGAGATTTTAAGAGGAAAAATGTACATAGACTAAAATAAATCTCAAGTTTATGATACTATTTGAAACACCAAACAAACATCTGTCAAGGAGGAATATTATCAACTTAGTTACACGTTGTTCAAGTTTTATCTAGACTGTCTCCTGAAATTTGGATGTGCAGTTTAATCAAATCTGTAATGTGTCAAAAATGTCAACCCAACATTTGATGACGAGTTAAAAGGGTTTCTGTGACTCCCAAACCGGTCCTGATAGTGAAAGTGAAAGAAACACCTTCAAGTGTTTCATGAAAGAACTTACTGACAATCAGCTGGATGTTGAATGTCTGAAGATGTGGAAAAATACAGCTGTAGTTTCCACTGTCAGACACCTTGGCCTTTGTGATCTTTATGGAGGCGTTGCCATTCTTCAGTTCATCTTTAAAATGTGAGACTCGACCATTAAACTGTTGATCTTGACCTGGCGGCCCATTCCCGTAGATAACGCCATTTTCATACATAAACACAGTTTTGCTGCCGTCTTTCTTCCAGTCAAACACCCTTTTCTCAATGTTCTCCTTAGAGCTGAGGGAACAGGGTAAAACCACATCACTGTCTTCTTTCACCACCACTGGACCTGAAAAATAACAAAAATTCACCTGTATGTTTCCAAACAAATGAAATGAAAACGTCACATGGAATTATGTTTAATTTTTATATTTCATTATTGGACTGTTTTGTGTACAACATGACCTCAGCAGATTCTTCCAAACACCATCCTGTCAGCAGATTAACGCTTTTTATTTCCTGGATTTTCATCTTTTGTTCAAGACTGACTGTCTCTGAGTTTCAGAGAAATCACTGAAGACCTGATGTGACTCACAAGCTGCTTATCTTGCAAACTGATGTCCAGCACATCACCTGAGCTTTGATTTGTCATTTCTTCCCTTTCATTATTTCTTCAACCATGTGTTGAGTCAATACAATCAGCATGAAACAGAAAAAAGAGCAGACTTTCTTGAATTAAATAAACTAAACAGTCAAAACTCTCTGCCCCATTCACATCTGAATTCAGTCACTTGAAGCTTAATGCACACCACAAGCCAAGGCGCCACCTGGTGTTCAGTGTCAGAACTACAGTCTAAATATTCACAGCAGTCTGACTTCTACAGAGAAAGCTGAAGTCTATTAGAAGACTTAGTAACTAGCTGAGAACAATTGATTTAATTGTGATGACATGAAAAATAAGTACAATAAGTGAATAAACATGTATGTTTTGTTGTTCAAAGAAACATATTTTGGCTCCAGCAGCTGCTGTGAGGGTTTTTCACTGGGTGTGAAACAGACTGAAACTGATGCTTGATGGTTCTTTATGACCTTCAAAAGTAAACAAGACCAAGTACAGCAGACCGACTGTTTTATATTGTTATTTTTATTGCCTTTCATTGCTGCTGTAGAGGAGATGACCCACAGCAGGAAGAATAAACAGCCTTTACTGACATTTTCTTTAATGAACTAACTTTAACACATTATAAGAAGATATGAGTTTAGCCATTTCCTCCTTTTTTTAAAAGTTCCTCCATGTTGATCACAGATGTTTCACAGATTTTTACCACATTGTCAACAGGGAGAGCTGAGATCATAAACTTTATGAATGTGCTAAACTAACTGATCAGAATAAACTATTCATTCAGCCGAGTGAGTAGCACTGAAGAAGAGATAACAGCGCTCATATTTTTACTAATGATTAAACTTTTATCACACCTGTTGGTCCAACAGCTTTTATTAGACAATGTCTCTGCAGCCTGATGAGTCAAACCACACTAACAGGTATCTCTGCATGGCTATGATAAAGTAGTAGTAGTAGTATATAAGTATATCTTTCTCCTGTCTACATTCAATTACAAATTGGTCTGCTGCCAATCCTTACAGTTTTTTTTACTTCCAGCTATATCACGCTGAATTACTGAGCACACCTTAACCTTCCTGAGCCTTCCTGAGAACCAGCTGGCACACCGACAGAGATAACTAACGCTGTGTTACTTTCTGATACGTTGACACTTCAGTAGAGAGAGGACAAACCTGAACTTCACGTCTTGACTCGAATGAGAAACATGAACTTTCAGGTGTTTCATCCAGATTTAATCTCAGCTGTCTGTTAGTGTTGATGGAGTTGCTAAGCCCCGCCCCCAACCCTCCTCACCTTAAACAACCTCACACAGACTGACACCACAAACAGGCCGGACAGCTTTTTTTCTTTGTAAGGATAAATGATTTACAGAATTAACATCGGTGCACAAATTTATAGAGCTCAGAGTTTGTAACCAGAGCGCACTGAGTGATAAATATGTACGTCTTCTACCAATGATCAGGACTTAGAGAAAGTAAATTACATGCAAATGCACAATCACTTTTTGGTCTAGTACCTGCATGAGGGAAGTTTTTAAAAGTTTAATCTGCTGCACATAATGAATATTGATGAATTTACAGTGAACTCAAACTGGGATTAAAAGGTTGATTTGTGTTTAAAAAAAGACTGAAATCAGGTTGAAGGTTCTGGTCCTAATAATGGATGACCATGATCTTTGAAAGCACTGCGTTAAAAACAGAGAGGACTCTGTAGTGAAAACCACAGAAACCACTGTCAGGGATCACAGAGGGACCCTCTGGCTCGTTTTAGGTGCACAGTTCATGAACATGGGTTCTTCACACTTCTGTGAAGGCTCCTTTAATGCTGAATCATATCTACAGGTTTAGGAGCAACATCTGCTGCCATCCAGACAAAGAGTTTTTCAGGGAAGACCTTCATATTTCAGCAAGACAATGACAAACCACATTCTGCAGAGATTATAACAGCATGGGTCATTGGCTCATGTATCAGCAAAAATGGGACAAGATTTCTCTTCCAAAGTCCAGAAACTGGTCTCCTGGGTTCACTAAGGTTAACAGAGGGTTAGTAAAAGAAGAGCTGATGACACACAACAGTAAACATGTCTCTGCACTAACTCTACATGACACTTGTTGATGACTTCAAGGTCAGAAACAAACTTTCATTAATCACATTATTTTGTCTTTGTAGTATTTTATATGAATAATTGTGTGTAACTGAATCACAAACCATCAAATTATGTTATTATTAACATTTCACACAGTGTGCTGACTTTGTTGGAGTTGAAGTTGAACTTTACTTGTTTCTGCCACTCTTTAAAATCTCTTTGCCACCCCCTGGATATTTTTCTAGATCTGCCCCTGCTCGAATCTTTTTGCTGGCCTTGTCCTGTACATGTTGAAAAAGTGTTTGTAGATGAAAAACCTCCTCATGCAAATAAAAACACAGTTTTCCTGCCTGCTGCTCTTTGTTTGACACCTCCTCCCTCTCAGCAGTTACAGGCTTCAACAACAGGAAATGTCAGTCTTACTACAGTTAGTCCTGTTTCAGATCATAAAGAAGCATCAGCCTTATATCAGCCTGTTTAATCACTCCTCACAGAAACTTTGACAGGAAACAATCAATAAAAATGACTTTTAAAAACACTGTGGATTCAGCTTCAGCTAATGTAAAACACATCATCAGGCAGCAGATACACACCCAGATCCTTCATTTGTCAAAACCTCAAACTGATGCAGCAGCCCTCAGGTTACACACACACACACACACACACACACACACACACACACACACACACACACACACACACACACACACACACACACACACACACCTGCAGCAGTCTGACAGCTTGTAAAGATGATGCTGCAGGTTTCAAATGGATCCGTGATCAAAACCGGAAAATCATCACATCTTACCGGCAGGATGAGATGAACATCAAGCCTATTAAACTATTAAACTCTGCCTCCATGCTGCTGTATTTTTGGCTCATTCATCCATTCATTAAAAAATATTCCCCCTTAAATCTCGGACATCTTACTGTTTCCATCAGCTGCTGTTATCAGGAGGCCGCAGACGACGAAGAGGAGGAGGATGAGCTCCATGGTTTCCTTCTTCTTCTTCAGCACAGACCTCTCTACACGCTGATCTCTCTTTATAAAGACGCTTCAGACCCTCCCAACGACGACACTGCTCCGTCTCAAACTACTTTCAGTTTCGAAAAGGGAAAAGCTGCGCCCACTCAAATCCTTCAAAATAAAAGCCTCGTTTTAACTCATTAACTCCACCAAGTGTTGGCCAAGAGGGATGGTTTAGTGACCTTTTATTTTCTTGATTTCACACAATAAACCGACGTAAGACATCAGCAGAAAATAACCAACATGAGAGCAAAAGAGAAATGTGTACAGCATGTTACAGGAGCTCCGACCAAGCACTGAGAGCATAAATGAGCATCATTTTCCTGTAGGTCAACATTTTGGTGTTTTATAACATTATAATGTTTAAAACAGGGATTTTTGGTTTCATGAGCTTTAAGTTGTAATTATCAGGGTTAATAAAAAAGTCTTGACACAGAAAGTGGAGCCACACGTGAACAGAGGCAGGAAATCTGGAACCCTTTCTTTTTTTTCACAGTTTCACTGAAGCTGTGTCCTGATTTATCCAGACTGATGTGCCTCGTGTTGAAGAGGAAGGCTGCAAATTTCTGCTTTTGTGTATTTAATTGTGGGTCCTCCACCAGTATTGCAGTCATTTCAGTCTTTCTGAAGTTTTCTCCCTTTTTTGAATAATAAATAATATTTAACCCTCTAGATGACTGAATGAATGATCGAGTTACAAATGCAAGCAGACTTCAAACTCCCAGCGGTCTTTTCTTGAAGGAAAGCAGTCGCTACACAGATGAGTCCAGGAAATGGACTACAAGGGGTCAAGATCCTACTGTCAAGACACTCCTGAACCAGAGACAACATCATAAGAGTCTCACCTGGACTAAGTAGAAAAAGATCTGGACTTTTGCCCAGCGGTCTAAAGTCCTGCTTTCAGATGAAAACAGATTTAGGATCTCATTTGTAAATCAAGGTTCCAGAGTCTGGAGGAAGATCAGAGTGGTCCAGAATCCAAGGTTGAAGTTTCCACAGTCTGTGATGATATGAGGTGCCATGTCATCTGCTGCTATTGGTCTACACTGTGTTTTATCAAGTCCAGAGTCAACACAGACTAAAATCTACCAGGAGATTTTTGAAACCTTCATGCTACCATCTGCTGAGAAGCTTTATGGAGACTTAATTAAAGTTAATGACAGTGAGTGACATATTAACATATTAACCTTCATTAACTTTAGTGTAAAAAATAAATTTGGATGTGAATTTGGTTGGATTTAGGATTATTGGAATAAGTGATTGTTTGATTCATTAACTCATGAGATGGCATCAGCCCTGTTTGGAGTTCTGGAGGTTTGGATACTTAAGTGAGACTGGTCTTTGGAGAGGATGGGGCAGGTACTGTAGGAACGAGCAGTTTGAGAGGTTCAGCTCAGAAGACGACCGAAGTCAGCCAAAGGTGAGCCAGGAGTCACAGCACACAGGCCTGACTGCAAAAACCAGCGCCTGTATAGTCTTTGGAAGCTCCTTTGGTCTCACGGAGGATGATTTTGGGCCTGCTGTGTGGCATTCAGAGGTGACTTTGTAATCACGCAGATAACTCAGAAAAAGAGGCTCGATTGCCAGTCAAAACTATTTCAAAAAATATCTTTGTGATATCAAAGAAAAATCAGTTAAAGACTTTTATCTTGGGTTGCTATGCGCACAAAAAGTTGAAGTTTCAAAACTTGAACTAAGATGATGTTAAAGAAAAATCAAACAACATGAATGAACATGTGGCAGAAAACCTAGAGGACAAAGAGAAAAAAGTAAGACAAAGTAGTAAGAGTAAGAGAAAACAAGAGGGAACTAAGCTGAAACAAAGAAAAGAATACTCAGAGACTGAGCATCCCAACTTTACCGGCTTTATACTCTTCAAACTGGGAGTGTCTCTGGGGTGTGAGAAGAGAGAGGAGGGGTCACTGGTCCTCTGCTGAAGCTTCTTTAGAGGAGACCTTCAGGACCTGTGATTATTTGATCCAACTTATACTTTTGCCTAGTAAAGGAGTCAGATCTGATACTCACTCTCGCTATATTTAAGGTTATCAAATGCTTGGTTCATAATACAGGATTTGATGCTAAACACATATAAAGAATTGTATCACATTAACAAACATTCTCATTATGCTTTGAGTATCACTTTTCAAAGAACATTGATCATGTTAAATTACTCTGAAATGAAACAGATAGTAACACATAGAGACTGTGAATAACACAAGGGTAAACACATGTGAATGAACTTCATAACAGTTAATAATGGATTTACAGACCAACATTCAGATTATTAACTAACAGTATAACTACCTAATGGTTAACAAAGCTAAACAAATGATATAAACTAAACATTTCTACACTATTTCTAACAGAATTAATAGCATTAATTCAAAAATTAATCTCAAGGAACTTTAAGACTGAAGGATTTATTCCGTCAGTGTGAAATCTCGGCTTTTGAACATGATAGGAAAATGGGACAAAGACTGTTTTACTGTAAGTGTTGAATACTGGCAGAAGATCGTTTTGCAGTGTCCATCCATCCTGTAATTGGACTAGTTGTAGTTATTACCTCTGCCAAGGAGGTTATGTTTTCGGTAGCGTTGGTTTGTTTGTTTGTCTGTTTGCAACTTTACGGAGAAAGTTACAGACGGATTGACCTGAAATTTTCACCAGACGTACGTCTCAGCCCCAGGAGGATCCCATTACATTTTGGTGGTGATCCGGACAAGATTCTGGATCCAGGAATTTTTTGAAGGATTCTTTATCATTGTGAGATAGGGCACATTTGGGAAATTTGCATTTAACTCCATAAAAATGGCCAGAGTCTTTAGTAAAAAATTACACAAAAGGATCTCAATGAGTTTTGCAGTGTCCATCCATCCTGTAATTGGACTAGTTGTAGTTATTCTCTTTGGATTGTACTCACAGAGAACACAGGGAAGATCAACCAAATGTAGGATTTATGGCTGAGCTTATAAACCTGATGCTTCCCAGTCAAGGTGTGATGACAAATGTTTATCTGATCCAGTGGTCCTGCAGTTCTTTCCTGCTGGCAGTAAACAAGGTCTTTGTCTCTTTAAAGTGGAAGGGATAGAAGGTACTTCCTTTTGAGAAGGCTTTTTTGGTTATCTTGTAGAGAGAGAGAGGAGGTTGTAGAAGGATTTGATTTGAGTAAAAGGTCTACACCACCTCATCTCCGGTGACCAGATGTAGGCCTTACATTTTTGGGGGATTTGGGATGAGAAAGTGGTCATCTCTGCTACAGATTAGTGAGGCTATTATTATTATTGCATGTCCACATTTCTTATTTTTACATGAATTCAGTTCATCATGATTTGTAAAGGTTTTTGATAAAAACAGAGTTCAAATGTAGCAGTAAAGGAATGTCACGCCCACGTCTGTCATTTCCTCAGGCAGCACAGAGAGAAGCTGTTATCAGGGACGTGTTGCAACAATCCTGTTTGGTTTGAAGGAAGAAGAGCTCTCTTTTAGAGGACGATTATTACCAGGAATCTTAACAAACAGGATATAGAAGCAGCAGTAATCCTGAAACTGAAACTGAAGTTCAAAATGGTCTGTTTTACAAAAACAGATGAAACCCTTGTAGACATGAGCCCCTGAGGATCTTTCACCAACTGAGGAAGAAATCTAATCTTCAAGTTTTTAGTCAGATCCTGCTATTCACCAGTTTATGGTTAAGATTAGACAAGCCAAAGTTCAATTATTATTTATTCTCATTCTTTTTGTCTAAACACATGTTAGATGTCATCATTAAATGACAAATTATGATATTAAACTGCAAAATTCTAATTCATAGAACAGTTTCTGAATTTACAGTAATTTGAAAAGAGAGCACAGTCACACCAATAATCATGATCTGCCTTTAAATACAGGTGTGTAGATGATCAATACCACACATACTCCGTCAGTGAGATCTGCAGCTCCTCATTTATCAGACGAATAAAGTTCAGGGAGTTTGTGGAAATAACAAGATTATCAGGATTACTCTGATGAAAAATCTTCAAGGACACGTCTTTGACCTCATGTATGATTCAGTATTTGTGAGGAATCTTCTAGACCTTTTTCCAGTTGATGTCAATTACAAAGTGACTCTAATATGACAGAACATGAGGGACAGAAACAGTATCTCTTTGAAACAGGGAGCGTATGCATCTATGGTATCTAATCTTTGATGTGTCGAGAAACAAGTTTTTCCACTGGGTGAGTCAGCTGGATCAGAGAGAGACTGAAGAAGAAGAAGGAGGTTCCTAAAAACTTCTAAAATACCAGAGAGGACAGTGTCAAATACTACAGCAAATCTTCAGGAGTCAGTGGAAAGATGTCTGTTATATAGAGCTCACTGTAAGAGAGCAACAGCCCATCTTTGTTGTGAAAAATGTACATGGATGTAACAAATCAAGGCTCAGGAGACAGAATGAGATATGGAGACGTACAGACGTAGAAATCAGTACATCTGACAAACTGAGTCCTGACCACAGTCTTGGAAGGAGCCCCCAAACTCTCCAAACTTTTCACTGGTGAGTGTGTTCATGGATATAATATGTGTGGATTACAAAGTGTGAGTCTCTTATCAGCCTGACAAACCAGATGTCCAGGAAATCATCCAGGACCTTAATGTATTGCATTGCTTTGGGATCAACAGCACATTCACTCTTCTGGGAATACTCAAATTAGTTTTCCTGACAAACACCACCTGACTTTACAAATCTCATTGTGGTCGACGTGATTTTAATAAATCTGGGAGTACTCAGGCTGACCGTACAAATATCCATTCTTTGTATAAACCATCAGTAGAACCATCGATGATTTCTTTCGTAAAGTCCCTCCTGTGAAAGTTTTAACTCTCATAAGGTCCAAATCTCAGATAAGTCACCCTTGTAGAGAAGATGACTGTGCTCTGTTAACATGATGATGTTTTCTACTGAAATCATAATCGATCATACAGAAAAACT